TGCACATCGGCCCGCGCACCTCCAGAAGCCCGCACCCGGGACACCAAAACCTTCCAGTGAAACCTGAAAGTCTGACGCTTTGCTGTCTGGCTGACATATGCTCCTGACAAAGCAGTTTGAACTTTTCCTTGGATTAGGCGGAGAGGGTGGAAGCCGCAGAGCACCAGCAATAAAGATATAAAAAAATAGTTTTATTTCATTCATTCCATCTCAGTCTAATGCAAGTCAGGTAAAGTTTTTGAGCACAGTATTCGATGATAGCACATTTCAACCACCAGGTGGCACAGTGAAAAGGGATAAGCTTTCCAGTAACACTTCAGCAAATCTATTATTACTGCAGAGAACCCTGCATTTTAATGTCACTTGCTTTTTCTTTAGAAAGATGCCTGTAATCCCAGCCAGAGAGGCTGAAGCAGAAAAGTGCGGTAAATTTGAAGCCAGCCTGGACTACAAAATGAGGTCAAGCACAGCCTAAACTGCGTAGCAAGACCTTGTCTCAAAAATAAATAAATAAATAAATGAAATAAATGAAATAAATGAAATAAGCAAAATACAAGCCAAGCCCAGAAAAGTCTTGTTCAGAGTCTAAAGAATCTGCTCTCCAGAAAAAAATGTAAGCTAACAATGTTTCTTGAAATGTACCTTAAAAAAGTAAAATATACCTTCTAAAAGCCCACATTTAAGAGTGCCCTGGATTAAGTTACTGTTTCCCAACTTTTTCAACCTATGAACCAACCACACTGCAGCAGAGGCAGCAGACAGAGCAGGGTGCAGCCCACTCTGCCTATTTCTACTCATGACACCAAGTGACAAATGTAAACTGTCACACTCCTAGGGCGGAGGTCAAACCAGGTTGGTACAGAGAGCAACAGGTTCTCAGAAAGCAAGAGGGCTGGGGAAAGAGGACTTAACTACCATGACTTCCACAAAATAGCCCCTCAAAGAATGGGGCCTCCTGGGTGGCTTTCCCTGTACCATCATTTACCAGTACCTACTGAGTGCTGAGCACTCTGCCAAGTCATATGAATTTCAGAGAAAAAACACACAGGTTAGAAAAAGTATCTTAGGCAGGAAATTCAAATCGCTTCCGGGAGAACATGGCAGACAGATAGCAGCAGCTACGGAGGCTCTCTGAAAGACCCAGCTTAGAATTCAGGAATGGTGCGGAGTAAGGAATCATAAGCAAGAGGAGATAGGCCCTGCTGACCCAAGAACGAACTGGGCTGAGAGAAACCAACTGGGAATGCAATCCTGGTGCTATAACAGGAACAGAAAAGCCTCAGCGTGGAAGCTAGAGCCTGCACCATTGGAAGCCGTGATTTGGGTTTCCCGCCAGCACTGCTGCATCTACATCAGCTCGGCAGGGAGAGAGACGCGCGAAAGCTCTGAGAATGGGAATTGGTGAAGGGAGTTGAAAGCAGGACGGGCGGGGAGCTGTGCATTGACCTGCAGTGAGTGAGAGAAACTGGGACTCTTCCACAGTCTAGGAGACTCCAACAGAGGAAATTCTGGGTCCAGGCAGACTTGCGAGAACAAGGCGCTGCAGTGACTTCAGCCACGTATCCCCCTCTCAAGCGGGATTGGTGAGCAGTGCCTAGCCCAAGTGACACTGCTGGCTGAGACCCAATAGTCTGGCACAGCCCAGGTCCCAGCTCCTGAAGGTGACATGGAGGGGTGGGCCCCGCATAGGCTGTCTGGTCTGTAACTCCCTGGTGCGCTGCAGTGGGCGGGAACACCTAGCCAGCACAATTCAATCAGACTGTGGCTGACAGGGAAGGAAGCTGGGCCTCCTATATACGCTTGCATATATAAGGAACAAAGAATATGAGAAGAGGCAGCAACAAGAAAGGGTCCTCGGCCCCCAATCCTGAGAAAGAGACAACAGCAGACACAGCACCAATAGACATAAAGCGCTATCTCCAGAGCCTCATAGACAAGTTCAAGAATGAAGTTATTAATGACCTGAAGCTAGACATAAGCAGAATAGTTAGAGAAATGCTAAGCACCACCCAAGAAAAAACAGATGGTGGAATGGAAGAACAGAAAAAGAGGGGAGAATTGTTTAATGGAAAAAATAGAGAAAGCATAGAATACGTGAAGCAGGTTCAAAGAGATTACCAGGAAACTAAAAAGTCTATCGAAAACTGGCATAACAGCTTGAAAGAAACTAAGGACAGATTATCTGAACTGGAGGGCAGATTTGTAATATGGGAGCATGAAATGAAAAACTTCTTAAAAATAACAAAGAAACAAACAGCAATAATACAAAGACTAGAAGATGATAAGAGGGTCTATAACTTAAGAATTAAGAACATAAAAGAAGAGGTAGGGACACAAACAAATGAACTACAAAAGCTACTCACAGAAATAATCCAGGAGAATTTTCCTAATTTAGGAAAAGGTAAAGTTACTCAGATGTATGAAGCATTCAGGACCCCAGCCACCTACAACGCAAACAGAGCTACACCCAGGCATATAATAATCAAAATACCAGAAATCCAATATAAGAACAGAATATTAAAAGCCATCAGAGACAAGAAACAGATCACTTACAAGGGAACACCCATCAGAATTACAGAAGACTTCTCTTTGACAAACCATCAAATCACGAAGAGCGTGGGAGGAAATAATTCAAGCTTTGAAAGATAATAATTTCCAGCCAAGATTGATATATCCTGCACAACTAACCCTGGAAATTGATGGAAAAACAAGGTGCTTCCAGGATAAAGAGGAACTAGGGGAATATGCAACCACCAGTACAACTCTACAGAGAATACTGCAGGATATTCTAAAAAAGAAAAATACGAAGAATCCAGAAATAGCGGCAGAGAGGCCACAATGAATGCAGCAGAGAACAAAATGAAGAAGACAAACTGACAACTAATGACAGAAAAAGAGCTCAACAGAAATGAGGCAGAGAAGATCAGATGATAGGAACAGCTATTTTGGAGAAAATGACATCTTAAAAGGTAATACTGATTTAGTATCATCTTGTTTTGAAGTCTCATCAAGCTGTTGTTCTTCTGTCTCCATTGGTCTAAACAGGTTGTATCTTATTGGATTTTATTATATATGATAGTATAAGCAAAACCTTTTATAGACAAGGAGATTATACAGAAACCATTGTTCATTTTCTGTTAGTTGATTCTAAATACCCTGTAATACTGTCATTCTCTTAAATGGTTTTACATTGTTTTGATATATTTGATGCTACAGTATACGAAGTTATACTCAAAGATTTCAAGGAAAGAGACAATATGGTAACTACTTTTATGTCGGGATTATCTTGTGGTGAAACACTATTTTGCTTAAATGGTTATGTTTTGATCTGCGCTGTTTTGCTGTTATGCCCTCTTTTATCTCAGTCTCCACTTTATTATTTACTTTTTTATTTTTATCCTTTTAAGGGAGAAATTAATAAAAAAATAGCAGGATATATTATAGTAACCCACTTTGACTTTCCATTATCTTATTTAAAGCCCTGTATGGCTCTCACCATCTTGTTTTGACTGATGTTCCTCTATTCTGTTTTGCTTGATAGTACCAGGTTCGAAAGTTTAGGCAACAGCTGTGAAGATAGTGGGATTCATTATGACACCTATTCTGGTTGACTATTAACTACTTTGAAGACCTATAATGTCTCCAATGTTTTGGTTTTGTTCTTTACTGTTTTGTTCAATTTTATTATAACTGATGATACAGGCAATTCTATTAGAGATAGCAGGAGGCATCATGGTAACCATTGTTGATCACCTAGTATTATGCTTTTACATTATCTATTATGTCCACCCTTTTGATTTGACTGACTCTGTTCTGTTATGTCACATTTGGTTCTACTCTCTTCCAAAAAAGTAATAAGAACTGTGGGAGCAACAAAACCCAAAATGTGTAATTGTCATTGTACAAAAGAGAGGAAAAGTGCTCTAAACGATATAATTGCATGTATATTTAAGTGTATAAGATAGATAATGATATTACTGAGTTTTGTTGGATCATTGAACAGAACTGTTTGCAGTCTCACTGTTGGAATGTCCACTTTATAAGCTTTAATTTTGTAACTTGAACAATTATTCCTAAGATGACAAAATGTAATCCATTAACTAGTGAATTCCTACTGTTTATTTTTTTCTGTAAATCTGTATAACTTGTACCCTTTCTCTGCTTTTTTCTTTTTCTCCTTAAATAAAATTTAAAAAAAAAAGAAAAAGAAAAAGTATCTTAGTGAATGCATGTAGTAAAAGCCCAAGGAGTGTTTGCTGAATGCTGAAATTATGTTTGAGAATTAGTTCACAACTCATTATGGTTTAAAAAAGGGTGGAAAGAGGCTCATTTTAAGTTAACTAACCAAGTGCCCTGGCCTGTAGATATGAGAGACACAAAAGGATCACAACAGAACTTTGATAGTGTCATGGTGTATACATTGATCTGCTGAAGATCCCACATAAAACACCGGTTAGGAAGACACAGCACGGGAATCTTTAAAGCCAACAAAAGGTCTCGGAAGGTCTCTGCCGCTTAACAAGCAGCTGGACAGGAATCTCTACGATGACAACGTCTTTGCAGCTACGATCGCTCTAACAGGCCCCATTTCCTACACGCCAATTCCTGGGTAAGTGACAGTAATAATACAGTTCACTGCGGGGTCCTCGTGCCAAATATGCGAAGGCGTCACTTCTCAAGCACGACACGGCAGACGAGGCGGCCCAGGCTGGGGTGAAGAGGAGCTGGGTCAAGGTCACGGGCTGGCGAGGGACAACAGGGGCGCCGGCTCGCGTCCAAGGGCGGAGACCCCGGGGCGCACCTCCGCCACCCTAGCCAAGTGCCCAGCGGGCTCGGGCAAGGGCTCATCACCACCCACATGGACGGGTTCCCCGGGCCCGGCCTCCGAGGACAGGCAGGACCCGGCTCCGCGAGAGACGCGGGGTCCCCAGCCCCCTCGCGCCCGCAGCGAGGCCCAGGAAGAAGCTACTTCTCAGAGACGCCGGGACACCCCTACTCACCGAAGCTCGCCCACACCGGAGAGGCTGAAATCGGGGTCAGTTAGGAAAATTACGACCCACAGGTCTGCAAAGCATGAACTACTCGTCGCCCCGCCCCGCGGGAGGCCAAAGCCGGGGCAGTCCTTACCACCACGTTACTCGGCCCGCCCCGCCGCCGTCAATACCCTCACCGCCCGGGAGGCGCATGCGCCACCGCCCTCGACCGGCCCATTTTCCTGCTCTGCGGGGGAAGCAGAACGATCCAACGAGGATCGGCAACGCTAAAAGATCAGAGAGAACCCAAAGGCAGGTTTAGTGACCCACCATGCCTTTACGTAAATAAACTCTTCTCCTGAGAAGACAGAAGCGGCAGCTCAGCGAGTTTCCTTTCTGTCGAGGCCCCCAACGTACCCCCTGTGCCCAGGTCGTAGTCCAAAGTCCTAGCTCGATGGGCGGAGCTTGTAGGTGGTGGGACAAGCCATTGGTGATTTTGAAGACGCTCCGGCGGGAACTGTTGCGGAGAGGGCTGAGGGTATGGGCCGGTAAGACAGCCTCTAGCTCTATGAGGTCGGTCTGCAAAGTGATGAAAGCTTTGAAGAAGTCAGACTCCAGGCCTCTGGGGCGGCTTTTCCATGGCTGCTGTGTGTGTTAAGGTGTAGGACTGGTGCTCAGTCTTGGTCTGGGGGTGGGAGACAGGCTGAAGTGGAAGAGGGCTGTGTGCCGCTTTTTGACGTCACATCCGCCCGTAGTGGGGCAGGGACTTGCCTGGCGAGCGTCTGGGCTTGCATAGCGCTGGAGTGTCACGTGGGAGGCCGATTTAGCCTCGCACAGAGTTGGGACTTTGTTTTGGTCTTTAGTTCCCTTGGCTTCCGTTGCTTTTTATTCATGCAGGCTTTCGCATCACTCCTTATGCTCCCTGTTGCTGCAGTGTTAAGCGCCCAGGAACGTTAGTTAAAAGCTGTTTGTCATAGTTCATTTAACAAATGACATTTGAACATAATACCCAGCACTGTGCTAAAGCGCTAAGGACAAAAAGACTTAAAAAGTCTGTTAAAATTTCGTTAAAGGGTTTTGAAACTGCTGATAAGATGAAGTGCTTTTTAGGTTTTTTTATGGTATTCTGGTGAACCTTACCCACAGTTGAGAATCAAATGAAGTGCTCTTTAAAAATCTTGATCATCGCCGGGCACGGTGGCTCGTGCCTGAAATCCCAGCACTCAGGAAGCTGAGGCAGGAGGATCGTTGCGAGTTCGAGACCAGCCTGTGCTTAAAGTGAGCTTACTGCATAGCAAGACCCGGTCTCAAAAAGAAAAAAAAAAAAAAAAAAAATCTCCATTATGCTTCCTTACAACGCCCTTCTCCCTCCTAAGTATTCTTAGTGGGGGAAGTGTTGGTTTGATATTTCAGCGACTCTTGAACCCTAATCCTTCCCAGATAATTTTCTGTGAAATGCTGCTCATGAAGACTATCTGCTCACTCATTCTATGAATGTTTATCAAGTATATCCGTAAAGGTTCTCAGGCTTGCTATACTTACTAACCTACCAACCTAACAGTTGTAGATGCTAGAGGTTTAGCTATGAATAAGACATTTGTAATGCTCCAGGGCACAATGAAATGTTATGAGTGCAGTAAAATGATCGAGTTCATTTTAGATAGCTCTGGAAAGATAATAAGTAGTGGAGGATGAGGAAATAACTTTGGAATAAATCTGAGGAGAAGATATTTAACTGGTACCTGATGTTACTGGATGAACCTAAAATTGTCCCCCAAAGTCCCATATGCTAAGGGTTGATCTGCACCATGTGGTGCTCCTGGGGGTGGTGAAACCTTCAGGACCTAAGGCCTAGTGAGAGGAGGTCAGGTCACTGGGAGCATGCCTGGGAGGGGGTCTTGGACCCCAGCCACTTCTCCCTGAGACGAACAGTCTGTGTCCACCATGCATTCCTGCCATAGTGTACCATGCTGTCATAATCCCACAGCAACATGGCCAAACCCATGCACTGAAATCTCTGAAACTGTGACCCAAAATAAATCTTTCCTCCTTGTGAGTTGTTTATCTCGGGTATTTGTGACTGCAACAGGAAGCTAACTAACATGCCAGAATTACAACAGGAAATAACCCATGTGAATATGTACAGCAAGAACCTCTAGGCAAGGGCGGTTATCATTCTGTATTATAGAAAATAAGCCAGTATAACTGAAGCTCATAAAGCCAGAGACAGGGAGGCAAGAGCCAGACATGCAAGACCTTATAGATCATGGCGAAGATTTTAGCCTTGAGCATCAGACAGGATGCTTTTGTCTCTGGACGAGGCAGCAAACAAACTTCATTTTCATGGTCCTGATAATGTCCCTACATGTTGGAGACCACAAATTCATAATGGCTGATTTTGCATATTTCCCTCAGGGAGAAAATGGAGGCTTGGGATTGCTGGTACCACCCATTTGAGATTTCCCATTGAGTGTTTAGGAATGAGCCTTCCTCTCCCACCCATTAAGACTAAGATCATGTACACCCTCTTGAGTCATCTCAGGATTACTTTTGCCCACTGAGTCATAAACCTCTGAGTCTTACGCCAAATTGCAATCTTTGGCCAGCGCCACCTACCACTGTATACACCCAGAAAATCGGGGCTGTTTGGAGTGTCAGGGTTTGGCTCATCTGGTGACATCAACTTCCCAGCCACTCATGTCCTGCTACACTGGTCTCTTTTGTTTTATCCTGTCACTGTACCCCTAACACAGGCAATCGGGATTCTTCGCTGGGTCCCCGTTACCTACAGTCATTTATTTGTTTGTTGGGGATCCAACCCAGAACAGAAGATCTTGCAAACAAAGATCTTTATTAACTGACTCTTTATTGCCTGGAGACGTGTTTAAGGGTCAAGAGATGACGGTAGTTCTCCCTTACTTAGTTTCGCTCTCTGCAGGTCAGCTGCCCACAGTCAGCTAAAATGTCACACGGTAAATTCCAGACACAATTCATAAGTTTTAAACCAATTTCATCTCAAAATATTGTTACAATTATTTTATTGTTGTTACTCATCTCCTACTGTGTGTCCTCCTGCCCTTGTGTCCTAGGGCTGCGCTCTCAGAGTATCCCCGATGGACTTGGTGAAAACCTAAGTGACACCATATCCCATCTCTGTTCAGCACCTTCAGAATCAAAGCGACCATCCTCGCAGTGACTTGTGACCTCACTGCCTGTCTACTCCCGCCTTCCTGGAGGCTGCCTGTCCCTGCTCCTCACAGGCCCCAGGGCTTTTGCACTTGCCCTTCCCTCTGCCTGGAAGTTTCTTCCACCCCTTGACTCCTTCTCCTCCAAGGATGGCCTCCAATGTACCTCCTCAAGGCCTAATTCTCTGCCTCCCTCTCACATCGCTCCTGGCCTGCCTAACCCTATCCCATTTTCTCACTTCATTTCTCCCTCTTATTTTGTGAGGTTTTTTAATGACTCTCTCCTCACTAGAATGGATATTGCACCGAGTTTTGTCTTGTGGGATATAGCTGTAACTATTCACAAAGCCCAGAAATACCTGGCCTCCAGGTGCTCGGTCATGGGTTATACAAATCAGGCAGCAGAGGGCAGATAGCACTGGTGTCTCCGCCCTTTTTGTGGAGATGAAGCAAAATACCCGAAACTGCATATTTATGAAAAACAGACGGAGAAAGAGAGAGCACGCAAGCTCACAGTTGCAAGCTTGCCCGTGCAACATCATAGAGGCCTCTGCCGAGGGATGCCTGGCTGAGGGTGGCCTGACGAGAGCTTCATGGTGAGGGCATGTGTGAGATACAATCACATGCACAGAAGAGAGATCGCGTGGTTGGAAAGCAATTGAGAGCTCACTTCATGATCCATTCCGGGTGACTGACCCAGTCCCCTGAAAGAGCACTAACCCCCTCACGGGGTGGCTCCCCTGTGACCATCACCCGCCACTGTCCCCACCTCTTAAACATCCATCACCTCCCTCATTCCATTACAGACCTGACTTCTAGCCATGCACCTTTGGGGGACAGACCCCCCCCAAACCTCAGCAGAACTGTTTTTTTATTTTAGTTCTAACACATTTAACTATATGACTTAAAGTAATTAAATCTTCATGCTGAAGCACTGTTTAAAATGTGGCTAAAAAAAGGGGAAGCGTGGGGCTGGGGATTTAGCTCAGCGGCATAAGCGCCTGCCTTGCAAGCAGGCAGTCGTGGGTTCGATCCCTGGTACCGATAAAAAGGAAAAAGATTTAAAAAGGGGGGGGGGGAGCGTTTAGGTGTTTGACCTCCAAATAAAATCCTGGCAGAAGGGCCAGGGATGTAGCTCAGCAGCATAAGCACCTGCCTGGCAAGCGCAAAGTCCTGAGTTTGGTTCCTGTTACAAAAAAATCCTGGCTGAAAACTTCGGTTAGGTTAAGGTTCTCTATTTGATAAATTCTTTGTTGTGCTCTGTTTTGTTCCAGTACCAGACAGATGGACGTGAATCTTGCTGAATTTGTCAGGAGGACCATCTTAAAAATCCCCATGGCTAAGATGATGACAATCTTAAAAACCTGGGGTTTCTTGTCTGAAAACCAATTGCAAACCCTAAACTTCAAGCAGAGGAAAGACTCTTTCGCTCAGGACTTGATTCTGCAGTGCGAGGTAACAGTGTACAAAGTATGAACCTCAGGACCGGGGACACGGCTCACTGTTACAGTAACACGCTGCCCTTCTGCATCTCCCTTTCTGAACGGTAGCAGAAAGCGCCACTTAGCTGTATTAATTGGCTTTTAATAAGATATGCTTAGCTGAGTGTGGTGGTGCGCGCTTATAATCCCGGCACTCGGGAGGCTGAGGCAGGAGAATTCCCATGAGTTCCAGGCCAGCCTGCACTACATAGTGAAACCGTGGGCCGGGGATTTAGCTCAGTGGCATAAGTGCCTGCCTGTTAAGCACGAGGTCGTGAGTTCAATCCCCATTACCAAAAAAAAAGATTTGATCATAATGAAATTCTGTCTCAAAAAGAAAAGAAATGCTCACAAATCAGGAAGACAAAAAAAAAAAAATACCAGAGAGAAAAGTGTATTGATTTTACTTACTTGGTTTTTTATTACTTTAAAATAATTTCAGGGGCTGGGGATGTAGCTCAGAGGCATGGCACCTGTCTGGCAAGCACAAGGTCCTCAGTCTGATTCCCAGTTCCAGGAAAAAAAAAAAAAACAGTTAAAAGAATTTCAGACTCAGAAAAGTTGCAAGTGGAGTACAAAGGATCCTCGTGCTCCGGGGTGTCTTTCCCTCATTTGTTGGGTTGTTTTTCTTTTGAAGCAGGTCTCACTATGTTCTAGTCTTGCCTGAAAATCACACTATAGCCCACCATCCCTGGCTTTCCTCATTTTGTTTTTAAATAAAAATAATTAAAATTTTAAAATGTTTGGCCTAAAACATCGTACTTCTGAAACTGACACTGAAAAAACAATTTAGAATAAAAAGGCATATGTTACTAATATTAAGATACTAATATTAAGATAATATAATTTAGAATAAAAAGTTATATGTTACTAATATTAAGTATTTACATATTATGTAATTGTACATAACTGAGCATTGTTTTAAAAACAAAAACATTGAATCCAAATGCATGTTGATGAGTGATTCATCCATAGCAAAACAGTCCTTGTGTACAACCTTCTTTGTGTACAACACTGAAAGAAACTGAACCAGGCGTACGGGCTCATGTCAGTACACAGCACTTGGGAGGCTGAGGCAGGAGGATTGCAGCAAGTTCAAGGCCAGCCTGAAGGACATAGCGAGACCCTGTCTCCAAAATAAAAAGAAGAAAAACGCAAAGTTATGTCCACATTCAGATAAACTCTAGGAAACACCTGTAGTGACAAGAAGCAGGGCTGGGTTGCCTCACATCCAAGGGTTGAGAGGGAGGGAGGTGGAGGCTGAAAATGGTAGAATTCGGGGGCCAGAAGGAGGCGCAAGAAAATCTGGGGATCTGCTGTTCACCGTCTTGACTGTGGCGATGGTTGCCCCGGTCCACGAGCTTGAGGGAGGAAGGCTTGGGTCCTGCTCATCCCCCCATGCCGAGTTCCCTTAGGGAAGCACAGTTGTGGCGAACTGAGACATTACTGTGTTCACCAGTCACAACTTGCAAATCGCAAGCTTAACTGTGCAACTTTTACTGTATGTTAATTATACTCTAATAAATAGGTTTTTTTAAAAAGGAAAAAATTCAAAGTGATACATGAAGACTAAATTCAGGGAGAAGAGCTGTAAATACCCGGACAGAGAAAGGAAGCAGTCCTGTCTGTGGAAACCTAGATGGAGACGCTTGCCCTGCCCTAAGTAATGCTGAAATCTGCTCCCTTAAAGCAGCCAGCACCAAACCCCCGCCAGCTTTCCGCAACAGTTTGTCCTTTCTTTCAGGAGAACCGCGCAACTATCAGTGACGTGGCCCTTTTAGACATCGTGTGTAAGTTTGGTGATTTATACTTCCCCGGTCAGTTTCATATGTAAGAATGCAGATTCTAGGGTCGAGGAGACCTGGTGTCCCCTCTCTGTCTGTCCCTTATCTGTCTTGGGCCCTTTGCCAAATTGCACTGCTACTAATTTTCAGACTCCTTGCTAAATAGAGATCATCAGAGCCTGTTTCGTGGGGGCATTTGAGGAATTCAGTGAAGCGATATCTGCAGAACTCTTAGCCAGTCCCTGGCATATCCTAAGCACAAAATAGGTATTTGTTGCAGTGTATAGTATTATAGAACTAGGAAGTATATTTCTGAAGATTTGTTACTACAGTGTAGCATTGGTTTGAAAAATTTATTTTGTTTCCTTTTGCTTTGTGTTTTATTCAGCAGGTAGCATAGGGTAGGCAGGGTCTAGGAACACAGATCCAAGCTCTGGATTTCCCAGCTTGCTTACGTGGCTCCATAGGAGCCCTGGGGGAGGGCAGGGGACATCTCTGTGCCCCAGTATGTCCATCTGACAAAGCTGTGCAAAAAGGACTATCACACAGTTGTGATCAGAATTAAAGAAAAGCACATAGTTAGTACTAAGAACAAAGCCTGGTTAGCTACCAGTTGATGGCTGTCATTATATGCTAACTTCTGCGTGGCATGGAAGTATCCCCAAGCCCACCTTTATCCCTTTAACAGCACTTGGGCCCAGTGTGACATGGCGGCCACTTACTGTGTTAGACAGAAAAGCAGGTGATGCATTATAGAAACACAGCTGTAGGACCAGGGGTATAGCTCAGCGGCACAGCACCAGCCTGGCAGGCGCGAGGTCCTGAGTTCGATTCCGTATATAAGCACATTACTTCAAAGCTCCAAGACAGACTGTTAAGTAATAAATGTTTCCTTTCTCAGACACACAAGTTCATCAGCACCAGAAAATTTGGAATGTTTTTCACATGAACAGAAAACCAGGTAATATCTCCCATTCTAAATCGTGTTTCAGAACAATGTAAAAGTCAGCAGAACCGTGTCTTCTCGCGTTTCTCAGCACACGAGGCAGCTGCTCCTGTCCCCGCAGTGCCCTGCCCAAGGCACAGGCAGCGTTTGTGTGATCTCGTCGTCTGCGCTCTGAGTTTGCACGAAACGCCTCGCTTCAGGGTTCTCTGCAAATCTTTCTATTGAAGACGTTGTTGCTCCCTTCATTTCTGCTTTTCTTTGCCCTTTGACAGATGAAGAGGTTGACATTTTTGATATGGAAGAATTCAAACGCACATTTAAGAAAATTCTTCACAGAGCGTTAAAAAATGTAAGAATAAAATTCATCCAAATTTCCATGAAATTCAGTTTAATGACGTCTGTGCGGTTGACATGTGCCACTGTCTGGGGATAGTTTTGTTTGTGTCTTTGTTTGTTTTTGAGACAAGGTCTTGCTGTCTAGAAATTCAGTTAGTCACATTCCATACTCTGCTACTCCATGCGAAAGACAAACCCTAAAAGCTCTAAAACTGTAAACAAGAATAATGAAAATGAAAATCCTCCCCTCTCCTCTCCCCGGCCGCTTAGACCTGGCTGCCCTTCCCCAGTGGAGCTCTGCAGTGACCCAGCTCCTCCGTCGGCCCCTCCAGTGCACCAGCAAGGGGCCCATGTGGTGGTCACTGCAGCTCTGATCTTACCTAACTTCGATGACTCTCTGACCTCTAGCCTCTGACGTTGGTCAGTGCCTCTCTGGAGACCCATGACGTACAGGCATTTTTGCTTTTGTAGTGGGCAGCAAGGACACTGCAGACAGACCTCTTCTGGGGCAGGCATGGTGGTGCATGCCTATAACCCCAGCACTCAGGAGGCTGAGGCAGGAGGAGCACCATGACTTTGAGGCCAGCCTGGGCTACATGGTGAATTGAAAGCTAGCCGGAACTACATAACAAGACCGTGTCTCAAAACAACAACAAAAGAATGAGACCTCTTCTGTTCCAAGCAGTAGTGGCCCCGGAAACCCCCCAAAGGGGCCAAGCTCACACTGCTCACTAGGGAAGCCAGACAGCTCTGCGCCTCCGTGTCCTGGGCTGCAGAGAATCCCTGGCCTGCTGCTTTGAGGGGATTTGGCAAAGCAGCTAGCAACAAAGTGGGCGGTTTGCTAGCACCAGCAGCCGCCGTAACAGCCTGCTTTTCCTGGCGTGGAGGCAGGGGAGGAGGTAAAGAGCACATGGGCCAAGTGTGCCTGGCTCACGTTCCCTTTGCAGAGTCAGACCACGCGGGCTGAGCAAGGCTGTCAGACTCCAGTTCGATTGCTAATCGTGTTTCCAGGGTTAGAAAGGCCCGAAGTTATCCAGGAAACAGAAAACAAGTAGAACTTATGAATCCCGACCATAGAACATTTCTTTAAGTAGACTTTAGCCGAGCTGATGTTGAAAACCACTAGGATCAAAGCCGGGCGCCTGCATTTGGAAGGCTGAGGCAGGAGGATTGCTGTGAGTTCAAGACTAGCCTGGGGTACAAAGTGAGCTCAAGGCCAGCCTGAACTGCATAGTAAGAGCCTGTCTCAAAAAGATAAAAAAAAAAACCCAAAACACTAGGATTAGACATGCCATGATCCCAGCTACCTGAGAGGGTAAGACAAGAGGATTACAGCTGCCAGGGAATCCCAGCACTCAGGAGGCTGAGTCAGGAGGATCTCTGCGAGTTCAAGGTCAGCCTGAACTGCACAGCAAGACTGTCTCAAAAAAAATTTTTTTGACACTAGCCTGACCTGATCTCAAATAAAAAGGACCAGGGATGTAGTTCTAAGGTAGTAGCCCTGATTTCAATCTCCAGTATTGAAAAGAATTTTTTTTAACTGCTATCTTATTTGTAAAGTTAGCTTCAAAAACTCTTATATAGGTGAAGGAACACTACTTAGCACAAATCCAAGAAATTATTGAAAAATACTGAAATATCTGATTGTAAGTTTTTGTTTGATTGGTTGGTTTGTTTTGGTTTTGTTTGTTTTGGACACCAGGGGTTGAACTCATGACCTTTCCAGGCAGGCGCTGTGCCACTGAGCTAAATCCCTGGACCCGAACATAGGTTTTTTAAGACACTCGTTGCCTTCCAGAAGACTTTGAAAGGCATCAACTCGTGTTTACAAAAGAATCAAAAACTGTCTTCCCGGGGCAGGCAGTCGTGAGTTCGATCCCTGGTACCAATAAAAATGAAAAAGACAAAAAAACAAAAAAAAAAAAAACTGTCTTCCCAAAGATACCAAAACCCTCATTAAAAGTAGGAGACAAGGGGGGCTGGGGAAAGAAACAAAAAAAAAGTAAGAGACGAAACTGCCAGGTCTCGATCTGCGTGCCCTACCGTAGTGGGGTCCACTGCTCCCCGAAAGCACCTGCAGCTGGTGCCACAGTGAGATGCAGCAGAGAACCCGCACTCTCCTCCTCAGGTGACGGTGAGCTTCCGGGACGCCGAGGACGACTCGGTCTGGATTCGAATCGCCTGGGGAACTCAGCACAAAAAGCCCAACCAGTACAAACCCACCTACGTGGTGTACCGCTCACAGACCCCGTACGCCTTCACCTCGTCCTCCCCGCTGAAGGGCGTTGTGCCCCTTCTGGGCCAGGTATGCAGGGAGCCCCGCTTAGCTGCCCTGTTTGCTCATCTCGCCTCCGCGGTGTCGCACACCCTCAGCGTCTGCTGGGGGACACCACACTGAAGTTCTAGTCTCCTGCAAGGAGCAGGGATTGCTTCTCTACAAGTGGTATTAATTTGGTGCTCTTCTGCTTTGTCTTTGTTGTTGTTGTTTTTGTTTTAGGGGTTTTTTTTTGTTTGTTTTTGTTTTTTTGGTACCAGGGACCGAACTCACAACCTGATACTTGCCAGGCAGGCGCTTATGTCGCTGAGCTACATCCCTGGCTCTCCTTTGTCTTATAATCTAAAAGAATACGTGCTGCATGTTAAAAAAAAAATGCAGCCAACACAGAAGTCTCAAAAGTCTCTAAAAACCTCCAGCTCTTTCCCTTTCTCATTTAGCCCCTATTTGATATTTCTTTTCAAAACACATTTTATCACCAAAACCAGGATAGTGCATGTATAGGGTTAGTGATTTGCTCTTTTTACTGAATAGAATATGTCCCTAGGGTCACATACAGTGTTTTGCCATGACCATATAATCTGCCTGTTAATGACCTTTATTGTCATTTGTAATCATTGTCCCCATGTTCCATACACAAAAACATCTTTAACACAACGTAGGGCCAGAGATAGAGCTCAGCGGCACAGTGCTTTCCTGGCAAGCTAAGTTCATGAGTTTGATTCCCGGTACCAAAAAAAGAGAGAGACAGCCTTAGAACACGTCGTCGTCTTCATCCAGAACCTGTCTCTTTCTGGTTCTGCCTTGGGTTTCAGCATCTTTTTCCAGGGTGAGCAGCCTCCCTAAATGGGCCGAGGCAGCCTGGACTACCTAGAAATACTCTTGTCTCAAAAAAAAAAAAAAAAGGATTCTCGGGATTTCTTTTCACCCTTAAATGAAAACTATTCACTGATAACAGCGCCTGTTGACAAATGTGATGAGAACCAACAGTAACCGTAACAGCCACTCTGATTTTTACGTCTAAGGCACTGATGACCGCCAGCAGACACCATCAGATCGTGCAAATGGACCTGAGAAGCCGGCACCTGGACTCTCTCAAGGCTATCGTTTTTAAACAGTTCAACCAGGTGAGCCAATCGGTGATGCTTTTCAAGCTGAAGCCTGTTGGAAAGGAGCTGGGGCCACTTGAGCAGGTGGGGGGGCCACTTCAGGTGCCAGCGGAGTGAAGGAAGCTTTCATTCGTTCACATGAAACGTACTGATTCTCATATTGTCACCTTATAGTTGTGTTTATACCACTCAGGTCATCGTTGGCTGTTGTAGATCCCGGTATCCAGACCACTTTCCCCAATTAAGATTTATTTCCTCTTTGCAGTAACCTGACTCTGTCTTAAATACATGATTCTGTTTTGCAAGAAACAATTATTTTGTTTCTTTGGGACAATTATTTTGTCCCAAGCAGGTGACATAAAGTGTTGAAATTACAAAGGGGCAAACATGGATTAAGCCCTCCAGCTGATTTTCTGAAATGATCCACATGTATCGTTCCCCCTTGATGAGAACAGATCTGTCCTTACAGGCTCAGGTTTTCTCTGCTATACGACAGCTGTCTGCTCGTGTGTTCAGACTCTGTCAGTAGACAGTGACTGCTCTGTGTGTATCTTAAGTAGAAAGAAGCGATAGGTCTCTGAAAGTTGCCCTTCTTTCTGGTTGGTTAGTTGACTGATTGGTTGATTGTTTAATTGGGTGGTTGGTTGATTGGTTGGCTGCTTTGAGACAGCATCTCATTATGTAGCCCAGGCTGGCTTCACACTCACAGCGATCCTCCTGTCTAACCCTCCTGAGTGCTAGGATGACAGGTGTGCACCACCACACCCGGCTTGCAAATTGCTCTTTAAGGAAAACAGTTGTACCGTAAGAAGTTAGGTCATGATTGTCTCCCGTCACCTTCTGTCACCCACCCTCCCCGTGAATTGGTAGGTGCTGTTTTGCTGTAATGGGGGGAAATGGACATTGTCAGACATTCTATTATAAAAGCAGTGGCTTCGTGGGGGGAAGGTGGAAGAGATTCAGACTTATGGGGGGACATTTTTCTGGAAGGGGCTGCTTTTGGGTGTGGAGGTAAAACAGAAGTGTCACGTGGCTGGTGCTGCCTTTGAGTCCTCTAGGCTCTCAACTCCTGCCACACCGGATCCATTTTCAGGATAGCAAAGTAGAGTTCCCCAAACAAAAGCCACATCCGAGGCCCCCACGGTCTCTGTCACCTCTGTATCCTAGGAACAGTGCTCAATACTAACTTTATAGGGTGCTCCACGGCTTTTCTAAACTGCCTGATCCATGTTTGTAGTTTCAAACCAACTAATGTCTGCACTTCAAGGTGTTGTGAAACACTCACATGATTTGTTTCCTTTTTCCCCTAGGAATTTGAAAATCACAACTCTATAACACCTCTTCAGGAAGGAACCCTTGGACTAGATATAAACAGTATGTATGCTTTAGGATAAAACTGAAGTATGGCCGAGAACGTGCCATGTGCTCATAATCCCAGCACTCAGGAGGCTGAGGCAGGCGAACTGCTGCAAATTCAAGGCCAGCCAGAACCACATAGCAAGACCCTATCTCAAAAAACAAAAAAACTGAAATGTGAAGTGCATCCTTTCCTCTCTTTAGTTTTTGTTATTGAGTAAAAGGCACATATGTACATAGGTCCTGATACACAACTATTCGCTGTTTTTAGAAAAACTAAAAAAGTGAATACCCATTGGAGGACAGCCAGGCTGGCTCAGGTCTCCCTTAGAATTTACTAGAATGGCATCCAGTAGCAGTGACAGTGGAGGGACTGGCTGGCACCTGCTGAGCTTCCCTGGTGCCAGTCCCCACCCTAAGATGTTTATGTGCATTATTTGCTCAGGCTGTGCAGCAGCCCGTTAATGAGTGCTAACTCTCGGGGACCCGGGTTTCCTGGAGGCTTGGAAGCTCAGGTGCCGTCACACAGGCAGGAGGCGGCAAGGCACAGGTGGAATCCGTCTGTGCCTGAGCGTGGCGCTGCCCCCACAGTTTCTAGGGGTCACAGTACAGGACTCCCCCTAGCAAACCCAAGAGGACAGAGTATGAAACACAAACATGGATCAGGTAGTTCAGAAAGGCCATGAGCACCCTATAAACTTAGAAAAACTGAGAACCTTCGTATCTTCTAGCAGCAGTTAAGCAATGAAAGGAAATGGTACAGCTGTTTATGCACACAGCATTTACAGCGTTACAGTGGCATGGGAACCACTATTAATGTCACGCTCACAAAAGAAAGTGGGATACTGAATTGTGTGTATTTTATAGGCCTAGCTTAAAAAAAAATATATATATATATATGCATCTGTATTTTTACTTACTGTAAAAAGAGCTAGATAAACCAGGATATAACTCAGCAGCACAACACCTAGTTGGCAAGCACAAGGTCCCGATTTCATTTCCTCGTACCAAAGGAAGAAAAGAGCTGGACAGAAATACATTAAAATGTTACCAGCGTTCATCTCTGGGTGGTGGAATTTGGGGATCATTTTTATTGTCTTTTAATGACAAGCCTGTCATTTCTACCTGCTCTACATAACAAATTATTAGCAATCCAAAGGAACCACACACGTTATTTTAAGTTACACCAATCATGTGAAAGCTGAGGAATGGGAAAGGATTCTGTGAGTATATTGCTAATGTCTGTTTCATTCGAAATCCTCTCCCTCTAGTGGATTCAAGGATCATTCATGAAAACACCGTAGAAAAAGAAAGGGTCTGGAGAGTAACACAGGAAACGTTTGGGGTCAGCCCTCCGCCTCAGCTGGAATTTGCACAGTACAAGGTAGGAAGCTGCAGGCCACATTCCTGTGGGCTGGGAGCTTTTTTAAAAAACGAACAACAACCCGAAACGTTCCGTTTTCATTTACCACTTCAGTATGTTCCCCTGCCAGCACAAGCAAAGGGTGCCTTTGGAAATTCTGCATTTGCTGCTGCATTTTGTCTCGCATGTTAATTCAGGGATAAATGCCTGGCTGTGAGCTGTATTTTGCAGGGAGGGGGGTGTAGTTTATACCTTCCAGCATGTCCACAGCGAGGCCAGTACTCAGCACATACTAGGTGCTCATAAATGCTCACTGAAGGAGAGAGTGCCTAAATGAGACATATCATACCTTACGTAGCCTCATGGGCATTGCATGGAGGAAAATCTAGTAGCCTAGGTACACTGCAGACGAAGCTTGTCCCGCTGCCCACTGGGAGGGCCAGTTAGTGGGCGCTGGGTGGTCACACAGGCTCCTCGGCACCACTAGAGGAACATGAAGTTTCTATCGTGCTCTCCCTAATCTGAGTCCATGATCGTACTTACAGCCCCTTCTTCCCCCAGATCCTCCAAACAAGTGTGTCTTTGGGTTCCTACAGCCGCTTCTGCAGCACACACTTAAAATCTGCTATGCAGAGGCCAAGGAGATAGCTTAGCGGCACAGCACCTGCCCAGCAAGTGCAAGGTCCTGAGTTCAATTCCCAGCACCTCCCCACCAAAAAAAATCTGCCATTCATCTGCTCACTCAGGCCCAAAGCCTGATGGGTTGATTAGTTTCTAGTGAGAGAAGTTGATCGAAACCTTTCAAGTTGGGTTCTCCTGATAGCAGGTTTTACCTGAGCTCCTATAAACAGCTCATTACTAGGACACTGGCCTTCAGTGTGTGGTCCCGAGACTGCCAGAATCGGTGTCTCTCGGAATGTGGAGGACGAGTGGGCTCTTGGTCCTGTCCCCGGGTCGGGGCGGTGGGACCTGTCCCCAGCCCTCAGGTCTGGGATGCGGATTCACAACGCTCCCCTGTGCACCCCTCTCAGGATGGCTGTCTTTTGAATCTAGGTACACATTTATTCATACGTGCTACTAGTTTTTCCATACCCCTTCTACTTTAGAAAATCTACATCTTTAGAAAATTGGTCAGACTGTTGCGGTGAACATCCATTTTTTTCTTTGCTAATTCACCAACTGTTAAATTCTGCCACAATTTGTTTTGCTCTTTATTCTAAAGCATGTGAATTACTTGCAGACATTATTTATTGCCCAAATATTTCATCGTATTGTCTCTTTTTGTTTTTTAGTACTAGGGATCAAACTCATGACCTCACTTGCCAGGCAGGCACTTAAACGCCATTGAGATAAATCCCTGGCCCTCTCTCTATATTTAAGAATCATGTTAAACTTAAAAATAAAATTTGAGGGCCAGATTAGCTCAGCAGTGTAAGTGCCTGCTTGGCAAGGACAAGGTCAGGAGTTCAATGCCTGGTACAAAAAAATTAATTGGGCTGGGGATTTAGCTCAGCGGCATAAGCGCCTGCCTTGCAAGCAGGCAGTCATGAGTTCAATCCCCGGTACCGATAAAAAAAAAAAAAAAAATTAAATTAAATTTGAGGCTGTGTATGGTGGCACATGCCTGTAATCCCAGCACTGCGGAGGCTGAAGCAGGAGGGTACTATGAGTTCAAGCCTGGGCTGCACAGTGAGCTCAGGACCACCCTGAACTACATAGTGAGACCCTGTGTTAGAAAACTTAAATAAATAATATATAAGTAAATAAATAATAGTATATATTATATAATATGTTAAGAAATAATTATAAGTAAAGAAATACATATTTGAAGGGGAGGGAAAGGGGAAATAAAATGAATTAAGATGTGTTATATACATGCACTAATGTAATCCTGTAATGATGAATGTAATCATTACGTACCACAGACATGTACTAATAAAAATAAAAATTTAAGTTAAAGAGCTAGGGATTTAGCTCAGCGGTGTAAGCGCCTGCCTGGCAAGCACAAGGTTGTGAGTAATTAATTAATTTTAATTAAAATTTAAAAAATTGAAATGAACTGTAAAGGCCAAGTACCTACAGAGATGGTAGCCCTGTGATATTTGACTATGGGAAGGAATTGTAATAATGCTTTTAGTATGGTGATGGCATCAGGGTTTGAGAGTCTCTTCAGGTCTCGTTTAAATACTCACTGAAACCTTTGCAGACAGAGTGGCTGTGTCTTGGATTTGCATCAGCACCGCCCAGTGGGGTGGGCCAGAGGGCACACCAGATTGGCCACCAGCTGGGAACTGACTCAGCTGGGTGCTGTGCACCTGGGAGTCACACTGCGCCTTAGTCCTGTATGTGTTTTAAATCTTCCCTGTAAGAAACTAAAAAGAGCTGCCTCGGTGGCTCAAAAGACACAGCACTGTCATATTGAAATGACAACTTTCAAAAGCTAGCACTAAAAAAAAAAATAAAAAAGAAAAAGAAAATGGGGCTGGGGATTTACTCAGCGGCACAAGCGCCTGCCTTGCAAGCAGGCAGTCATGAGTTCAATCCCCGGTACGGATAAAAACGAAAAAGACAAAAAAAAAAGCTAGCACTGACTTTCCTTCAAGAATGCAAACGGTAAAGGCCACCTGGGGGCGGCGCTGGCCCGCAGCATCTCCTGGGGCCGGGTGCTGCGAAGGCTGGCAAGGCTGGCGTTGGGTCCCTTCCATGTGCCGGTTGCAGTTAGCAAATTAAATGGTCTCCACCTCTACTGACGCCTGTTTCCTCATGCAAAGATTTAGTCAGATGCACCATCTGGTTTCATTAGCTTCTGCTAGTCCAGTGGATAACATCAAATAGTCATTTATTAATGTGTTTTTTGATAGCTTGAGACGAAGTTCAAAGGTGACTTATGTGGAGGCATCTTGGCCGACAGGGAAGAGCCCCTCCGGTGCCTGATAAAGTTCTCTAGCCCGAATCTTTTGGAAGCGCTGAAATGCTTAGCTCCAGCTGGTGAGTGGTCAGCTTAATTTATGAGCTAGACAAGTTAACACAGACTCCGTGGGACCCCCTGTTGCTCATGAATCACCTCTGGGCTTTCCTGTCACACCCAGGTTTGCAGATCTGCTTCTGTGCTGCATGTGGGGAGGGCTCCTGGTCTACCCTCTAATCTAGGCCATTTTTAAATGCCTGATCCTGTGTTCGCCACGTTATTATTTTAATTTTCTTCTGTTTTAAATTTCAGGTATTGCAGACGCTCCGCTTTCTCCATTGCTCACCTGCATACCCAACAAGGCAATGAATTATTTTAAAATTAGAGATAAATAAGATGTATGTGGTTTTATAAGCCCAGGGGCGCCTCGATCACATGGCACATGCATTCCAGTTCCTGGCTAGCTGGACAGCGCCTGTCTGTAAACCCGCTTTTTAGAAACTGATCTAAATCTGGAAATGGCCCTACAAGTATTGGGGCTGTTCCCCCCTCCCCACCTGCACCGTTTTCTGATAAGCAGAGCAGGAGTGGGCAGTGATGTGTCACGGGGTATATGTTTGGCTCCGGGTTGAGCCTGGGTGCCGGGTGCTGTGAAGTCAAGCATGCAGCACCATGGCTGAGCCTGTGGCTGTCGTGTCTGGTGACCTTTTGCCCACTCCTGCCTCTCCACAGTCCTGGGAGGTTTAGTGCCAGTTGCTGGTGACGAGATTTTCTGCTAAGCCTCAGATCACAGGAAGAAGCACCCAACTCTGCACTTCTAGGTATTGGGCCATTCAGAGGCTAAAGCGTCCACTGATTGGTTATTGCAGGAGGTGGCACAGCCACTGATTGGCTCACATAAAGCAGTTGTTTCACTGTAAATCTGATACTTTTCATAGTGTAATTTATCACACCTGTGACATTCAAACTGACATTGTACTGATTTGTGAATAATAAAGATACTGTATTGAAAAACTGCTATACTAGTTACTTTACTTTTGATGAAAATCCTTCCGTGAACCAGGCATGGAGGCGCACACCTGAAATCCTAGTGCTCAAGGGGCTGAGGCAGGAGGATCACTGTGGATTCGAGACCAGCCTGGTTTACATAGCAACACGCTGTCTCAAAAAGAAAATCCTTCTGTGATTACCACTAAATAGCATGTTCTTATATACCATTTTAAAATATATTCCTATCTTGTCCCAGAGAGGATTTGGGGTTATAAAAACACATTATTTAAAAATAATTAAGGGCAGGGCTATAAGTTTAGCTTAGTGGTTCAGGTGCCTGCCTGGTAAATGCAAGGTTGTGAGTTCGATCCCTGTTAAAAAAAAAATTAAGGGCAACTCACTCGAGACCCCTCCCTCGTCTCCTGTCTCAGGAGTTATTCCTGCTCCTCGTTCACTCGATGCTGCCCACCCCCTGTTCCATTTCTCCAATTTCCTACACTAGAAAAAAAAAAAGGCATGGTGGCACATGCCTGTGATCCCAGCACTTGGGAGGCTGAGGCAGGAGGATTGCCACAAATTTGAGTCTAATGAGCTACACAGCGAATTCAAGGCCAGCCTGAACTACATAGCAAGACCCTGTCATCCCCCCAAAATATTAAAATAATAATAATAAGCCACATTTTTAGTTGGGCATGGTAGGACATGCCTATCATCCCAGTCTTTGGGAGGCTGAGGCAGGGAGATTGGTGTGAGTCCAAGGCCAGCCTGGACTACGCAACAAGACCCTCAAAAAAAAAAAAAAATTCTTAATTATAAAATTAAAAGGTAAAGAAAGCTGGGGAGAGAAGAGGACAAGAGAGAACAGAATAAAGCCAGGGATGTTTCTATGTAAGAATCCACATTTCTGTATGTCCCTCACCAATTGCTAAAAGATAAAAAAAATTAGCACGGTCTTTGCCAATGGCCAAAGCAGAGAAGAAGACAGCAGTTGTGGATCCAGCTATTATAAAAGTCGGATACCAGTTGCTTTTGATGAAAATCAAAAGGAGTCTTAAGTATACAGAATATATAACACAGAAAGGCAGATGCTGAATAATGCTAATACTGCCTGCAGGCTGTTGGAGACCACTGCGAAGCGGCTCTGAGCAGAATTTAAAATTAACCAATTGGCTTTCTGTGTTTATCTGTGAGTCTGGTCTAGGCCTCGGCCCCTTGCCTGGGGACGGGAGCTGATTCATAGTAAGTGAACCTCTATGAATCCTGGTCCTGGCTGAGGCCTGCAGTGGCCTGTGAGGCCAGAGATACCTCAAGGGACAAGATAAGGCCACAGCTGCGGACACCTGGTTCCAACATCATTTAAGTAGGTAGAGACTGGAGCTGCAGGCATGTCAATCCTGCTGTCTCACTCCTGCCATAAATGTCATCATGGAGATAAGATGGCGCTCCTAAATTGGCATAATTTACTGCTTGGAGAAGTCTCTGAAGTGACTCCCCAGGTTCTGCTCATTTCCTTTTCCTCAGTATCCTGCTCTTTTGTTTGGACCTAGTAAATATGGGCAGCCCCGAGAAGCCCTTTGTCTTAGCCCCTGTCATCACCACAGAGTCAAGAACTCTGCAGAGGGTTTTGATCCTCCTGGAGCCCTAAAATCCTACCATTTGTGTCATTTATTTAAGCCTTCACCATACACTTGTTTGGGAGATTGGGGATCTAGACCAGGTCCCCGCTAATAGGCTGCAGAACATCGGATATGAAAGACTGTGTTTTTAGATTTACCCTAGAAACATCACAGACGCTTCAGTCGTTTCCCGGGGGCCACTGAGTGTTGGGCTGATGGACAATTTCCTCTTGTGCAGTCGTGGTTTCCGGCGTCTCTCCCTGTGTGTGTCCTGCCCGGGGCTGTAGTGTCCGCATGGGGCCTGCACAGGGCCTGCGGTTCCTGGAGTGACTTCCAGCAGCCTCACAGCATTTGCTGGTGTTTGGCAGGGATGGCGTCTGGAGCCGAATAAGAAGATAAAAGTCATATTGTATATCCTGTAATGACACCACCTGGGCTGACCCACCCAACAGGCTCCTGCTTAGAAAAATGGGAGAACCTGCGCTCCCAGAGCCCTTATCTGCTGTGTACTTTATGGTTGTTGGGAGCCGCGGCCGAGCCCGGTCGCCTTACTTGGCGGACGTGAGGCCTGTAGAAAAGAGCAAAGCCTGAGCTAAGTTACCCCTCCCATCGAGTGAGCCAAGTTGACGCCTGCTTCCTGCCCCCTGATTGCCCTGGCGACGTAAGCAGCCCGCGCAATAGAATAGTCTGCCTAGCAACAACTGATGTTAGCCAGTCAGCCCGCATCGCGTGCTTTAAACTGATTGGCCACTGTTACCCTATAAAAGTGAGTGCCTCTCCGCTACGAGAGAGAAGCACAGAGAGAGATAGAGGAAGTCCACCGGCAAGAAAGGGCTGGTGGCAGAGCAGAGGCCTCGCGGGGCCCACGCGGAGACAAATAAAGACAAGGTTGCACACCGTCAGAATCTGTCGTGTGTTTTTCCTGCCGGACGGGAGCAACACCGACATATGGTCACCTTCGGATGCAGTTCAAGAACAAAGCATAACCCCACAGCCAAGGACCTCTATAGCCAAAAGGCTTGTATTGTCACAAAAGCCACCACAGATGGAAGAGTTGGCCAGTGCTGAGTGAGCACTAACTATATGCCAAGCACTGTGCTACTGTATTTCATATGCTTTACTTTTTTTGTGTGTGTTACTTTCATAACAGTATTATAAGTGGTGCAGGCCCATAATTCCAGCACTTGGGAGGCTGAGGCAGGAGGACTGTTGCGAGTTCAAGATCAGCCTGGATTACAAAGTGAACTCAAGGCTAGCCTGAACTGCATAGCAAGACTTTGTCTCAAAAAGACAAAAATAGTAACAATAGTGTTGTTATTATTATTATTATTATTATTATTATTATTATAAGATAGGCAGCATGATTAATCTTCGTTTACTTGAGTAATGACCAGGCAGGCAGACTCCACAGCCTGCACTCTATAAACAGCAGGCTAAATAATGCCCCCTTCTCAAACAGGTCCAGGCAATCCCTGGAATCTGCACTTTGGAGAAGTTCTCTGCAACACCTTGATGGGCCCAATGTAATCACAGCATTCTCAAGAATGAAGAGGAATAGAGTCACAGAGAGATGTCAGAGTGGCTTGCTACAATGGTGGCATACATAATCCCAGCCGACTGGGCAAGCTAAGGCAAGAGGATCACAATTTTGAGACCAGCCCAGGCCACATAGCAAAACCCTATCTCAAAATAAAAATTTAAAATAAATAAATTAAAAAGACTGGCTAACTCACTGGTAGAACACTTGTTTAGTATATGGGAGGCCCTGGGTTCAATATTCAGTACCATAAAAAAAAGAAAGCAAAAAAGTGATCTAATGGGACAAACTCAACTCATCACTACTCATCTTGGTGGAAGGAGCCACCAGCCAAGGAATGCAGGCAGCCTCTAGAAGCTGGAAAAGACAGATGGATTCTCCCCAGAGCCTCCAGAAGGAACCAGCCCGGCTAACACATTTCAGGCTCCAGACCTGCAGAGCTGCAAGACAAATTTGTTATGGCAAGATGCTAAATTGATGGTAATTTATTATTAGCAATAGAAAACTAATACAGCTAACATGTAAAATTTGGACATTTTCTTTTCTTTTCTTTTCTTTTTTACCTTGTAAGTCACACAAACAATTTTGGACATTTTCACAAAATAATGTAGCCGAAGATACACAGAACCTTCCCCGTTTCAGACAGTGTACTTCCGGTTGCACTGCGGTCCTCAGCTGCTTATGTCTGTTTAGGTGACCTACTGAGTCTCTTTAGGCATTGAGTTTTCAGGAGCATGCACTAAGCTATGCTGTTTCCCAGACAACGGAATTTCAGTAACTGAAACAGGCAGGTAGTCTGGCGAGATAGCGCAGCGCAATAATCCCAACACTTTGGGGGACTGAGGCAGGAGGATTCCGAGGCCAAGCCCAGCCTTAGCGATTTAGTGAGCTCCTAAATCAAAATTAAAAAGCTGGGGATGTACCTCAGTGTGAAAGCCCTAGGTTCAATCCCCAATAGAAGGGGAAAATCTAGCAGGTAAATAATAGGATCAGCCCTATCGATTTAACAATCCTGTCGCTCGTACAGAGCGATTTAGGGCAAATTCACCTCTGTATGCCTAAATTTCCTTTCCCCACCACCAATGCTTTGATTTGGGGTCCCGCGGACCAGCACGCTTTGCCTGTCGGCCTGCAGTTTCTGCAGCCCGCCGCCTCCCCCGGCCGGCAGGGGGCGCACGGCCTCCGGATGCTAATGAGCCCCGAGGCCCCGCCTCCTGCCGGAAGTGGCTCTCGGGGGCGGGGCCTGCGAGCGGGACCCGGGCCGTGCGGGAGCCATGGCGGCCTCAGAGGCGGCGGCGGCGGCGGAACCCGCGGCTCTGGCGGCGGGCGCCCCGGCCGTCCCAGCGGCCGCGAGGGGAACCGCCGCCGCCGCCTCGGGCCCGTGGGGGACTCCGGGGTCCCGGCTGAGGGGCAGCCGGCCACGGCCCGCGGCGACCCGGCAGCAGCCCGCGGCCCCGGCGCCGCCGGCCCGGGAGCTGATCCAGCCGTCGGTGAGCGAGCTGTCGCGGGCCGTGCGGACCAACATCCTGTGCACCGTGCGCGGCTGCGGCAAGATCCTGCCCAACAGCCCGGCGCTCAACATGCACCTGGTCAAGAGCCACCGCCTGCAGGTGAGCGCGGCGGGCCGGGCCTGGCTCCCGAAGCGCGGGGCGCACGCACGGCCCGGGGCGCGGGGTCCGGCGGGGCGGAGGAGGCGCGCGCGCGGCGGCCGGAGCCTGCCCTGCGGGGGGCCCACAGCCCTCAGCACCTGGCCGGGGTGCACCTGAGCCCCACTGCTGTGGATGGACGTCAGCCTGCGGGGCCCGCACCCCTCCCAGGTCCTGCCGGTGCTTCAGGGTGGGCTCCGAGCCCCTCCAGGGACGAGCGTCCCTGGGAACTGCTCGGGAATGAGACCCGAGGGATTCTTCCAGAGGGCCACAGTGTAAGGTGACAGTGGTGCGATCTGGCCGTCATCAGCGTCGTATAAACAAGGACCAAGGATTTTCAACCTTTGGTACTCTATGGAAAGCTTATTAAAAATCCAGATGCCCGGCCCCACCCCAGACCGATTAAGTCATGATTCTTCAGTCATTACAGTAGGAGTTTACTTCATCGCTGAGTGTCAACTCCAGTCCTGAGGGCAACCGGGAAAGGGCAAGTCATTGAAAGCCGCGTGGGAATGCGTGGCTTTCCAGGATCCCATTTGATTCAGTTACCACTGTTGAATGTTCTAACCCACTTTTAGGTACATCTCTCTTGGAAATTTCTTAGAATCGGGCTTATAAGCTCCAAACAGCAGGCATTTTGAGGTTGTAGCCTGTCGCAGGACAGGTAAGGGCGCTGTCTGTGAAGGGAGTTGTATCTACCAGCTGAACCAAAGAGCAGCTGAGTGCGTCCTGGGAACATCCAGCAGGAAATGCACCCAGGGTTTTGCTAAAGACCGTGCTGGAGTTTTGGGTTTCATCAGCACTCAGGTGCAACATCGGGAACACTTTTCAATGTATTATTTCCTCTTCATACTAAATTTGAGCCAAATCTTTCATTTTCTTAATTTTATCCTAACTTAGGTGTGCGAACTGTGTACTTATAGGGCTTCTACAGCTTAATTTGTTGTTTCTCTACACTTACACAACAGCCAAGACCGGCCTTCAGTGTCATCCCCTCTGCGGTGACCGCCAAGGAAAGGCATTGTGTCTTGGCGCAGAAGGTGAAGCTGCCTGTTGCGGGGACTCTCCCTGGTGTTGGTCGAAATCACTCTGGCCAGCGTTTCTTTGCAGTTTGTATTGTTCTTGTCTCAAGAATTGCTGTCAGGGACTTTCTGTGTCTCAAGACTTTATTAAGCCTCTGCTTGCATAATGATAACCACTTTTTAGGTCGAGTTGAATCGAATGCAAGACACTTATTTCTGATTATGCTTTAAAAGATATCTCAAGTTTGGGAATCCACAAGAGACCAGGATATGACACAGGAATATGTTTGAGCAAATAAAAATGACCACTGACACCTCTTCTCTTGGAAGCAGCACCCTGCCTTGCGGAAGCCACACGAAGTCCTTCTTCCCATCTGAGGTCTTCCGTCTTTTGGCTGCCACTCACCTGCAGATGGCACAGTGTCCCCAGGCTCTCTCTGAACAGAAACATCGAGCAGTCGAAATATGGACTCTTAGAAGCTTCCTGCCTGGGTCAGCAGGGTGATCCTTTTCAGTAGGAATTAAAGAAGTCTCCCCCAGAATCACCACTGTCGTTTTTTCCTGCTCTCTTCTGCCTTTCTAACCTCAATGCCCGCAGCCTCGGCCATCTGCCGTCCTGGTAGGAAGACCTTTTCTGTCTTGGACACAGGGTCTCGCCATGTAGCCCACACTGCCCTGGAACACCCGGAGATCCTCCTGCCTCCAAGTGCTGGGATTATAGGTGTGCCCCACTCCCATTTTCTTTAATAAAAGTGGCCCAGGGGACAGAAAATAGCCATGTCACTGTGGTGGTGCCCCTTGATGGGTTTTCCCATGTCCACATGGTGCTGACCAACTCCTCCCTTCAGCACTGACCTTCTTACTCTTCTCCCAAACCCAGCCTCCCACTTTTCGAATGCACCAGTGCTCCCCCAATCAGCTCTCACTAGGTCATTCTGCCCGCCCCTTTACCTCCATCCCTGTGGATTCCAAATAAAGCCTGTGGTTTTTCCTTTGTTCCCTCCAGAGGGTGCTTGTCTGTTCAGCAGCTCTCCTGTGCCCGCAATAAATGCCTCTTCTTTCTTTCTCTGTTCTCTCTCCTTTGTCTCTCTCTCTCTCACTTCAAAGGACCAGCACCCTAGGCCAACAAATCCTCACCTCATTACTGCTGGAAGGCACTTCAGTTCACACATTACTGCATTGTTTTGGTTTCATTTGACTTTTCAGACAAGATCTTGCTGTGTAACTCAGGCATCCTTGAACTCTTAAGCAGTCCTCCTGCCTCAGCCTCCTGAGTGCTGGGATTATAGTTGTGAGCTATACACCCCCAGCTTCATTACTACATTTTTGACACATGTTCTCACAGAGAACTGGAGAGAGGAGGCAAGAGAAGGCACAGGACAGGGCCTTCCTGGAGAGCGGGCTGTGGTTTCAGGAATATCCTGGATCAGTCAGGTGTTGGCACCACTCTTCTGCCCTCAGGCTACACTGAGTGTGTGGACTATCTTCTATTCAGTGGAAATTTTCATGGTCTGGGTTAGAGATAACTGCATTACTCTAATTTCTTTTGTTATTTTTTATTTATTTTTGAGCCACAAGTCTTACTGTGTAGGTCATGATGGACTTGAACTCACTGTGTAGCCCAGAACGCCAAGTGATCCTCTTGCCTCAGCCTCCCAAATGCTGAGATTAAAGGCATGTCCCACCACACTCAACTAACTGTTGCTTTTATGTTTTCCAGGCTATGGTCATTTTTATTGCTTTCTGTATTAGATGCTGTATAGTTCTCAGTTTATTGTAATCTTTTCTTCCAAAGATACTCCACCTGCAATCAAATATCCCATTCCGAATGTAAATGATGACCAGATAGCTCTGAAAAAGATGATGGGTAAGGACAGGGAACGGAATTGGAAGCTGCAGAGTATTTGCTGCCTTTGGCTTTATATGGGATCTTAGTTCCGTGTCTGTACTCAGTGACCATATGGAAACCTGGACCCTGCTAGCTCACCTTGCCTGCAGAGGGATCCACGGGAGATGGGAGCTGCGCTGACTGGAGAGCTGGAATGATGGGGAGAGGAAGAGTGGGAGGAGCGGGCCTCCCCTGACTGCCAGAAAGGCTTTTGTTCCTTGCATCTGAATGCAACCAAGGGGACAGGAGAGAGCACTTAAGAACCTCTTATCGAGCAGCATTTAATTTTTAAAGCATGGCTTGCAGGGCTTTGTATTCTATTCCATCCAGGGGTTTGCGTTCAGTGATTTGCCAGAAAAAATCCTTTAAAAGGAACAGAAAGGTTCCAGCTTGCTCCGTCGAGCATATTATAGACGAATTACTGATTTTCTGTTTGCAACAAGATGACAAAAGCAAACTGGTTTCCTTCTCACGTGCTCTCTGTGAGGTGGTCACATGCAGACCGCATTTGCAGGTCTCTGCAGGCCTCCCCTTCTCCTGCACTCTTCAGCTGTATTTCTCCTTCACCTTATTTCATTCTTGCTCATTTTCTTTATCAGTCCATGTTTGTAGTATGTAAGGATCACATTCCTTCTGGGGCGCTGACCCACGGACATAGCCCATCTTTTCTCATCTCCTTCCCCTCTACTCCCTGTCTCCTCCTTCCATCTCTCGATTCCTTTCCCTTCTGCCAACGATCTGTCTCTCTGTTGCAGCACAGTTAATGCCAGCTAATCTTGAAAGCGGCTTGTGTCCATCAGCAGATGAATGGGTAAGGGCCTCGTGGTGTTTATAACCATGGAATACTGCTCTGCTGTAAAGAAGGATCAATGGGGTCCTCGTGTGTGTTTTCCCATCTTGTTTTTAAATCATTTTATCTCTTGCAAATTCTGTCACTTAAAATGTTCTGCAGAGTATTTTGGTTTTGAGACAGGGTCTCCATGTACAGTCCAGACCAGCCTTATGCTGGCCTCCGCTACCACCCTCCTGACTCGGCCTGCTGAGTGCTGGAGTCACAGGTGCCATCCACCGTCCCTGGCATACAGTGTTTATTGTGGTGGACATTTGTTTCAGTGAGACACACAAAAGATACAGTGCCAGAGTCTCGTACATTTTATTCATAAACAGAACACCACTTCCTGCTGTGCTCGTTCAGGGTACCACTGCCATTTCTCCCCTCCCCGGCCTGCCCTTGAGCTCCCTGACTCAGGACAGGGTGGGAAGAAGCTGCGCTCAGAGAGTAGGAGCGAGCGCGGTGTTGGGTGCAGGAGACCGTGGCCTGGGGGGAGGGGGGGGGTGTTGTCATCCGTTTGTGTTTAGTGGCCTCATTCCCACACAGGGAACGACTCTGGCCCAGGAGCTGGGTGGACTTGCGCTGTACAGGACGCTTAAAAGATTTTAGGTTGGGGGGGGGTTGTTTGTTTGTTTGGGGGTTTTTTGGTACTGGAGATCGAACTCATGACCTAGTACTTGCCAGGCAGGCACTCATACTGCTGAGCTAAATCCCTGGCCTGGATTTTGGGTTTTCTAATGAGGGATGCTTACCTAGTAATGCCTGCACAGATGTCTGAACATCTGGACTCTGAGACACGTGGGGTCTGGAGCACTCTGGAGGAGGGAAGCCCTGCCCTCGGGGACAGAGTCACATGGAAGAGACAGAGAGTTGGGAGCTCTGTGGGAAGGGGCGTGGGGCCACCAGCTGGAGCAGCCGGACCTGGCCACGTGTGAATGCAGAAGAGACAGAAACAAGAGAAGGTGTAATGACACAGTCCAGAGCTGGGGACCTGAGCAGAGAAGGGAGAGACCAGACATGGCGCCTCAGGGGAGCCAGGCTCCTGTCACGGTGCAGGAACCTGGCGGGGGGGCAGGGCCGCCAGCACCCTGGGTTCCATTAGGAGTGTCGAAGAGACCTAGCGCGGGAGAGCAGCTCCCCAGCATGTGATCCAGCCTGATAATGTTCTATGAAAGAAGCTAATGTTCAAGCCGGCTGTGGTGGCACGCGCCTGTAATCCCAGCGCTTGGCAGGCTGAGGCAGGAGGGCAGCCCAGGCTACGCTGTGAGTTCCCAGGCAGCGTGAACTACATATACCAAGACCCAGTCTCAGAAAAATAGAATGGAATAGAAAAAATAGCTTTTTAACAAGGAAGGAGGGCCGGGGTACAGCTCAGGCACAGCGCCTGCCTGGCAGGAGCAAGGCCCTGAGTTTGAGTCCCAGTACCGAAAAAAAAAAAGAGCTCAGAGCCCTGTGGAGCATTCGCCCCACGCTTCATTCTCTCCTGTCACACTCTGCTCTCTTTGTTCCGCTGAGAACAGGAGAAGGAAAACTCCAAAGAGATTGAAAATGTCCCATAGAACAGCGGATGGCTTGGGCCAATGAGGGGAGGTTGGCAGGCTGGGCGGTGTCAGTTGCCATTAAACTCACAGCTACCAGAACACAGAAAAAGCAGCCCCAGTCCGTCCGTCATGGACAGAAGGCATGAAGTGCCCTTTGGGTAAGTTTATTGGTGTCCAGTTAGTTGGCAAAAAGGGAAAGAAAGAACAGAAGCCCCGCAGCCAGTAACTTGTGCCTAACGTGAAGTAGGCACTGTGCCGAGCCCTTGGTCTGAATTACCCTGGGCCCCACAAGCTAAGCTGTCCCCATCTCACAGATGCGGAAGCCAAGGGTCAAGGTAAAGGGGCAACCTGGAGAATCCCAGCTATAGAGAGCAGCCGCAGAGCCCCGGGTAACACCTGCACCTGGAGCTCGGGGACGCTGCACGCCAGAACATTTCACACCCAGACGTGGATCCCCAGTTCCACCAAAAGCATCACATCAGAAGGAATACCTCGGCTGGGCGAGGGTCCCTAAATCTTTACTCTGTGGTACTATATAGTGACTCTAGGGACTTCTCGCTGAGCTGCATCCCTGGCCCTTTTATTATTTTTTATTTAGAGATAGGGTCTTGCTAACCTCTCAAGATGCCCAGGCGGGGCTTGGACTCACGATTCTCCTGTTGCAGCCTCCCAGAGCACTGGGATCGCAGGCTTGGCCGCCAGCCTAGCAGGCGTGGATGTTTGCACAGTGCGATTCTCAGGGCTTCCAGGGTGGAGACTGCACCGCCTTTAGCGTGCTTGCTTTCCTCTTCTGTTTCGGAAACATGGTCTCTCCGTGTATTCCAGATGGGCCTCACACTCGCAGTGATCTTCCTGCTCAGCCTCCTGAGTGCTGGGATAGTAAGTGTGTACAACCGTGCCCAGCCTGCTTTCTTTCTAAAGCAGAAACACTACAGAAAGGTGTGTTAGTTTCTGCCCTGAAGAAATTCAGTTGGGAAACAGAAACCTCACAGGAAACTGACCGCAGCCTGAGGCGGCAGGATTGCCCTGAGTTCGAGGCCAGCTTGAACTATGTAGCAAGCCCTGTGTCCAAAAACAAAGAGAGAAAAGGACAGTATTGAAGGTAGATGAAATGCAGGGCTGGAGTTCAGGGCAAGTCCGGAGCCTCAGCTGTGCCTGTGTGTGCGGCGAGCTTGGAGGGTTGCGCGTGTGACCTGGACGCTCCCTGCTAATCCGGATCCTGAGGCACAGCGCGTCCTGGGCCAGGTCCCCGCAGCGCTGCGGGCTCGTCAGGCCTGTGCGGCTGTCATCCGGATCTGCCGGCCTGAGTGGGCGGGAGTGGAGTGGAGTGGGAAAAGCTGGTGTGGGCGGGCGGAGCGGGCTGAGTGTGAACAGGGGACCGGAAAAGCAGCAGCGTGACGGCCGTTGGCGGCCGGGTGGCTTGGGAGTCTGTGTCCCTGGCCGCACCTCGCAGGGGTGCAGCACTCTCTGGAATGGCAGGTTTGGATGACGCTGGAGAGAAAGGCAGTGGGTCGGGAGCTGCTTGAGGGTCCGAGTGGCCGCACGCGGCCCGCAGGACTGTACAGGGTTGAGCGTGGGACCGGGCAGCCGCTTTTCTCAGCCACCGAGCAGGCACAGGCCAGGTCAGTCACATCCCTGAGTCCCCGAGGAAGCAGGCAGGGCGGTTTGTGGCCGTCACTGAAACAGCTGATGCGGAGAGGAGATGGCTGTGCCCGCACTGGTGGCCCTGGTCCATGGGACACTAGAGGAACAGTTTTCAGCAGTAGCACCCAAGGCCTGAGCACACCCATTTCTTTGGGACCCACAGAGAGAAGCTGTCACCCCCAACAAAAAAGAGCGGCAGTCTAGATGTGGTGGGACATGCATGTGCACTGAGCACTCAGGAGGCTGAGGCAGGGGAAAAATGAATTGGAGGCCAGTCTGGGTTGCACAGTGAGTTCAAGGCCATAGGCTACATGGGCAGACCCTGTGTCACAGGGGCAAGAGGTGGTGACCCCACACCAAACAAAGCAAAATAACAGAAAAAGAGAAACAATTTTGGGTCAAGATGCCAGACAACAGTTTTACTGCAAGTCACCTGTAGTCCCCACCCTGCAGCCTGTGAGCTGGCATCTCAAGCTAACCCAACTCAGCAAGCATTTTAAAACTCCCAGCTAAATAGTCAGTTGAACCGGGGGTGGTGGTGTACACATAGGTATGCACAGAAGGCTGAGGCAGGAGGTTCTCTTGGACCTGAGAGCTGGGTACACAGGCATGTGCCAACTGGGCTAAGGAGGCTAGGGCAGGGGCATCACTGAAATTCTGATGCCAGGAATTCAGGATCAGCCCAGGCAACATAGCAAGACCTGTCCTCTTACAAATAATTTTTTTAAATGTAAAGAATGTTTACAAGTTAATTGCATATCTAACAAAAAATTATTAAGACTGAGTTAGTATATTAATAAAAAGTATAGCTGGGCATGATGTTGTGTGCCTGTAATGCCAGCCCTTGGGAGGCAGAGGCAGGAGGATCAATGAAAGTTTGAGATCGGTCTGGGCTATGTAGTGAGACCTTGTCTCAAAAAAAAAAAAAAAAACAAAAAACAAAAAGAAACAAACGGTTAAAAAGTGCTGCGGAAGTCAGTGCCTGAGCGTAGGATTGAACCCAAGTGCCTCAGTGCCTGAGGGTGCCGAGGACCAAACCCAGGACCTGAAGCACGTCAGGGAGATGCACAGGCCCTGAACTCATTCCCAACCCGTGAAAGCTGTTCATCCTGGGCGCTGCATGATTACAAATGTCAAATATAGCAAGACATCCAAAGGTGTGCCAGCAGCCCTCGGCTACATGGTGGGGCAGTGTGACGGTCAGAGAAAGTCAAGGTGCCACTGATTAGGAGGCCCCGGGCCTGGTCACAAAGGTTTCTCAGGGACACAGACTAAGAACCTTGGAGGTACAAAAACAGACCAGCCTGGCTAAGGAGGCTAGGACAGGAGCATCACTGCACTTCTGACGCCAGTCGGACTAAGCAAGCCTGTCTCAAAACACCAAGAAAGAAAGCAAGAAAGGAGAAAAAAGACCAGAGATGATGCCCAAATCTTGAGCCTGTGGTCACTACACATACAATCCCACTGCAGCAGAAGCTGGCTACCAGGGTAGAGGTCCAAGTTTAGGCAACATTGTAAAAGAACAGAAAGAAGTAAGATTTTTTTTTTAATAAAGGAGTTTTGATGTTGGGCATGTAACTGCTTAGCATGCCCTGCAAAAATAAAATAGAGTTGCATATGATTTCAGTAAGAAAAGTGGCCACCACAATCAATGTATGCCTGTAATTCCAGCTGAGTCAGGAGAATTGTGAATTTGTGGCCAGCCTGGACTACGTAATGTAATCCTGGCTCAGAAAAGCGGAGAAGCATAGAGAGAAAACTGTTTTTGTGGAATTTTTGAAAAAATTCTTAACAGACTTATCGACGTATAATTTACACACTATGATATATACCTGTTTTAAGTGACTCCATTCTTTCTAGTGGAATTATACTTTTATAATCTACTAGATTACACTACTAGATTTATACTTGTATAAATCTACTAGATTTGTACTTGTAAAAGTATAATCAGTTATCAGACTGCTGCTCCCTGTGTCAGCGACACTGGGGTTCTCTGTATCCCAAACATAGAATTGAGCAGGAGACCGTAGTAGGAGGGAGGCAGAGATTTGTGACAGGAAATGCACACTGCGTGGAGCGCGAGTGGGTCGAGTTGACCTCGTAGCATCCTGTCTGCTCCAGGGGGCTCCCAGGGACAGCGCCCAGAGCTGGCCGCGGTGGGTGGTGAAACTGACCTCCCCGGGTGCAGAGCCCGATGCCGCCACACAGAGCTGCAGCTCGGGTATGTTTTCCTAGAATGTGGGGAGAACGCGGTAGAGGTGGGGCTGGCGACTGGCTACACCCTTTTTTAGTCAGCTCTGCGTCTCTACCCTCAGGCCTGGTGAAAAGGCCTTGACTGGGGGCACGGGAGGGCTGCAGCAGAGCGCAAGGTCCCTGGGCAGGCAGAGACGGGTGGAGTTTAAGGGGGCGGCGAGAGTGACGTAGGGACAGCTGGTGGGGGAGTGCTGCGCATGCGCCAAAAGCAGGACGTTCAGTTTTCAGGTTGGCGCAGGAATGGGGGAGTCAGTGTTGAAGGGGGGTGCTGTCCTGCATCACGTGGGTCGGCGCCACGCTGAGCCCGGCAGCGCTTCCCATAGACGGAACCCATCGCTGCACGGGGGAGTTTTGGATTTTTAGGGCCGTGAACGGCTCATGACAGCGGGTTCCCCGTGACTGAGCAGTCCCCGCGCTGCTTATGGGGCCCAGGCCAGGGTGCAGGGTGCACGCCCAGGGCCGGCTCCAGCAGGACCTGGGGACAAAGGGGAGCGCCGGAGGCTCCCGGGTCTCCTGTCTGGCGGCCCAATTCGTCTCGCCTGAGAAGCACCCCTTGCCCACTTTCAGGCACGGCTTTCTTCCCCACCAGCCCGGGCGTCGGTGTGCTGGAAATAGTGATGGAAAGTAATTTTGCTTTGCAGGACGGCATAGTAAACCCGACAGTAAGAAAAGACTTGAAGACGGTGCCGAAATTCTACTGCTGTCCCATCGAGGGCTGCCCCAGAGGCCCCGACAGACCCTTCTCACAGTTCTCTCTCGTGAAACAGGTATGCTGCTTTTTTAGTACTCTCCTGGGACACTGAGCGCAGGGACCGCGCGGGCCAGCGGGTGGGAGCGCCGAGTCGCAGCCCGGCGGTGCTCAGCCTCCTGTGCCCCCCCCAGCACTTCATGAAGATGCACGCCGAGAAGAAGCACAAGTGCGCCAAGTGCGGCAACTCCTACGGCACCGAGTGGGACCTGAAGAGGCACGCGGAGGACTGCGGCAAGACCTTCCAGTGCACGTGCGGCTGCCCCTACGCCAGCAGGACGGCGCTGCAGTCTCACGTCTACCGCACGGGCCACGAGATCCCCGCGGAGCACAGGTGACGGCGGCCGGCCTGGGGGCGACTTCCAGGAGAGGCGGCACCATCACCAAGGGGCGACGGCCGCGGGAAGGAGGGGAGCAGGGCTGCGCGGAAGAGGCTGCTCCCCAAACCGCAGCAGCGCATGTTCCTGCTTTTTGTTGTTTTAGTTTTCTCTGGTGTGGGACTCCCCACCCCCGCACGAGACACGGTGGTGTCCGTGTGGGCTGTGGCTGGCCCGCACGCACTGTGTCACCCAGACTGGCTTCGAGTTGGTTATGCCCTGCCTCGGCCTCCTGAGTGCTCCGCGTGCGCGCGCCGCTGTAGCACAGGGCCGCCTCTGTACCTCCGGTGCTGCTGGCCCCTTTTGTTTTATTTGTCCTCCGTGAGGGGCTCACTATTCCCACCTGAAAACGCCCCTCCCAGGGTCAGGCTGCTAAGGGTGAGTTTCATCCCGAGCTGCGCTTTAAGCCAAGGTCCATCTTCCTGTGCTGCAGTAGCGGCCTCCTGCTTAGCTCTCCTTCTAGTTCTGGTGCTCACAGCCTTAAACAAGAGAGGCGTCCCTTCTTCCCAGTGTGCTCCTCTTCTGGACCGCTGCCACCCTGACAGCCCGGATCTCAGGGTAGCCGAAAGGGCGACCTCTGTGGGTAGAGGGTGACCTCCCAGGGGAGAAGCCCTGATGTGGGGGAAGGCCGTGCTTTTACACTGCTGTCACTGTTTTCAGGGACCCACCTAGCAAGAAAAGGAAAATGGAGAACTTCCTGCAGAACCAGAAGCTGTCCGCAAAGACCATCGAATCCTTGAGCAGCCAGCCACACCCTCCGCAGGACCCCCAGGAACTGGAGACCTCAGAAATCAAACTTGTGGCCTCTCTTGAGGACTCTCAGGGCCCCAGGAAGCAGAGTGGCCCCACACCTCCGAGACACCCTCAGAAGCTGCTCCTCCCAAAGCCCAAGGTGGCCCTGGTGAAGCTTCCAGTCATGCAGCTGTCACCTATGCCAGTCTTCGTGCCCACGGCCGACTCCTCGACCCAGCCCGTAGTGCTGGGAGTCGATCAGGGCTCTGCAGCGGGCGCCGTGCACCTAGTGCCCCTGTCGGTGGGGGCCCTGATCCTGGGGCTGGACTCTGAGGCCTGCTCCCTGAAGGAGAGCCTGCCTCTCTCCAAAGTCATCAGTCCCAGCGTCGAGCCAGTCAGCACCGGCGTCCAGGTGAACTTGGGGAAGTGTCCTTCTAACCCTTCCCAGGAACTGGGGAGCCTGTGTCCAAGGAACGGCATTTCGTCCATCAACGTGCAGAAAGACCTGTCCTGCGCCTCACAGCACTTGGTCCCCTCTGTCCCATGGGTCGGCCCTGACTCCTCCGTGTCGTCTTGCTCTCAAACTGACCTGTCGTTTGATTCGCAAGTGTCCCTTCCCATTAGTGTCCACACTCAGACGCTCCTGCCTGGTTCTAAAGCAGTGTCATCCATCGCTGCTCAGACAGACGCCTTCATCGACCCCTGTCTTGAGCCAGGCGGGGTCTCCAGGGAGACCCAAACCTGCAGGGTACCGGAGCCCCCCAGCCACCCCATGCAGATGGACCAAGCTGGGATGTGTGGGGACCTCTTTGATAGTGTCCACTCCTCATACAGTGTCCCCACAGACAGTATGATAAGCAGCAGTTTAGTAGCGGAGACCGTCACCCACAGTTTATTACCTCAGAACACCCCGAAGGTTTTGAGTGATGACATGGAGAAATCCACGCCCCTGCTGCCCTTTGGTGGGCAGAGTGGCATGCTTCCTGCGCAGACCATGACGGACAACCAGACCCAAACCATGGACCTGCTCAGCGACCTAGAAAACATCTTGTCAAGCAACCTGCCTGGCCAGACGTTGGACAACCGTGGTCTTTTGTCTGACACCAATCCCGGGCCTGACACCCAGCTCCCCTCCGGTCCCACCCAGAACCCCAGCATCGATTTTGATATTGAAGAGTTTTTCTCCGCCTCCAACATCCAGACTCAGACTGAAGAGAGTGGCCTCGGCGCCATGAGCACAGAGCCAGTCCTGGAGTCGCTGGACATAGAGACCCAGACCGACTTCCTGCTCGCAGACCCGTCTGCGCCCCCTTACGGGTGCAGGGCCGGCGCCCACTTCCTAGGGCTCGAGATGTTCGACACGCAGACGCAGACGGACTTAAACTTCTTCCTGGACAGCAGCCCTCACCTGCCCCTCGGCAGCATCCTGAAGCACTCCAGCTTCTCCATGAGCACCGACTCCTCCGACACCGAGACCCAGACCGAGGGGCTGTCTGCCGCCCGGCACGCCCCCGAGCTGGAGGGCAAGGTGCAGCAGAGCAGTGCCGAGACGCAGACCAGCAGGTCGGGCCTCGAGGCCCTGGGGAGCTTGTTTCTCACCAGCAACGAGACGCAGACAGCCATGGATGACTTCCTGCTGGCCGACCTGGCCTGGAACACCATGGAGTCTCAGTTCAGCTCCGTCGAAACCCAGACGTGTGCCGAGCTGCACAACTTCTAAAGGAGCAGGCCAGTGCGGGTGGCATTGGCCATTTCCTCCTCCCAGACTTCAAAAAAAGGCCGAACAGGGATGACAGTGTTAGCTCCGGTGAATGTAGTCCATGACATGGTTGCTTAGGTTCTTTGCCATCCTTTCCTTTTGTACTTGTAAACAGTTCGCGTGTAAATGTGCGTGTATCATACAGTGTAAGATGTTGATCTGAAAATGTTTTCGTGTTGCCTACAGTCTCGCTTTCACAGCTGGTCTTTCCATCTGTGTTAAACGCGCTCAGCCATTTAGCGGAAGCCAAGCTTACCGGCACCGGGGTGCAGACTCCTCCCGTCTTCAGTGTCTTAGCAAGCGTGGCCCGAAAGCTGCACCTACAGTGCTCGAGATGCCACGGCACTGGTACCCACTTTGCTGCCTCTCCCCATCTCTGCTCCCCTCAGACACCACAGGAAACCGGGAAACCGCAGCTGTCTTTGTGCAGGTTTTACAGTGGTTTCCTGAAGTCCTTCTCCTGAGCAATCACTGATGCGGGCACAGTCCTGCCTCACCGGAGGTTGTGGCTGTGGAATTACCGCCTACAGACGGAGCAACCAGCACTTACCAGAAATGGCGAGGGTGACGAAGTTGAGGCTGGTTAAAGAGCACGGTACCTCCCTGTGCTCTCACCCCACCATCAACCCGGCAGACACCTGTGAGCAATGGTGTGGGGTCTCTGCACCCTGCACACGGTCCCTCAGCGGGTTCCACTGGGTGCCTGCCACGCGATCCCATCCTGACACCACCTGCAGCCCAGCCCTGCGGAGCGTCTGGCAAGCTGCCGGAAATCGGAGTCGCCATCTCTCCCTCCTTGAGTTCCTTTAATTTGCTAGAGCAGCTGGCACAGGACTCAGGGAACCACAGGCCGTGGGGTGGGTCTGGGCGACGAAGGGCTGCCGGGGGGGGGGGGGGGGCAGTGCGGGAAGGGGACAGAGCTGCCACGCCCACGCAGTTAGGACCTCCATGTTCTAGGACCTCCTGGGTTCAGCTGTCCAAAGCTCTTGGAACCCAGTTCTCTCGGGTTCTGATGGAGGCCTTGGTGATCAGCTTACCCTGCAGCCCCACTCCCCTCCGGGAGGCTGGTAAGAGGTGCAAACAGCCCAGCGGTCTAACCAGGATGGGTCCCATCCTAGTGCTGTCTGGGGCCGTCAGCCCCCAGTGATTGCAACAACAGCAAAGGCTTACTACAGAGTCCCGGGGGTTACAGCGTGTGCGCGCCAGAAGGGAGACCAGGTGTCCATGTCACATTACCACGTCCACAGACACCTCACTGCACCATGGCGGCTTCCCATCCACTTTGCCCACCGCTGCCTCCCAGGACTGTCCCTCCTCGGACTGCAAAAGCCGAAAAGGACGTTGCCCCCATGCCCAGATTCCACTACTTCGCACTTCAAAGCTTTACGGGACAAGGGTGCAATCTCTGGCCACTTCAAAGTGGCTTTTCCTTCACCCCCACTCATCTTTTCCCTGAATAAGGAAGCACGTTGGTCGAGGATATATATTGTGCCTTGAGGCTAAGTCATACAATAGATCCATCCAAATGCCGAGTCCTGCGCATCCTTGCTTTACTTAAGGAGTAACATAATCTTCAAAGAAAAGAAAGAAGGTGGAAACCTATTGCTTCAAGAACGTGTTCTGTGGTTTTGAGCCAAGCACACAGTCAAGTACGCTTCGCCGGTTCTTTGCATCCAAGGTCCTGACTTATAGTTGCCCAGCTGTCAGGAAAGTGACTCAGCCCAGCCTGTGAGGTCTGCATTTACTCCAAAATGCCCCGCACAGGTTTCTTCAGAGCGAAGAAGTGGACTAACGGTGCGCTGAAGCACGTCAGTGCCGTGCTGCTAACACTCATCCCAGCCCACACCACGACCTGATAAGGACAGACCAACAGCAGCCGGGCGGAGATGAGTTCAGCCTGTCGGACAGTGTGCTTCGATCGCAGTTGCCTGTGAACATGGGTTTCAAACATAAAGCCTTAACTTAAGATTGTCATTGTTTTAGAATTGTCACTGCCTTAATGTTCAGACATTTATTTAAGTCATCCTGATAAAGGAGAAATGCATGTTTGTTTATGGCTTTTTGTAAATATCAATGCAGTGATCTATGGCTTTAAATGTTTTTTGTGTGTCCGTGAAAATGTTTGTTAAGTCAGCCAATAGTTATTTACAGACAAATGGAGCATGTGATTGTTCTTCGTGTGCAAGAACTGTTTCTCCCCAAAACTGTAGTCCACTGGCTTGTCTTGAGGTTATTTGTAAAAACTGAAATCAGTGATTAAACAGAAACTAGTGTTCTTCTTTTGCTGTGAATTCTTCAAGCTCCTACTCATGGTGTGACTTACTCTGTTGCCTTAGCTGTTTACAAATTCCGTTTTCTGAAAGCCGCATGATGGAGTGATCGTTACTGTTACTGTCATTACTGTTCTGCCTTTGTTCATGAAAACACGCTAACAATTTTCCTGGAAAAGGTACTATTACCAGTTTCTGTTTTGGTGGACGGACCCAAAGACTATACACCCTAGGATTTCTTGTTTTGGGAGGGTTGGGGAACAGGGTCTTGTGCAGTTCAGGCTGGCCTTAAACTCAACTATGTAGCCTAGCCTGACCTTGAATTTGAAATAATCCTCTTGCCTCAGCCTCTCAAGTGCTGGGATTACAGGCATGCACCACCATGCCCAGCCAGGATTTCATTTTGTTTGAAAACATTTTCAACATATAGATTTAGTCAGTGGGCTTTTTTTTCTCTTATGACAGGATCTCACTGTGTTGTTCACTCTAGTTTTGAGCTCACTATGTAGTCCAGGCTGGCCTCCAACTCGAATTGTCTCAGCTGCCCGAGTGCCGGGATTACAGGTGTGCGTCACCACCCCCAGCTAGCAGATGAATTTACTCTGGCTCACCTATTCATCAGGTGTGACCTCTGGCAGCTGCCTGGGGTCCCTGTAAACTGTGGCTCTGGCTGAAGGACAGACACAAGAGGCTGGAAGATGGGTCGTTCTGGCCTCCATCACCGATGTGCAGGACCAGATCAGCGTGCTTCTGACTCCTCCAGGTAAAGACCAAACAAACATTTCAGGCCAGGGATGCAGCTCAGAGGCCCAGCACCTGCCCAGCTAGTGCGAGGTCCTTAGTTCAAGTCTGGTATCAACAAAATTTGAAAAATAAACATTTCATCTACTTACCTGAAAGATGCTAAGTAAAGTTTGAAGTTACCTTTTCATTTGAAGAAAATGCATAGCATCAGTCTAGCTGTGAAGTCACTGATACTAACACCAGCAAGTGACAGTCATTTTCATTTTCCGTCTATGGCTTCAGTTTTAGAGTGCTCAGAGGAAGCCCACCCGAACCTGCCCATACTGGCTTAGTGTAGAGCATTTGCTCCAGTAATTCTCCCACATTGGGTCATGCAAAAGCGCCTCTGCCAGTTAACTCCAGAGGAAAACGGTCCCCAGTCCCAGTGGGCAAATACACAGCTCGTTTAGTGCAGGTTTCAAACGTGCCAGAGTTAGAATTTCATTCTTCAGTATCTTGAGCCCAATCGTACCCACCCTACACCCTTCCTTTCCTTCTTCCTTGCTGACAAAGCCCCAGTTTTATCCTGCTAGATCGAAGGGGTAAATTATGTCAAATTTTGCCCCATTTAAACTGGCCCAAGAGACTCACCGTTTTCAGGGGCCGGCTTTGGTGTGGACGTGGAACTCAGTTTGACCCAGTGGGACCGGAGGCACCTGCTGGAGGACATCTGAGAAAGATACCTTTTACCAAGAAAAGGAGGCACCTGGAAGAAAGTGCCCGTGTTCTGCGGTAAACAAATAAACCCATGCGCCAAATGTCCTCATCAGTGCATTGAACGAGACCATAAGAACTGGAAAAGTGCTGGTCCGTACCCCAGGTAACCACCCCGCTTTGGGGAACTGTGCTTTAGGAATCATTCACTCTACACCGTCTTACTGCAGGTCATGGGAGTGATGCTTATGTTGCTGTACCTGAAAGGCTAGCGCTGTTCCTGAACTGCAAGCTGGTATCAATCCTGTTTCTCCTGTACCTTCTTTCTTTTGGGGAGGGTTGGATTTGGTATAATTTAAACCCACTGAAAGCACCATTCTATGATAAGGCGTGCTTGAGAAATAACTGGATGGCGTTCTCTAGGCTGGGTGTGGTGGTGCACACTTGCAATCCCAGGACTCAGGTGGCAGCGGCTGCAGGGTCACTGCATATTTAAGGCTGACTGTGTAGCCTTAAAAATAATTCTCTAAATAGATACCATAACGGTAGGAATCTCTTTGACTTCCAGTTTTCCTAAAATTTTTATTAGAGAAGTCAGTCATGAAGATTTGAGAAAATCACCCAAAAAACTTAAAGAGATACTAAAGGCCTGTCATTTATCCCAAGTTCAATGTTGGAGTCTATCACTCTTCAGGGTGCAGGCAGATGAAAACACGACTGACAGTCTACAGTCGATGCACAGTGACGTCAAGCCCTTCAGAGAAGCTAAACATGAGATTAAGTAGGCTGTCAAGATCACTGTCCTCGAATTTCAATAAGCAGAGAAGCTAGTTTCACTTTTGTTCTGCTTTGTTTTGTTTGAGATGGGTTTTCCCTGACGGGGACCTCAAACTCATAGCAGTCCTCCTGCCTCAGCCTCCGGAGTGCTGGGATTACAGGTGTGCAGCACCATGCCCAAAGTACATGGGGGAAAAGGTGTTGAAGTTCAGCGGAAAAAAATTCCCTTCCACCTACCCATCAAAAGTAGAGATTGGCCAGAGGTCACTCTGCTGTGTCACACATCATAGCGGCTGCCTCTAAGTGTTTACCGAACCGCTTGGCACAGGCAGTTGGAGAGAACGCCGCTGAAACAGACTCCTGAATGACATGCTTAAATGTAAATATATTAACATCTCAGGGTCACCCTGCAAAGCTTGTCTGGAGGAGGGAAAGAGGGAGGGAGAGAGGGAGGGAGGGAGAGGAGGAAATGAGAGGAGGGGAGGGGAGAGGAGGGGAGGGGTGAGGAAGGGGAAGGAGGGGGGGAGGAGGGAGAGGAGGGAAGGGGGAGGGAGGGGGAGGGGCAGGACCTACGTCTGCTGCTCTTCCCGAAGGGCCTTCACTGTTCCTAGAAGGGGCTGCTCGCCTCCTTCTAGCGGACACTTGGGAAGGTGCAGCAGAAGCCCTGAAGGACCAGAGCACAACTGGGGGTGCGGGGTGGAGGACGTCTGCACTCCTGGGGACCGAGCCACCCCTGGCACCCAGGCGGAGACTGCTGCCTGCGGGTGAGAAGCTCCGTGGGGCACTCCTGGGTGAACTCCTGCGGGGCCACCGGCGTCCAGCGGGCGGTGATGGTGGGGATGCTGGCGCCAGCCGGGAACCGTCCGGCCCGGGTGGGACAGCGCCGCCCACTGGCAGGAGCATCTCGGGCACCGCAGGCAGCCAGCTTGAGCCTGGCGCAGAAAGGGGGCGTCAGCAGGAGGCCCGGCCTCCCGTCCTGGGTACAATGGCACTTTACAGCACCTGCCCCACCTGTGGGGTTCCAGTCCACCGCTTTTTATTTTCAGATGTTGCTGTAGAAAGTGAATCTGAAAAAATAAAAAAATCGACCAATTAATCAAATCAATCTCCTTAGGAGCTTTTGCTCCCGAGGGTGTTATTAATTGAAATCACTTGGAGGTTTTGTTATTTTTCTTCACACTAGAAAAGCCAGGGTGCAGAGCATGTCTGCAGGAAACCTGGGGAAGAAGGAATTGCTTGCATGTTGAGGCGTTGGTCAGATCTGCAGGAACGTGGGCCGGGCTAAGATGCCAGCATCAGGAAGGACCTCAGACCGGGCCCCTCACTTCACAAGGCAAAGGTAGCAACACCTTCGCAAAATTGGGGTGAGTCAGCCGGGTGTGGTGACGCATGCCTGTAACCCCAGCACTCGGGAGGCTGAGGCAGGAGGATCATTGCAAATTCGAGACCAGCCTCAGCTACAAAGTGAGCCCAAGGCCAGCTGAACTGCATATCGGGACCCTGTCTCAAAAAGACAAAAAAATACCTGAGTGACTTCATCAGAGAAACAGGCTGAGCCCCAGTCACAGAAAAAAGTCTAGGGGGACCTGATCCGCGACCTGGATCACCTGAGCAGAGACGCAGATGCAAACCAGGTCTTCTCGCTGCGGGCGCCCCCAGCTGGCCAACCCGGAGCGCTGCACAGTGCAGGCCCCAAATGTGGAGGAATCTCTGCTCCATATTTTGTTAGGTTAATGGTTCATTGGAAAAGGAGACTGTCAATCTTTGCGACGAGTTCTGGGAAGTAAGCCTAGGCCCCTGCACCTGTCAAACAAATCTTTACTAAACTTGGGCCCTTTGTTCACACTGGCTGTCCTCTGAATTCTCCATTATTATACAGAGCTGAGGGCACAGTTCCGTGGTACAGTACTTGGCTAACATGCTCAAGTCTCCAGGTTCCGTCTCTAGAAACACACATAAACACCTGTAAGATTTGTAACTCTTATCTGAACAAAAGACTGTTTTTAAAGAAGAATTTTCCAGTGTACGTTAGCTCAGTAATTTCACATTGTTTGCACCGAGGTAAGTACATTCAGGTACGCAGGGGAGGCTGGCCCCTGCTACACACACACTTGTGAGTCTCACAGAGCGCACTGATGCGCTACCCCACCGCTTTTCAGAGAGGGCTGGGAGAGCGGGAACGGTGGCGCCGTACTGTAATCCCAGCACTCGGGAGGCTGAGGCAGGAGCATCACCAAGAGTTCACACACAGCCTGGGCTCCTAGTAAGTCAAGGCCAGCCTGATCCACATCGCAAGATCCTGTCTCAAAAAATTAATAATAATAATAAACAAAAAGGTTGGGGAAAAGACAGACAGCTGAGGAGGCTTCCAGAGCCGGAAGGTCCTCGGCCCGTGCTGGTTCCAACACTCAGTGTCCCAAAGCAGTGGGAAGCCAGCTTCCTCTTCAGGACAGGATCCAGGTGGCTTCCTTATTGTCAAAGAAAGACAAGAAAACAGAATCCTAAAAACTGCTTTGTTGGGAGCTGCGGCCGAGCCCGGTCGCCTTACTTGGCGGACGTGAGGCCTGTGGAAAAGAGCAAAGCCTGAGCTAAGTTACCCCTCCCATCGAGTGAGCCAAGTTGGCACCTGCTTCCTGCCCCCTGATTGCCCTGGCGACGTAAGCAGCCCGCGCAATAGAATAGTCTGCCTAGCAACAACTGATGTTAGCCAGTCAGCCCGCATCGCGCGCTTTGAACTGATTGGCCACTGTTACCCTATAAAAGTGAGTGCCTCTCCCGCTACGAGAGAGAAGCACGAGAGAGATAGAGAAAGTCCACCGGCGAGAAAGGGCTGGTGGCAGAGCAGAGGCCTCGCGGGGCCCACGCGGAGACAAATAAAGGCAAGGTTGCACACCGTCAGAATCTGTCGTGTGTTTTTCCTGCCGGCCGGGAGCGACACCGACACTGCTTCTAGATCACCAAGAAGTGTCAAACTTCAGTAGGCCAATCGCCCCCCAATGGCAGCTGTGCTACAGCGCTCTTCCGGGCTGGTTTCCTTAAAACCACCATCCAGGGCTGGGGGAGAGCTCAGGGGCACAGCATTTGCCCAGCTCACACAGGGCATCGACTTTGACCCCTAACATGACAATAAATAAATAAAGACCCGGGGTAACAGTCATGACAAAGACCAGCTACGAAAGCATGTTTACAAATACAGTCCACATCATCGCGGAGGAAATGGAAATTCCAGTGTTCCAGTATGTCTACTTAGGCCACTCGAACTGTGTGATTACACAGGAGTTTCAGGGCCTGAGACGCAGCTCAGCCGTACAGCACCTGCCTGGCAAGCGTGAGGCCCTGAGTTCAATTCCTGGTACAAAAAAAAGAGAGCTTCAGGGTTACACACATCCCAAAATACTTCCTTTGGGGATCTGTAGACAGAACCACTTGGCATTAAAAATATAACTCATTTACAATGTTTAATTTGTATTCAAGAAAGCATTTGGGTAAAATAAAATGAGGGCAGAAGGATGAGAGAAAGGAGGAAGCGACAGCCTGGACCCCTAAGTGACTAGACGCCAGGGCTCCCAAACGCTGGATACACCGTGGGGAAGCAGCAGCCGGTGGGGTGACGGTCATGAAGTGACCTTTTTTCTCTTTCTTTCTCAAATGGATTATCATTCTGAACCTGCCTCCCTGGCTGGATTCTGTCATATCTCCAGGCAGAGGAGTAGTGACAGGAGGATGTCGCACCCAGGACACAGAAGTGACAACACATGGTGTCCATCCCTGGACATGACACGGGGGAGTGGCACCTTGGACAACAGAATGTTCAGTTGGACACAGGCTAGCGTTTTCTAGTACACGGCTGTTTCCGATCTTCGTTGCACAGTGAATGAGGCAGCAGACAGATACTGTCTGGTCCAAAGCACTTTGACCTCAGTCACCTGGAGTGCTTAGCTGAGGGCTCTGGGGCAGGACAGAGGGTCCCTGTCAGCTGGGAGGACAAGGCTCACCTTCCCCAGGGCCTCTGCCGGACATGGACCGGCGAGGCAGGCAGAGGCCGGGCTGGCACTGCCAGTCTGCAGTTTGCAAAGAGCCGAGCTACAGAAGCAGGCCCCCATGACATGGTGTTCTAGAGCCCGGATCCAATCCCAGCCCAGGAGGTTCAGCTGCCTCCAGTTCTGCTTTCCAAAAGGATGGGATGTGGACAGGACAGAGCATGCGGCCAAGAGACAAGAGGAAGAAAAAGGACACAGAGTCTGGCAGTGCTCCTCAGGGCACTCTATTGTCACAGTCAGAGGACTCTGTGCACAGAGGCAGGGATGACAACCCTGCTCACGGTGAGGGCCGGCAGGAGGGAGCTGGGGAGCCCGCCCTCCAGCCTGGCCTCTGGGAAAGCGTACTTCTGGGGGTTCCTGGGAGCTCCCAGCCCCCTGGCTTTGAGTTTGTCTCTGTAGTTTTGCAGGCCACGTTTCTGCAGGAGCTGCAAGGTGGCCAGATAGGGGAGGGTGCTGGGGTATGGGGGGCACTCGGAGCTCCTCTGGGGCAGCAGGGACCAGCTCAGGCAGCACTGCTCCGCATCGGTCAGCAGGGACCGAGCCACGGGGCCGGGACCAGGGCCAGGGCCAGGGGCAGGGAGAGGGATAGGGATACGCCAGGCTCCACTGAGTGGACGGTGTCCAGCCAATCCCGAGGGCCTCAGGTCCCTTTTCCTGTCTGTTGTTTTCAATCCCTGGGCACCGGCCTCCGTCTCTTCCTTGTTCACGCTCTGCGCCTCCTCTTCTGACTGCCAGAAAAAGTTTTCGCTGCAGCTACTCGGACCCGTGGGCCGGTTCTGGGATGAGGTTGTCAGAGGCGGCAGGACCAGGACAGCTTTGGAAGTCAGATAGTCAGAGACGGTGGACGCACGCTCGGCCGCCGCGGCCCTCACACCCGGGATGGCCCAGTCCTCTGTGCACCAGATGAACTCCTTGATTTGCAGGCTTTTTTTTCCTTCAGGGGCATAGGAGGGAAAGCAGGTTCTGCTGGCCTCCCTGGGGGTCGTGCCCCGACCCCGGAAGGGCCCCTGAGTCTTTGTGTTCTGATTCTTCTTCAGGCTCACCTCAGACACAGCCTGGGCCTCTGCCTTCCTGGGCTCGCTGGGGGGCCTGGCCGCCTCACTGCCCAGAGAGAGGCTGGCACAGAGCAAGCAGCTGCTGCTGGTGCTGTTGACACCCTTCACTTGTTTCAGCTTCTTCCTGGGCCACACGCAGGCAGTGGGAGAAGTCTTTCCCCAGCCGTGGACCTGCCAATAAAGCAGCATGTTCATCTCTGGGGGAGATGCACTAGTTGTTCCCAGTTCTGGCCACTCATATTGTGAACCAGCACCTCTTTCTTAAAATCAGTTCATCTTAGCCGTAATCTCAGCACTCAGGAGGCTGAGGCAGGAGGATCACTGCGAGTGTGAGACCAGTGTATTTCCCCGAGAGGCTGGAGGATTAGCATTGAGTGGGGACAGGGCCCTGCAGGCACCTGACCCAGGTGTCCAGCACCTGGCCACAGCCCATACACCTGGAGCCCCTTGGCTGACCGAGCTAAAGAGGTCACTGTTAAAACAGGGCTCAGAAGACCATATTTGCAATGCAGATAATACTAAAGTATCATTCATCTAAATCTCTAAGTTACCAGGCATCCTTGTTACCAGGGATCAATCATGCCACCTTACAGTGAATTTTGGATTTTGTTTTAAACTTAGGGTCCCTTTCTTGACGCTAAGAATAAACCCACAGGGCTCTGCAGAGCACCAGGAAGACAGAAACCTGCAGGGTCTCAAGGAACTCAACGTTTGATGAAGCAGCCCAGGTTCTGGGTCCAGGAGACCCGGATGCAACATCCTGGCTGGGTGAGATCTTGGGCCATAAGTTCATTTTCTGCCTCAGAGTACTCACACACAAAAAAGGAAGCCTTACTGACTCCCAAGAGGGTGACTGAATGTGAGCACACATTTCATGATTTTCTTTTGTTTTGGCTTCGGTGTTCTGAGACAGGGTCTCACTATGTAGCTCAGGCTGGCCTCAGACTCATCACATAACCCAGGCTGGTCTTGGACTCATGGAAATTTCCCTGTCTCAGCCTCCTGAGTGCTGGTACTCAGGTGTGCATCCCCACACCGGAAATATTTCATTATTTTCTAAATCAGTCTCACTTTCCTGATAGAACTCAAGTACAACAGGGCTCAGAATGTGAGCAGCCACAGATACCCAATGGCACTGCTACCTCATCTGTGACATTTTACCTCTGTATTTCATTGACCGTGCATCTTTGGTAATATTAACTATTGGGGCAGGAAATGCTTTATCAAACACTGAAGTGAATGAGACATAAGTCAAGAAGACACTCACGGCTTCTTCCCACCCGGTGCCAATCGCAAACTCGTCAGCTCTCGTATCCTCTGCCAGTGTAAGGTCACTGATATTGAGAAGGCAGTAAACATGATTCTTTTCACTTCTTTCATCCACACAAGTAAAGCTTAGCTCAGTTTCTTCTGGGTTTTGAATTTCATTATTTTCATTATTTTCTAAATCGGTCTCACTTTTCTGACAGAGATCCATTACTGGGATGGTTTCTTATAATTTTTAACATCTTCTTCCTGCAATTGGAAAAGTGGATTGAGTTTAGGGTTTTCATTTGTTGGATTGTATGTTTTTTGAGACAGAGTCTCAATATGTAGCTTGGGCTGGCCTCGAAATCACTAAGTAGCCCAAGCTGGCCTGGACCTGGTGGCGATCCTCTTGCCTCAGCCTCCCTAATGCTTGGATTTCAGACAAACACCACCATATCCAGTTGGGCTTAGTTTTTAATGTTAATTTTTTTTAAAAAGCCGTGAACTCAGATGAAGCATCTTTAAAACAGCTGGACATAGACTGCGAACAAGACTGCGATACAAAATCATCCACTGCCAAATTCGTCACACTATAAAACTCGAGGAGGGATGGGATGAGCAATCCTCACAACTGCAAAAAGGAAATAGAGATGAGACTACGTTTAATAAAGGAGTTCACGGATTTAAAGGCCAGACTGAGAGGTGACGAAAACTGGAAGACATTAGGGCAGCTTTCGTGCGAGGTTTATTGTGCCCATTGGACTGCAGACAACACCGTCTGGAATTTGGAAATCTTGAAAGCACACTTCACTGACCTAAACTGTGGGGGTGGGCCCAGGGATGACTGGCGTTTGCCACAGCGAATGGAGAGGAGGCCCGCCCAGGATGTGGGTGGAGCTATCTGATAGGCGGAGGCACGTAGAAGAAAAACGGAGCCCTGCACTGCGCTGGGCTTGGTTTCTGCTTCCCAGCTCCAGGGGGCCACCAGCATGCTCCTCTACACCTTCAACCACGGCGTCCCCACATGCCTGAAGCGAGGGCACTAACTGACCACAGACCGGAAGTCTGCATCTGTAAGCCGAAGGAAACCCGCTCTCACCGAAATCGCTTTTCTTGGGTGTTTTGCCGCAGTGAAAGGCCTACAACACTCGTTCTTTTGTGGAGGGGTGCACCATGCACTATGGAATGTGGGCTCAGGTCTGTCTTTTTTCTTTTCTTTTCTTTTTTTTTTTTTTTTTTTTTTTTTTTTTTTTTTTGAGACAGGTTCTGTTGTATAACCCAGGTTGTCCTGGAACCCCTGGCATCCTCCTGCCTCAGCCTCCAGCGAGCTGGGATTACGTACTGCACCACCACACCCAGCTAGGTAAACTATCCTTAAGCGCCTGTGCCACAGATGCCCGTGACACCGTGCTGACATCAAGTCGGCGGGGGCAGCTGCTCTCAGTTTTCTTGAGTACTTACCTAACAGCAGAATTGTCAAGTTACGCGATGATCATCGTTCACTTTATAGGGGTTTAACCAAACTTTTTCAGATATTTACAAAACCACTGTTCATCTCCTCCAGGAATGATGCAGATTCTGATTCCTGCACATTCTTGCTAGTGCTACGTCATTTGTTTTGGGAATTAGTGGTTTTTGTTTTTGTTTCTGCAGCACTGAAGGTTGACCAGGGGGCACTGAGCTACATTCTCAGCCTTTTCTTTCCTTAACTTTTGAGACAGGGTCTTGCTAAATTGTGAATTTGTGAGTCTCCTGCCTCAGCCTCCCAAATAAGTGGGATTAGAGGGCTGTGTCACCATGCAGGTGAACAACCAGTAGCTATTTTAGGAAGTACAGTAGGGATACAAGAGTGGAAATGTAGAAAGGGGATGAATTTACTGACTTTACATTGTTTTTAGAAGCCAAAAAGTTGGAAGAACCCAAATGCTTGCCAGTAGATGGATGGGTAAGTAAAATGAGGCACTGCTCAATACTGATTATTCAGCCATAAAAATCAGTGGGTTCTGACACCTTGCAAACGCGATGAACCTCAAAAACATTGTGCTGAGTGAAAGAAGCCAGACATATTACATGCATCTATTTATATAAAATATTGAGAATTTGGTAAATTTATAGACAGCCGAGAGTTAGCAGGGGCTGAGTGGGGAAGTGGGATGATGGCGCTTCTTTTTGGGCTGATGAAAATGTGCGCGCGCGCGGGGGGGGGGGGTGGTGTAGGGATTTGGCTCAGCTGCACAGTGCCTGCCCGCCAAGTACAAGGTCCGGAGTTTGATTCCTAGTACCAAAAAAAATAAAAAAATAAAAAAGAAAAGGTGCTGGAATTAGTTGAGAGTTACACAAGACTGAATATTCCTAAAACTACCGCTGAATGGTACCCTTTAAAAATGATTACAGTTATAATTCCAGCACTCAGGAGGCTGAGGCAGAAGGATCATTGTGAGTTCGAGAGCAGCCTGAGCTATAATGTGAGCTCAAGGCCAGCCTGAACTGCACAATGAGAACCTGTCTCAAAGAGACAAAAAAAGAAAAAGATTAAAATCATGGCTTTTATGTTATATAACTTTAACCAAAATAAAAATAGACACTTCACAGTCTAGTAATCTAAGTTGGCTCAATCAAAATGAATTGTGAATTTCTTGTGAAATCTACAGGAAAAACAAATTTGTATTGTCCTGCTAATCACAAAAGAAAAAAAAATATTTCTAGGAGCTGTTTAAATCATTTCTGAACTATATAAGGTTACTTATAGACTTTTTTTTTTTTTGGTCTTTTTCATTTTTTATTGGTACCAGGGATCGAACTCACAACTGCCTGCTTGCAAGGCAGGCGCTCATGCCACTGAGCTAAATCCCCAGCCCCACTTATAGACTCTTAAGCCAGCACTAAAGTTGAAAATGCAAAAGACAGAGTAAGCCAGAAAGAAACCAGGTAGGTGTGAGCTTGTGGGACAGGAGGAAGCTTCTAGTGGACCACCCTTTCACCCAATAACCAGGACGATGGAAACAGTTCCCCCACAGGTCCTAGAGAGCATCCCCAAAACAAGCAGACACTGGGGGAATCTAGTCTTGGGGAAAGAGGGCTGAGTTAGTCTCACATCTTCTACAGTTTCCTGTCTTGGTGCAAGACAGCAATTGGCTTCAAGAACTAAGGGTCAGAGTTCAGGACAACCAAATCAGAAAGGAAGGAAATTCTAGTAGGGAAAGAGCAGAACACCAGAGCATCCCCAAATTCTGTGCAGAAGTTTTGCTCAAATCTCTGGCTGATGCTTGTACTACATGATCACAGGTCAGATTCCAGGCAGTCAAGATAAAATGAAAAGAACAAAGAGTTTTCTGGAGCCAGCCCTGGTGCTGCACACTGTAATCTCAGCACTTGGGAGGTTTAGGCAGGAGGATCTCCTTGAGTTTGAGGCCAGCCCAGGCTACAAAGCAAGACCCTATCTCAAAACTAACTTGGGCTGGGGATTTAGCTCAGCGGCATAAGCAGCTGCCTTGCAAGTGTGCGGTCCTGAGTTTGATCCCTGGTACCGATAAAAACGAAAAAGACAAAAAAAAAAAAAATTAAAAAAAAAAAAAAAAACCTCCCACAAACCAAACAACTAAAGACAGCTGCCACTTCTTCAGACACAGATCTCAAATTCTTCATCATCAAAAAAAAAAAAATCTTCCTTATTTTAAGGACTCAATTGCTAATGTCTTAAATGTGTGCATAGAACTGAGGGTAATATTTCCTATGTGGGCTGACTACCAGTATCTGTTTTGAAACATGACTCATATTGATCTGAAACCAACACCTAGTGATTAATCAAGGATTCCTAAAATACTAATTTTAAAAACATACCAACAAATACTGTTGGGCCGGGGATTTAGCTCAGCGGCATAAGCGCCCTGCCTTGCAAACACACAGCCGATCCCTGGTACCACAAACAAACACTGTCGTTATTTTTTAAAAAGCTGTATCCCAATCTTGAGTAACACCAAGATTACGATCAACTACAATTTTAAGATTTATTTTTCACATGGTCAAAAATCTCTGCCTTTGTCATTCTGTATCCAGTTTTCTGTGTATTAATAATGGTCCAGAGAATGTTGATGGTAAACAGCCAAAGTTCAGGCTGTTTAAGTCAAAATCAGGCCACATTCCTTAAAACTCTTTACCACCTTGCTTCTTATTAGCTCTACGCTTCTAGAACTGCATGATTAAAAGAACCTTGAATCTGTTGTCCGAATTTCAGCCAGAGAAAGTCAGGTTTTATATTAGCCCGTGTGTTGAATGAATGAATAAAAACACTTAGCTATGGTGGAGTTCAGTTATAGGAACCAGTTAAATAGGTCTGGAAGTTGGCCTGGGTATTCTGATTTCTGTTGACTGTACAAGACTGAAGAGACTACAATCTTCCAAAGTTTTGAAACACAGTGGGCCAGGGGATGGGTGAACCTTTGCATAAAGTTATGCATTTGCATTACCCAACTGGCATCATCTGCTCACGTTCCCAAGAGTATAAATCTTCCTATGTTAATCATCTGGGCCTTTTATCTACAGAACATAGCCGCAGTGTGGTTCTCAGAACGCTTCCTAGGAGCACGGTTTGTGCAACCATCCTTCTGACTGGTTATTTCTACTGCTATGGTCTCCCAATTTTTTCACTTTCTTTTCTCAGTTTGCAGGCAGGAAAGTACGAATCGCCACACAGAGCCAACCCCTCTCTACTAGAGCCCTTCACACAGCTCTCCGTCCGGCCCTCTAATAGCACCGCCCCGCCCACGCAGGTCTCACCTCTTCCGCGTCGGGCTCCTCCCTTTCATGCGACATTCTCCTCACCTGGCCCCTCCCCTTGCCCAAAAGCTCCCTCCTTGCCACAAAGGCCCCGCCCCTTCCCATACTGGCCACGCCCGTAGAGGGCCGCCCTCCAAAGTCTCCGCCCACTTCCCTACCCAACCGTTTTCCTCTTGGTCTGGTCTGGGACCTCCCTGTCTCCCCTTTTTGCTTCCTCGCCTCTGATAGTCGCTTCCTTTAGAACAGGTGAAAGCCTCTCTCTCTGCCGCTGGCGGAGTGGTCTGCGGTGTTGCTCCACGAGTAGGAATGCGACCTTTCACGCCCTCATAAGGGGCTAAGTCGGGTGGAAAGCTCCGCAGCAGCTAGTCCCGCCCAGCGGGCTAGGGCCGACACACAGCCGCCGGCTGTCCGTTGCCCTGGGTTACGACCGCGTTGGGGGCGGGCCCGCTGAGAGGCGCGGCGGAAGTGACGTAAGCATCCGCGTGCAACAAAGCTGCGGAGGCGGGCCGCTCCCGGCAGGCTCTGCGTGGCACGTGGAGGATGCCTGCGCCCTTCTCGAAGCCCAGTAGGCGGCGGTGGTGATGACCGTGGGTCAGGGCCCCGGACCGGCTTCCAGCCGAAGACCCACGCAGCTACAACCGGTAGGGGAGGGCTCCTGGGACAGTGGCCGGCTGGTCCTGCCGACCGTGCCTTTGGTCTGCAGCCCGGTCGCCTGTTTCCTGGGTAGAATCGCGCGTGCTGTGAGAGAGGCAGAGGCGACGCGCCAGGGCGCTGCAGGCCCGGAACTCCCTGGGACAGGTTTTAGTTCCCTGCCTCAGGAGTGCCCGCATGGTGGGCCTTTCGGCCCGTGAAATAAGAGCATTGGCATCCTGACATAAATGGAAAGTAGCCCTCGTTAAAGTCAACAACTGCTTGAAGATGTATTGCAAGCCCGACACCTGCACACGTGTGGTGCTGCCCAGTTTGGTTTTGTAGGTTTTTGTACTTAAATACATTCCTGTTGGTATCCTAATATATTTTCCAACCGGGAAATAATGGTATATATGCCTGCATACTTATAAAGTTACTAAAAACGGCATACCAAATCACACTACTTAAAAATTAATTTATCATAAATAGTATATATACTATCCACATTATCAGAAATACTGGCATTTAATGATGCTATGACACTTTCAAAAATAATGATTTGGTACCAACAACATTTACTTTAAAATATATGAATAACCTACTCAAAAGATGGATTTTTTTTTTTTTTTTTGTCTTTTTCCTTTTTATCGGTACTGGGGATGGAACTCACGACTGCCTGCTTGCAAGGCAAGCGCTTAAAAGATGGATATTTTCACTGCTTTTTTTCCTGTTCAAATTTGTATTTGAATTTTTATTCCTCCTCCACTAAACTTTATTCGATTGTATTTGTGGTCAGAGATGGTTCTAGTTTTTTTTGTAGAAGTCACTTGACGTATCAGCAAAATGTAAAGATGCAAATATCTCAAACTTTTAAAAACATTCTCACACCAAATTCACGTAGTCTTTAACCAAAATGGTGGTGCACACCTGTAATGCCAGCACTTGGGACGCTGAGGCAGGAGGATCACCATGGGTTTGAGGCCAGCCTGGGGCTACACAGTTCAAGGCCAGCCTGGACTACATAGCAAGACACTTGCCTCATAAATAAGGAGGTGGGGATTTAGTTCAGCGGCATAAGTACCTGCCTTGCAAGCAGGCGGTCGTGAGTTCGATTCCCAGTATCGATTAAAAAAAAAAGTAAATAAAATAAGTTACTTTCTTAGTTTCCGGGAAGTTATCAGAAGTCTTAGCCAAGATTTACTAAATGAGTACTAAAATGAGCTGAAAGTATTCTTCTGCCTACATGTGGAAGTTGAGAGACCTGAAATAGTTTCTTCACACTCCTTGTGCCTACTTTGAAATCTGCTGTAATCACCGCTTAAATGCTAGCAGCTAGGAAGTCTGAAAGCATGGTTGAGCACAAATGTTAAGGAACAAAATAGTACTTGTCTTGTTTTCTGTTTTTCGAGACAGGATCTTGCTGCGTATTCCAGGCTCTCCTTAAATTAACAGTGAACCTCCTGCCTCAGCCTCCCAAGTGCTGGGATTACAGGCGTGTGTGCCGTCTTGCTCTGCTGGGACAAAAGTGATTGTCTAGTGATAAAAAGTCAAAATAGTGGTTGGAGTGGAGACATCTGAAACATTACTATTCTGGTGGTGAATTTTCAGAATCAGGAGGATATGAATATGCTTAGAGTCTGAAAAAACAAAAATAGGTGAGAAAAACTAGGGATATATGAGAACGTACCTTGCTCAGTTTTTATATAAACCAAAAAATGCTGTACTAAAATCTATTTAAGCCAGACATGGTGGCACATCTATAATTCCGGCACTCAGAAAGCTAAGGCAGGAAGATTACCATAGAATTTCAGGCCAGCCTGAGCTGGACTAGAGGTCCGGTTGGATTACTTAGGTAGACCCTGTCGCACAAAACCAAAAAAAAAAAAGAAAGACTAAGAAAATGATCTGTCTAAAGGGAGGAAAATACAGAGAAGAGATAATCTGTGTAAAGTTAAGGGTCTCCTCTGAGGAGACCCAAGGTGGGTGTGTGGTTAGATCTGAAACAGTGACTGTTAAACAGTAATAAAGATACAATTATTGATTGCATTGCTGGGGATAAAACTCAAGCCTCTCACACTAGGCAGTTGCTCTGCCACTGACCTACACCCCCGTGCCATTAAAATTTCTTTTGAAGCATAATTTTAAAAAACTGAAGGTGGGCTATACTCTTGCCTGTGCAGAAATTAGGAAAAAAATTCTGTGCACAGGACTTGCTGGAACTGAAGCACAAACCTGTCTTGCATAGGAGATGGCCTTGCAGGGTGCCCTCCAGTGATTTAACTAAAAACCAAAGCTGTCGGCTTCACCTGGGAAATGAAATAAATGCGAATTTAATCAGTTTGGAAGGCCTTTCAAAGGATCTGTTTGGGGAGCCAGAGGCACAGTTCAAAGGCAGAACTCTCACCTAATATGCATGAGGCAAAAATGAAACATAAAACCCCTAATCTATAATTTTAGTACTATCAGAAATAATCAAATTCCTGGAGGTGGTGGCACATACCTGTAATCCCAGCACTTGAGACAGGAAGATCACTGTGAATTTCAGGCTACCCTAGGCTGTGTTTTGAGTACAACGTCAGCCTGAACCACCTAGCAACACTCTGTCTCAGAAAACAAGTGCCAGGTGTGATGATACATGCCTGTGATCCCAGCACTTGGGAGGCTGAGGCAGGAGGGTTGCTGAGAGTTGGAGGCCAGCCTGGGATACACAGTGAGTTCAAAGCCAGCCTAAACTAAACAGTAAAGTGAGAGCCTCACTCAGAAAGGCAAAGAAATGACAATGGAATTTGCTTTGTAGTCTAAATACTGTGCACACATTTCCTCCCTCCCCCAATTGGCTCTGTGCACTTGGCTAACATTAGAGAGCAAGCAGTGTCTACCAGCTGAAAATGCCATTTGTCAGTTTAGCTGTGTAAGCCGCAAAGAACATCACTAATCAATTCCGAGTCTAGGCTCAGAAGCTTCACCGTGTCCACTTCTGGTACTTCAGTGGCAGCCTGAATGTGAGTCAGGATTCTTCAGAATCCAGGTGTACAGGTTGGGATGCTGAGGCAGGAGCATCACTGTGAGTTCAAGGCCAGCTTGGGCTACACACCAAGGCCCTGTCTCAAAACCAAAAATCCCTAACACTATGCTGATCATAACTACCACTTTTCCTTGTTTTTCCTCTTCTGCTATGATGAAAAACAAACCAGGCATTTATTTTTGACTATCTTAAAGATGACCGAGTGCTGGTGCTATCAGGCAATTAATTAGATTTTCACCTAAGAAAAACCAGATTTGTTACTAAAAAGAAAATGTTCTTAATCCGTTGTTTTGCTGTTGTTGTTGTTTGTGGAGACAGGGTCTTGCTATGTAGTGCAGGCTGGCCTTGAACTCACAGGGATTCTTCTGCCTCAGCCTCCCACATGCTAGGATTACAGGCCTGTGCCACCACCCCAGGCCTGTCCTTTCATTTTTATGGTTTAAACGTTCCAAGGCTAGAGATGCTGCAGCTGAGTAGTGGATCAGTTGTGGAGCACACTTAAGGCCTTGGGTTCCATCCCCAGTACTGCCAGAAGCAGCCAGCCCCCTTTCCAGGGCCCGGGGATATAGCTCAGTGAGACCCTGGGTTCGATCCCTAATGCTGCAAAAGAAAGTAAGATGCACACCTGTAATCCCAGCACTCAGGAGGCTGAGACAGGAGGATTGTTGCAAATTGGAGACCAGCCTGGGGCTACGAAGTGAACTCAAGGCCAGCCTGAACTGCATAGCAAGACCCTGTCTCAAAAAGACACAAAAAAGTTTTCCATAAGTTAATATTAACATCTTCATAAATATTAGACTCCATGAAATACATCAAAACAAAAAGCATTAATGTTGAACATTTTATTTGTTTCTTACTGTGCTGCAAAGCTGTTGCCTCAGTGTATAAAAACAGCCTCAGACAATGCAGTCTACTGCATTATAAGAAAGTGTCAATTAAGAAAGTGTCATCCTTCGTCTGACATACACGCTCTGTAAGGCTTTCGACCCAAATCCAGGAAGAAATGTAAGCAAGTTACAGCATTACATAAGGCTTATGATAACAGTGTTATCCTTGAATTACAGGATTCTTACAGCTAGTTTTTACCAGGGATAATTTCATGAATTCTGAATATCAGAATCTATAGCCTAGTCTAAAAATCATGAGGTACATATAAAAAGATACACATTGTGTTTATCTGCAATCACTAGGGCGTTAAGGGTATTTCCGTCCAGGAGCAGTGATGACAGTGGCTCCTTTTCCATCATGACAGCACTGCTATAAGCTGTTATCTCAAGTCTCTTGTCTGCCACTAACTGCAGACAGCTCTGCTGAAGAAGACACTTCACACTAGTTTATTTCGGGTGCCACTTCACTCCTCGATCGACTTCACGTATTTCTCATATGCTTCTTCACTCATGAGCTCATCTAGTTCTGAAGGGTCACCCACTGTCATCTTGATCAGCCAGCCTGCAACCAAAAGAAGAATCTTACATTTCAGTTACCTTTTGAAAAAGCCAGATCCATGCAAAATGTAAAATGCATGGAACTTTTAAACATTAGCCCTAAGAATTGATAAGATAGTTTTATATCACAGTTGAAAACGATGATACCCCATTGCGTTGGCCCATGAGAACAAGACTCCAAACCAAAAGGAGAACTTTGGAAACGTCACCTGCCCCACCACTGTGATAGCTTTGGGCTCCTGACACTGAGTCTGGAAGTGCTTACAGTGACCACCTAAGAGAACTTACTAGAGACCACATGGATCACCGTACTGATAGGAAAGCCGAAGGCCAGAGAAGGCTGGTGTTTTAACCTGGAGTCAACAGCAAACCTTAGGTGTCCCATGTCTAGAGGATGAGGATTGCAGATTATCCAGTGTATAACACATTGGGGCTAGCATTAACTCCAATTATAACCAACTGTAGTAATATATGGTTTCTTCACTGGAAATAATATCCATTAATAATAGTTAAGTACTTGGCCCTGGGGTGAATACATTTGTTCCATTTTCAGTACACAGACAACACCAGAAACGCTTAGCATTCACCTGGTAGGGATACTAATATACTTTAATACACTGTACTTTTTTTTTCTAATAAAACTTTATTTTCAAAAAAAGATTATAGCCAAAGTAGAGCCTATTATAATGTTACAAAATTCTTATGTTGTAATAAACAAAGACAGATGTTTAAATCTTTAAGCCAGGTGTGATGGCACATGCTGTAATCCCAGTGTTTGGGAGGCTGAAGCAGGAGGATTGTCATGAGTTCAAGACCATCCTGAAGTACATATCTCAAAAAAAACCCTATCTCAAAAACAACAACAAAAAGGAAACAAAAAACAAACCAAAAAAATCCAAAACAAATCTTCAAATACAGGGACTCAAATATCTAATGCTAGGGATATCTTTTTTTTTTTTGGTACCAGGATTCAAACTGACAGCCTATGCCTGCCAGGCAGGTGCTTACGCCACTGAGCTAAATCCCCAGCCCAGGATCGTCTTTGTTTAGGAAAATATGTACCAACACATAAACACTGACTAGAGTTAGAAGGCTGGGACAGCAGACCAAAGAAAACCACAACCTAATCTTAATTTTGCCACTAATTGGCTGTGGGACTGACAGATAAAAGTCCTCAGGGCCTGAATTTATGACCTGGAGAAAAGTGCTGTTAGTAGACAACCCTCGACTGAAGGGCAACAGTGTGCACCCCACTTACCATCTTCGTAACAAGACTTGTTTACCAGCCCTGGGTTTTCTGCAAGAGCTTCATTTATTTCAGTTACCTCCCCTGACAGAGGAGAATAGAGTTCACTGGCGGCCTTCACGCTTTCCAAAGCACCAAACTCATCTACATGGAAAACAATTCAAGAACACAAGTGAATGACTCGAAAATATAAAACAGTAACAAGTGGTCCACTCTCATATAGTCAGGGTAAAAACAAAAAATTCTAAGAAGCCCTAACGGTGAGTGACACACAAGGGGTGATGTGCTTGGCCCCTTACGTTCAGTAAAACTCAGTTCTCCTTGGGGCTCACAGTGGCCTGGGACAAAACAAAAGAAAACCCTTAGGAGGTGACAGCAATGGAGAAGTTCCTGGGGTCAGAGTACTCTCCTGCAGACGACAACAGAAACCAAGCAACAAATGACAAGCAAGTCCAGGAAGGCTGGAAGAGTGATCCAGACAGGATGCAATCCGTGCAGGAAGGAACCAACTGTCTCCCCCGACAGCAGGCGCCGTCCAGAGATCACAGGGAAACTGCAACTCAGAACGCCACAGGTGGCCCGAGGGGTCAGAGGAAGGGGTTCTGGAGTCACCAAAAGGCCTGGAAGCTGAAGGCTGAAATCCCAGGAAGGAACCAGGTGAAAAATCAGAATTTAACAGGAATAGGTCCCAGAACAATTTGTGTGTTGGAAATGGCAGAAAAATTTCAAGTAGTTACTACAAGTCTGTTCAGAGCCAGGTGTGCTAACACATGTATATAACCCTTGGCATTGTGGGAGGCCGCGGCAGGAAGATCGCAAAGCAAGCTGAAGCCCAGCCTAGGCAATGGAGGCAGGTTCTCATCCCCAAGATAAGAGCTGGGCACATACCCATAATACCAAAACTAGGGAGGCTGAGATAGGATCGTCATGAGTTTTGAAACTGGATACAGCCTGGAAGACCCTGTCTCAAGAAAACAAAAGCTACAGTGGCTAGGCACGTAGCTTATGTACTCAGTGTGAAGGCCCTGGGCTCAATCCCTAGCATCAGGAAACAAAGGTGTGTTCAGAGACTTAAAGTTCATCACAGTGAGCTGACTTACAGAGGAGGATTTGCAATGAAAAATTTTAAATGAGCACTCTAGAAACAGAAAGCCTGATTTCCAAAATAAAAAAGCCCAGCAGACAGCATCAATAGCGGGCTGGGAACAATAGAAAGATGTAAGAAATATGAAGATAGAGCAAATAAACCCATCTCAAAACAGACCACAGGGTCACCAGAGGGACCCATCAAAGAAAGACTTGACAAACATGGAACCAAACTTACTTAGATGTGTGGATATGGCTAAAAAAAACAATGCAGAAATAATGACCTAAAACAGCACCAAATCTTTTTTGTGTGTGTGTTTTTCCTTTTTATCGGTACCAAGGATCGAACTCACAAACGCCTGCTTGCAAGGCAGGTGCTTACGCCGCTTAGCCAAATCCCCAGCCCCTAACAGCACCAAATCTTGGTGAAGAAAAGCAACTTATAAGTTCACGAAACTCAGCAAACCCCAGCAGAGTGAACATGCAGAAAGCCACACCTACACCTGCTGTGATCAGAGTGCTTACAAATCAGCACTCAGAGGGAAGGAAACAGGCCAGTCAGCAACACTGCATCGGGCACAGACCTGTTACCGTGGAACCCCGCGGACAGCAGGAGCATCCTTCAGGGGTGAATGCGAGGGCTGGGGATATGGCTCAGCCACACAGCGCCTGCCTGGCAAGTTCGAGATCCTGTTTCATTGCCAGTACCAAAAAAAAAAAACCACCAAAAAGGGGTTTTCAGATAAACAATGACAAGGCACCATCCTCCCTGCAACACATTTTGCAGGACACCTTCGGGCTAAAGGCTGTGACCTAACATCACCTCAGATGTGCCGTCCACCTAAGGAATGAAGGGTTTATAAGTGGAAAAGGTGCCAGGTGTGTGGCCTCCGCTTTTAACCCTGCACTTAGGAGGCTGAGGCCAGCCTGGGCTACAGTGATCTCAGTGAACCACTACTACTCAAAAACGAAAAACAAATTCTAAAACTTAACAGAATGTGTAAACTACAAATCAAAAGATGGCCCAGGATATAGCTCTGGCAAAGTGCCTGCCTGACAGGCACAAGGTCATGAGTTTGATCCCCAGTACCAACCAACCAAATAAATAGTCAATAAGTTGTTTAGAATTAGAAAAGCTCCAAATATATGGAAATAAAACGAGTCAAAAAGTCAAGAGGGTCAGGCCTATGGCACATGCCTATAGTCTTGGCCCTCAGAAGGCTGAGGCAGGAGGACCATTGCAAATTTGAGACCCACCTGGGCTACAAAATGAGCTCAAGGCCAACCTGAACTGCACAGTGAGACCCTGTCTCTAAAAGACAAGAAAAAAGAAACCGGAAGATGAAATGATGAACAGACTATATCATAAAAATTTGCAAGATCTAAAGGTGCTCAGAAGGAAACTGGTTAGGTTTAGGTTTTTATATGCATAAATTGTTTTCAAGTCCATAGCCTGGACTTATTAAAAATAATAAGCAGGCAATTTTTAGAGAAGAGGCAGTACTTGAAGGGCTAACTCTGGTGAGACCTGGAGGTTTCCAGTGAAGGCTTTTTGGAGAGGCACCAATTTACCAGGCAGGGCAGCAGGATACTGGCCATAACCAGAGTCATGGGCTTGAGGCCACCACAGCTACTAGAAAGAGAAGTGGGAAATCCTAGGAATAGGAGAGACAGAGAGGAGACAAAATTCTGTGTGAAACTCTGCTCTAGTCTCTGATGATCCCTGAACGATACCCATATGGGGCCATCCTCCTGCCTCAGCCTCCTGAGTGCTGGGGTTTCAGGCATGTGCTGACTTGTTTTTGTTTTTTTGAAACAGGGTCTCCCTATGTAGCTCAGGCTGGCCTCCAGCTCACTGCTGTCCTGCTCAGCCTCCCATGTGCTGCGCTTACAGGTGTAGGCCACCATGCCCGGAAACTTCTTCAAACATGAGTTGTATTCACCACGTTAACAGCATAAAGGAGAAACTAGCTATGATTTCAACAGACGAAAATGAACTTGACAGAACTCACCTAGTAATAAAAGCCCTGAGTAACAGAAAAGAGCCTCTTCAACTGGTAACAAGCATGTGAAACCCCACAGCTAGCATCATGCCTGTGATGCTCACCAAGCACTTCCGCCTAAGATGAGGACAAACGACCATGTCCACTCCCTGTAGCCAGGGTTACACTGAAAATGCACAGACACTAAAAGTGAGCTTGACCTCGAGCTAGAGAGGAGGGGAGGGGAGGGGAGAGGAGGAAAGAAGAGACAAAAAGAATTAGGGTGTGTTTTGTCCATGGACTAACTCCCCACAACAAACGTGATCATGATGTACTGAACACATGTAATAAAACCTTTTTATAAACAAGCTGCTTTTCAACAAGTTGTGCTGGAAACATGCGTAAACATAGGAGGAAAAGTGAAATTCAACTCTTACTTCCCATGCACAGAAAATACCCTTGGACATGAATTCTAAAATAACACAAAGTTTTTAACAAGAAAGCAAAGGAAAATTAAGACAACTTCCAGTGAGGTAAGTGATGGGGAAAAAACAGTACAGTAAATGAGTCTGGTGTGATGACACATGCCTGTTATCCCAGCACTTGGGAGGCTGAGGCAGGAAGATCACCGCGAGTTTAAGGCCACCCTGGGCTGCACAGGGAGACTCTCAAAAACAAAACAAAAAACTAGATACTTACACGAAATCCCAACCAACCCTAACTAAGGAGTGAGGATAGACTGGGGAAGACCCAGTCTCTAAAATTTAAAAAGCATTAGGGATGCAGCTCACTGGCAGATCCTGGTCTAGCATGCATGAGACCCTGGGTTCAAGGTTTAGGAAACAGATACGTAAATTCTGCAGGACTGTAACTACTAAAAGCCAGGCTTGCTGGAACACAAGTGCAGTCCCAGTTCTCCAGGATGAAGAAAGGAGGCTGCAGATTGGGAGTGCCACCTGATGAACTTACGGGGCCCAGGCTCAATAAACGAACAAGCAAACACAGAAATGGGCAGGGGGTGTAGCTCGGGGCAAAGGGCCTGGGCTCCAAAATAAGAAACATATAAAACCTAATAAGTATACCTGGTACTGTGTTGTGACATCTGTCAGGCACTTTCATTATGCTGGACATCTGCTCATTAACTAATTCTCACAGGCAGATAGGACAGGAGGTAGACACCCTAACATACAAACGAAACTTAAGTAATTTCCCTGAAGTCACAGAGGTTATAAGCTCTGGAGCCAGGGTTTAAAAAAGCTAGGTCCTAACTCAAGCCAGTGTACATTCTTGGTACTCTACTGCCTATAAAGAAAGGCAGGTCTGGGGCTGGAGATTTAGCTCAGCGGCGTAAGCACCTGCCTTGCAAGCAGGCAGTCATGAGTTCAATCCCTGGTACCAATAAAAAGGAAAAAGACAACAAAACAAAACAAAACAAAAAGATCTGTCTTTTCCTTCCTTCTCTCTCTCTCTCTCTCTCTCTCTCTCTGCAGTGCCAAAATTAGAACCCAGGGCCTTGTATGTGCTAGGCAAGTACCCTACTATGGAGCCAAATCCCCAGACCCTAACTTGTTACACCGAACAGACCTGGGGATTACAGATTACACCATCCATCCATGTGCAGGACGGAGACAGGAAAGGAGCTCAGAGCTATTTCCCGGTACTTCACGTCTTCCATTCTAAAGTCTGGACAACCTGTCATCTCTCACAGCTTAGGGTGGCCAGACTGGCTTCCAGTGGGAATTTGCCGTGTCAGCGACAACCAGAATCTGTCCCACTCCTGAATTCTGACACCAAAGCAGAAAGACAAGGAAGGAGGTTGTGTCCCTGATGACTTTAGATGAACCAAAGGCTTGTATGAGAATAGCAAACCCGTTACACAATTGGACTTGAATACTCTGTCTCTTGAAAGCATTCAAACCAACCCTGAATTCAAAGAATATTTAGGTTAACACCAAAGAAAAGGCATGCCATTCCAAGATGAGAAAAATACTCACCGTGCTTTTTCAATTTTGTCCCAACTTCAGGCAGGCTACAGTACACAACATCTCCCAGAGCTTCCTGAAAAACCAAGATACAGAGTTCTAAGAAGCCAGACTAACCCCTCCAGGAAACAGGAATGCCCTACAATCCAGACTACATATTTCACACTTGTGGAGCTGCACTGATTTTCCTCTTAACTCCTTTAAAACGAGTAATTATTCTTAGGAGCTGGCTCCCTGGCCGATCTGGCCCTGACGCTGTAGAGACCCATGCAGGAACCCTACACCCACAACAAGGCTGCGACTCCGGGAGCACTACAGCGCTGTCTCCAGTTTCCACACCGTGACCTCACTGTGCTCCCTGATGTCCCCCAGCTGTACAAGCCACAGTCCTCTCCACCTTGCAGCTGCAGCCTCCACTGCGGAAGGGACCTCTACATCAGGTGACTGAATCACCCGCCCTGGTGACCTGTGTCACATACTGTGTGTGATTCCCCTTGCAGATAAAAACTCCCAGAGGCAAGGACAACATCTTACATAATATTCCACACAACGCCCTGCGCCGGCCTGACGGTGGTGCCCAGCTGTGTTAAGGAACATGTCACTGTCACTGGCCCTCGGTACCCTAAAATCCCACGTCTCAGGAATTCTGTCCTCCCTCACTGGGTGCAGGCAGTTGAAAATCACTAGCCCCGCTGCTTTGTGGGCTCTTGCATTCTTCAGTGGTATCCCAGTGTAAGGCGCATGAGGACAGGGAAATGCAGAGAGAAAAGATGGGCTAAGCGAGAGGCTTTGCTCTGTGCATTCTGTGCCTGTCCAACAAGCTCCCCGCTTCTTCACTGCTGGCCTTCGGCAGCACTGTGCCCACAAAATGCTGGCTTTTTTGCCTGTTCTTTCTTTTTTGTACCAAGGATCAAACCCAGGCCTTGAGCTTGCCAGGCAGATGCTGTGCCACTGAGCTACATTCCTCGCCCTGCTCCTCTTCTTACCTTAAATGCTTAATATAAAGTAGTTCTTAAGACATATTTCCTACATTAAGTGTTAACCCAGTATCTCCTATAACCCCACACAATGCCCTAATGTAATTTGTTTGATCTCTGATTTAGGGACCTTTAGAAGGAACCAAAGTACTGTACTGAAGGTTCTGACGGGTTCGCACTATGCAAATTGTGAGGGCAGACTATCATAGATACCTCAAGACAACCCAATCAATACCTGTGCAAAGTTGCTGATTCCCACCGTTCCAATACCATTTTCTGTTGTTACCCATTCGTGTTTCTCTGTGAACTTGCGCACTAAAACAGAAGACCAATATTTCAGAAAACAATTAGGTCTTTTAAAGCCCTTTCCATGTCTTTGCACTCAAAAAGTAAGACTTCCTCAGTCCTGGGTTTGTTGACTGCTGCTCAGAAGTTCCCTCAGAGGAAAGAACAAAGACAACATGTAGACAGCATAGTTTAGCTGGGGATGGCAATGCATGCCCATAATCCCAGCACTTGGTCTTTCTGAGACAGTCTCACTATGTGGCCCAGCCAGGGCTCCATCTTGCAACTATCCTCCTGCCTCAGCCTCAGCCTCAGCCTCCCAAGTGCTGGGATTACAGGTGTGCGTCACCACACCTGGCTTTCCACTTGACTTTAAAGTCCAGAAATCATTTTGACTAGACATGCTGCTTAGGTTAGACTATTTTAGTACGATTCTCCTTTAACCCTTGGCCCAACAAGTAAAACATCAGAAAGATTAAATAATTACTTTTGTTATTGGGGCCTGAAAAATAAGGTTTTTGGTCTCAAAGTCAGGAGTTGTAATACATGAAAGTTTTGCATTTTTTCCTTTCACAGTCACTGGATAAAATTCACTTTATATTAATGTTGATTAGTTTTTCTTACTACTTATTTGATGGAATATACTCATATTCCATTTCGTCTCCCAACTCTCTGAGATACTATCTTACTACCTCTACTTTTCTGATGAGGGAAACTGAGGTTCAGAGTTGAGCAACCTGCCTAAGATCACAGAGCTCCTCGGACAATGAACCAGTGTTAGAAGTAGGGTCTGTCTGCTTTTCAAGTGCTGGGTGCACGATACCCAAGTATGTACAATTAGTATGACACAGTTAAAAAATGTGTGATTGTGGGCATTGGCATTTTGGCAATATTTAACTACCAAATGCAAACAGAAAAAAAGACAAAAAAAGAACAAACCCTAAACAAACGGTATGTAGCCTTGAAATTCTTGTCTGAAAAACGATTTACCCTCATAATATTCAAATTGAAGATGCACAAGTGTTACAAACAGTTGAGAGAATATTGGTAAATGAAGACAAGCAATGTGTTACGCTTCAAGCTTTGGGATAAATTAAATGATCAGCAATTCCCCCAAACGCTTCTATAACAACTGAACTTATGGAGTCAGTGTCCCTGCAGATCTGTGTGCCCTCAGTCAGATTAAGCCGGGCATACAGCTCAGTGGCACAGTGCCTGCCTGGCAAGCATGAGGTCGTGAGTTTGATTCCGGTACAAAAAAAAAAAAAAAATCAGATTGCATTCTTGTTACAAAAAGTAGCATCTCTGGGCCACAAAGTCAGCTCAAGGCCAGCCTGCAGTGCATAGCGAGACCCCGTCTCAAAAAAGAAAAAAAAAAGTAGCATGTCAAGTATTTACACGTAAAGAAAGCTGTTTCTCTACGTGCTAATTGCGCTGAAAGCGCACCACGCTCAGGAGCAGGCCTTCCAATTATTTGCAGTCTCTTTAAATTAATCCGACGTTCAGCCCAGTGTAGTGGCCAACGCTTATAATCCCAGCACTCAGGAGCCCTAAATTCAATGCCAGCCTGGGGTACACAGTGAGTTCGAGGCCAGGCTGAATTACATAGGAGACCCTGTCTCAAAAAAAATTTTTTTTCTTTTCTTTTTTTTCTTTTTTTTTTTTTTTGCAAAAAAAGTCTGTTGCGGCCCCAGGACACATGTGACTAAACACGCCCCAGCAGAACTTCTGTGAAGAATCCAAGGGACTTTGTCTCACCTGTTTTCCAAAAACTCAGCTGAATCTTCGCCCTCCCGTCCATTTTTGCTACAGAACATCGCTGCAGTGCTGTCACGCTAGTTAACTGCTGCTGCTCAGTTCAACTTAGTTCTCAGTGAGGGCCATTTAATAGACTAAGACCTCCACGTTTAGGATCTCGCAGCACACACAAAGGTCCCAAGTTGAGGTCACAAAGACCAGAGACCCTCAGTGAGCCCTCTTGCCTTCCTGGCTGCAGCGGGCAGCTCGCCCCGGGACCTGGGCTGACAGCACCGCCCAGCGGTCTCGCGGGCCTCCCCGCCCAGGTCCTTTTACCCGCAGCACGAAGATCGCGCGCGTCTTCCCGCGCCATTTAGGAAAGACAGGCTGCCAAGACGCAAGGGTCCCCAGGGTGAGCAGGGGCAGCTGGGGACCGAGGTGCCCGTGGCCACGTGCAGCGCACTTACTCGCGAGCAGCGCCGATCCAGTACGCAGCGACCGCACGGCGCCCGCCCACAGCCGCCAGGGCCGAATCGCGCAGGGCGCGGAGGACACCGAGGCTGCGCGCAGGCTGCAGGCCGCGGCGCGGACGCACCCAGCCACTCGCAGCGCCATGTTCGCAGGGGTTCCGAGGGTCGCCGAGCTGCGCCTGGGCCGCCCGGCCGGGGCGGGGGAGGGACACGAGGAGAGGAAGGAGGCGGGGCTCCCGGGCCGGAGCGAGCCGGCTGCTCTGGGATGTGGGGGCGGAGCCTCAGAGGAGCGGAAGCTGATTGGACAACGTGTGGGGGCGAGGACCTCCCGGGCCGGGAGCGGCCGCGGATAAGGCGGCGCGCCAGGGGGCGTGGTCTTGTGATAGACCCTGAGGCCCGGATGGGGCTGGCAAATGAGGGACGGAGAATAGCAGGTCGCCTGGAGAAGGGGGCGGGGCCACTGCCAGGCCTCGGTGCAAAAGTCCCCAGTCGCCAGGACCCCTGCGGGCAGAGCTGCACTGCTGGAGAGGGTGTGAGACGTCCTCAGGCGGGGCCGCCCTGCTGGCCCAGCCATTGCCGCACCAGTTGAGCCCTGAGGCCCTGATATAGGGCGCGATCCCGCCCTTCTGCCCAGAACCAAGGTCACCCTCGCCGGGTTCCTTCACCTAAAGATGGTCGGTGGGCTGGCCGAAGTCACACAGACGTACTGAGTTCTGATATTTGAAATACAGAAAATGATCCAAAACCCCAGTGTGTTACTTCACAGATCTCAACAGGCCCAGGGACCCAAACGACACAGATGGAAAAATAGTGCAGAGGGGACAGGACTTGTCCTAGGGTCAGGAGTGGCTTCCCAGCGCATGCTGGACCGGATCAGTGGTTACTGCAGGGATGTCCAAGAGGCAGAGGGTGGAGAGGCAGTGGGGAGCCTTCCTTGCTTAGTCGTCTGCTGGCCTTTCCAGCAAAATGGAATTAAAGGAATGCAGAAAGGAATTAAATTCTGGGAAAGACCTCAACTTCGCACATATTTGTACATCAAAGAGTGACTAGAGTGGGAACCTTCAGCCTCTGGGCCTGCAGTCCCGAGGGGCCTCAGAGGACTGCAGGGCGGTCATGCTGTGACCTCAAGCATGACCTCGCCCTCTGTGCAAACACTGTCTTTTTAATCCTCTCCCAGCCCTTCTGGCCACCATTACTCCAGACTCATTGACCAGATCGCCCAGGCCTGCCGGGCTCTAGGCTTTTATAGCAGGAGCAGCTGCCAGGGGCAGGAGGACTTGCTGTCCTGCCTGCCAGGCTTGGGAAGCCCACAAGGTCTGCTCCACACCCCAGACCTTGGCACCCTTTATAACGTCAGCATTCTGTTTGTGTTGCTGCGATGTCACAAGCCAGCGCAGTGCCACACACCCCGTGCCCCGCAGCACTTTACCACCAGCTTCCCTGGGTCACTGGGAGGGAGAATAGTCACATAGCGATGTGTGGGTGACGTCACAGGCCCTGCCACCAAACAGCTGTGTAGCAGGGCTTTTGCTTTTTTTGATTTTTTGAGACAGTTTCTTGCTGTGTAATTAAAGCTGACCTTGAATGCTCTGTGTGACTTTTTTTTTTTTTTTGGTAATAGTATATTAAAAATTCTTTTTTTCCTTTGTCTGACAAATGTCTGTAACATCCATAGTTTGATATTTTAAAGGTCAGGACACTGCATTTGGCACAGGCAGTTGAGAATTGCAGGTGGTCATTTCTTAGGGCACCTCAAGCAGGGCCTACTAATCTGTCTGAGCTGATAGATGTCTTTTTCTTTCAGTAATATAGAAGAGTGCTACTCTGCATAAAGAAACATAAACTTGAGTTATCTGTGGGAAAATTAATGTACTTGAGACCATAATATTAAGTGAAATAAACCAGACACACAAGCCTCAATATCACATAGCAGAGAAACTCAAAATTGAGATAAAGAGCATAATAAAAGATAGATAAGAGGAAGTGGAAGGAGGGGGCAGGGAGGAAAGAAAAAAGGGATAAGAAAAGGAATGAAGATGTGCTGTAAACAGAGCCAGGCGTGGTGGCGCTCACTGTAATCCCACACTCAGGAGGCTGAGGCAGGAAGATCGCCAGGAGTTTGTGACCTTGTTTCAATCAAAACAAACAAACAAAAATCACTGAAGGAAGTATCCTTTCGATATTTACAGTCAATACCGAAGTGGAGGGTAATGAGAAAGAGGGAAGGGAGAGTCAAGAATTAACTTCTCCAGGTGCTGGAACTTTCCCTATGTGAAATGCAATGTGTGGGGTGAGTTTCTGTGCGGGTCTGTGGGGCAGTATGTGGACACGGCTGTGGGTTGTTTGGCGAGCGTGTCTGCATGGACAGCTTATACCTACCTGCAGCATTAAAGAATGGATGGGGCTTAGGAGGTGAAATTTCCCAAGGTCCCATTTATACTGCAGGTTACATGGCGCTCTGTTTGTGAAGGCGCCTGGGCCCGGGATCTGTGGATCTCTACTTGTTTGACACAGGGTCTCACTCTGTAGTCTGGCTGGTCTTGGGCTCACTACGTTGCCCAAGCTGGCCTCACACTTACAGCAATCTCCTGCCTCAACTTCCCAAGCGCCGGGGTTCCAGGTGTATGTCCCCCGCTCTGTGGGTCTGTGGGTTTTGACTGGGTGTGGTGGCACATGCCTACAACCCAGCCCTTGGGGGGCTGAGGCAATGGGACTCAGCACGTTTGCGACCAGCTTGAGCTATATAGCAAGACCCTGTCTCTAAATACATGAAGATAGTACATGGTGATAGTTTTCAGCATATGGAGAGCCAGTTTTTCCAGCACCATTTACTGAAGAGACTGTCATTCTCCCAGTGGATGTGTTTGGCCCCTTTATCAAAGATGAAGTGGTTGAGTATGTTTGTAGTTGTATCTTCTAATCTATTCCATTGATCTTCAGATCTGTTATTTGGGTTTTTTTGTCTTTTTCCTTTTTATCAGTACCAGGGATCGAACTCACAACTGCCTGCTTCCAAGGCAGGCGCTTATGCCTCTGAGCTAAACCTCCAGCCCCTTCAGATCTGTTCTTATTCCAGTACCTTGTTGATTTTACTACAGTTAAACTTTGTAGTATAACTTCAAGTCAGGGATTGTGATGCCTCATGCCTTGCCTTTGCTGCTTAGAACTGTCCTTGCTATTCTAGGTCTCTTCAGGTTCCAGATGAGTTTTAGGAATGATTTATCTAAATCTGTGAGGTATGCTAGTGGTATTTTGATTGGAATTGCATTAAATCTGCATAACAATTTTGGGAGAATGGCCATTTTTGCAGTGTTTATTCTTCCTATCCATGAGCAATCCTATCCATTTTCTGAGGTCTTCTTCAATTTCTTTTTCAGGGTGTTATAATTTTCCTTGAATAGATCTTTTGCTTCCTTTGTTAGATTAACTCCTAAGTATCTTATTTTGTTGGATGCTAATGTGAGGGGTGTGGCTTCTCTTATTTCTCTCTCAATGATTTTGTTGTTAGTGTATAGGAATGCTATTGATTTTTGAGTATTGACTTTGTATCCAGCTGCATTACTGAATTTATTTATTATACCTAGGAGTTTTTCAATGGAGTTTCGGGGGTCTTCTATGTAGAATATCATGTCATCTGCAAATAATGATAATTTAATTTCTTCTTTTCCTATCCTTATTCCTTTTATTTCTTTCTCTTGCCTAATTGCTCTGGCTAGTATTTCCAGCACTATATTGAATAGGAGTGGTGGTAATGGACATCCTTTTCTTGTTCCTGATTTTAGGGTAAAGGCTTTCAGTTTTTGGCCACTTAGTATGATGCTGGCAGTTGGTTTGTCATAGATGGCTTTTATCATATTGAGGTAAAGACCATCTATTCCAACTTTCTATAAGGTTTTTATCATGAATAAGTGTTGGACCTTATCAAAAGCTTTTTCTGCATCTATAGAAATGATCATGTGGTTCTTATTTTTGGCTCTGTTGATATGGTGGATTACATTTATTGATTTGCATATGTTGAACCATCCCTGCATGCCTGGGATGAATCCTACTTGGTCATGGTGTATAATCTTCTTGATGATTTGCTGCATCCTGTTTGCTAATATTTTATTGAGGACTTTTGCATCTATGTTTATTAGGGAGATTGGTCTGTAGTTCTCTTTTTTGGTTGGATCTTTCTCAGGTTTTGGTATTAGAGTAGCATTTGCTTCCAGGAATGAGTTGGGGAGAACTGTTCCCTTTTAGTTTCATTGATGAGTTTGAAGAGTGGTGGCATTAAGTCTTCTTTGAATTTCTTGTAGAATTCCACAGTGAATCCATCTGGACCTGGGCTTTTCTTTGTTGGTAGAGATTTAATTACGTTTTCAATTTCATTAATTGAAATTGGGTTATTCAGCAGTTTTACATCTTATTGACCCAGCTTTGGTAATTCATGTTTCTAGGAATCTATCCATTTCTTTGTTATCAAGCCTATGAGAGTAGAGGTTTTCAAAATAGGTATTGATGATCTCCTGTATTTCCACAGGGTCTGGACTAAACTAAAGTCGAAGTGGATAAAAGATCTAAATATTAAAACAGGAACACTAAATTTGTTGGAAGACAAAGTAGATAGAAATCTTGAAGACATAGGGGTAGGTAGACAATTCATGAACAAGAATCAAACCACATGGGAAATACTTCACAGAATCGATAGCTGGGATCGCATCCCATTAAAGAATTTCTGTGTGTCAAAAGAAATCTCCAGCATAGCTGAAAGAAAACCCACAAACTGGGAAAAAAATCGTGAACAGTCCCTCAGACAAAGGACTTCTGTCTAGAACATATAAAGAATTTTAAGAAATCAGATCCCCAAAATTCAAAGACCTGTTCCAAAAATGGTCATCTGAGATGAATACACAGTTTTCAGATGAAGAAATACAAATGTCAAATAAATACATGAAAAAATGTTCAACATCATTGGTCATTAGAGAAATACAAATTAAAACCACACTGAGATACCATCTCACTTCTGAAAGAATGGCCAGGATAAAGAAAACTACCAACATCAAATGCTGGAGAGGCTGTGGGGAAAAAAGAACTCTCCTGCACTTTTGGTGGGAGTGTAGACTGGTGCAACCATTGTAGAGGTCAGTCTGGAGATTTCTCAAAACGCTGGGATTGGAAGTCCCATTTGACCCAGCTATTTCACTTCTGGGCATATTCCCAGAAGAACTGAAAACATCATACCACACTGATATATGTGCACCCATGTTTATAGCAGCACAATTTGTAATAGCCAGATCTTGGAAACAACCTAAATGCCTATCAACTGAGGGATGGATAAAAAAGATGTGGTATTTTTATACAATGGAATACTACTCAGCTATAAAGAATGATCACATTAAGATATTTATAAATAAATGGGTGCAGTTTGAGACCATACTCATAAGTGAAATAAAATCAAATTCACGTGTATAAATACTGTATAGTCTCCCTAGCGTAAGAAATGGTGAGTACATAAGATACAAGAAACTCAATAATTACAGTAAAAGGATAGGAATCTGCTTAAAGGAGGAAAATAATATCTCAGGAAAAATGAGGAAAAAGAAAAAGGAAGGGAAAAGAAAAAATATTTATAATTATATAAACACACTTAGCATAGTTAAGATGATTGTGCTACAAACTCTGTAAGTTTTTGGAACAAAATAGTTCACATTCATAGGATTGGAACAACTGTGCACATTACTGTATGGTGATCTGAGGAACTCTTGAAGATCATTATGTAGAATAACAACCCTAGTTATGCTCACACCACCTTGTTTGGAAGGTCTACACTGTCAGTGTTCTGGGCTCTTTGCTATTGTTGTTTATGTGTTTTTCTAGTAATTTGTTTTGTTTTGTCTTGGTTTGTTTTCTTTTTCCGTCCAATACAGAAAGGATAGGTACACATGTAGAGACTCATGCATGGGTAGAACTTCTGAAAAGTTTATGAGAATCGGTTGTATAATGTATGATGAAATGAACAGCTACTTTGAAGATAAAGAGACTCTAAGGTACCCAGTGCTGATTCCGTAGTGTCATGATGTGAAATCCAGAAATAGTGTTATTCTTTGTTCAGAGTGAATTTCAACATACATGAAGGTATAAACAGCTATTTTGAAGAGAATGAGAGACACTATGGCAGCCATTGTTGACTTCCCTATTGTCTGTCTTGAAGACCCAAAATGCCTACATCATCCTGTTCTGATCAGTTTTATACTATTTTGTTTTGTATGAATTCACTGTGTGTGAAGATATGGACAATTATTTGGAGGAAAACAAGAAGCAATAGACAGTAAAGATCTCTGGTTGTCTTGCTTTGAAATCTGTGTCTCTTACATTGTTATCTTATGATCGGTTTTGTTCTGGTTTGTTATGTTTAATTTTACCCTCTTTAAAACTAAAAAATTTTTAAAAATAATCCTACATGAGCTAAAGGTAGTAACTTCAGAAATACTAAAGATTAGATTGTTAGTGACATTAGATTTCTTTTGAAAATCAAATAGCTCCCAATATGTGTGGCTTCAGAATCAAACAATTCCTTCCCTCTGGGGAAAAAGGGAAGAGGCAGAGGTGGGGCACAGAGTACTCATGACCAGGATGTGATGTGTGTGTGTCTTAAAACTCCACACTGAATGCAAACACTGCATATTACAAACATGTACTAATAAAAAATACTAATTTCACTAGAAAAAAAAATAAATACATAGAGATAAAAGAAAGAAAGGCAGAAGAAAATATACCACCCAGCTCAAGAGTTTAGAACCAATTCAAGCAGCTAAACCAAACTTAGAGATGAAAGGTGAACACAGGACAAAGGATAAAAATTGGAGCTAAGACGGAGAGCTGAGGACCCCGCCCCGGGGAAGAAGATGTAGGGAACATGCTAAGTTAGACCTCGGCGGCCTCTCCCTGCTCCAAGCCGGAGAACAGGTGCCAGATAATGAGTCTTTGAATCCCAGCCTCTTCCCGCATTATAGCGGCTACATTAGGTAGAAATACTGCAGGCAGTCAGACAGGGCTCAGCCGTGGGAGGTCAGCACAGAAGCCAGCTGGAGGGCGTTCACTGAAGGCCAGAGAACTACTGACCTGTGTGCTCACTTCCCCTGGGAGGGCAGCAGTGATCGGTCTTCTCAGGGGCCACCAGGTGCTCTTAACTGACAGACCCTCCTTAACCCGGCCCTTGCGGGAGAGACCTTGTCTGTCCGTGGCTTTTGCTACGTGACTTGCTTCTCCGTACGCTCCTCACTGAATCAGTGTTACCCACACCCACCCTGTGATTTTCCATTGGATCAATATTAACTAAGCAACTATACTTGTAATCTGATCGATCAATCGATCGATCGATTGATCCATTATAGTTCTATCCCACTTTAAACCCTCCTCACCTCATGGCGTGGCTCAGTAAACACCCTTGAGAAGTGGGGTTGGGAGGCACCCTGCTTTCCAGGCCCCCTTCTGTCTCTCTTAGACAGAAACTTGCTTTCTCTCAATAAATCCTTCCTAGTCTTAACCTCTGTTGTTTCTGGAATTGATTCCAGGATGTCAGAGAACATGAGCTCAGCAGTTCAGACATCCAGCGGCTTGGGAGTTATGTTTCCCCTCTGGGACCCACGCTCTGCATGTAAGCTCAGGACAGAGACCCTGAGTAGGTCAGTCGGGTGGACAGTGGTATTTACATTGACATCCCCAGATCATCCGCCCAGAGCGCAAGACATCTGTCTTCAATTGTCTGAACAATACCAGTGCCGGTCTTTCTCCTCAGCACAGTGGGCCTTCTTTCCTGCTTTGGGTTGGTCTCCACTGAGAGCTTGTTATTACTATGCTTTCCTTTCTTTTGCTTTTTTCTTTGCGTTCTGGTTTTTGAGACAGTCTCTCAACATACAACAGACACAAGCCTCAAGCTCTCTGCATCCTCCTGCCTCAGCCTCCTGAGTGCGGGGACTCTAGGCGTGCACCCCACACCTGGTTTATTATTTCAGTAAACACTCTCCTGAGCTCTTTTTGCTCTCAAATTTATTCTTCATTCTGGGGAGACAAAGAACTGGAGTTTATTCACGATGAAATATTTCAGCTGCACCTTGGAGTCGCCTGGGAGTTTAACACACATTGCCACCTGGGTCCCAGGCCAGCAATTCTGATGTATTGGGGTGAAGTCTGGGCTTCCAGCATGCAGCCAAGCGTGGGCATCCGAGTGCAGGGAGGAGAAGGGTACACTGCTGACCCGTGAGAGGAGGAGCCCTGGGGGCTGCCGGGAAACACTGGCAGCTGAAACAGGTCCTGATCTTCCCCTCGAGCTTCAGCAAGGACTTGGCCCTGCTGGATTTTACACTCTGGTCTCCATTCCTGAGACACAGCCTGCTGGGTTTCAGGCTGGTGTCAGACTTGCAGGGGATCCTCCTGCCTCAGCCTCCCAAGTGCCGGGATCATGGGCACAGGCCACTAGGCCTGGTGCTCTGTTGTCTTAAGTCACCCAGTTTGTGATACTTTGTCCCAATAACCCAGGACACCCATAAGACACCCATTAGCTTTGTTTGGAGAAGCCCTGAGCTAGACTCATCCAGAGGCAGCCCATGACCAACCAGAGTTGAGATAATTAGAGACTTATTCTTTATATAATTTCTTTTATTTGTGGGAGGAAACACACATGAACAAACAGGCTCTCAAAACTACATCCTTCTGGGGTCCTGGGGGTGCAGGCTCCCTCTCTCTCTCTGTCAAGCATGCTTGAGTTAGGTGGGCAACATTTAAAAAAAATCTCAGCTTGTGTCCATTGTGGTGACACACGCCTGTCTCCACACTTTGGGCGGCTGAGGCAGGAGGATCACAAGTTTGAGACCAGCCTGGGGAATTTAGCAAGAGCCTGTATCAAAGGAAAAAAGGGAAAAGGTTTGGGGATGTAGCTTAGTATCCAGGCTCTAAATTCAACCCCAGTACCTCAAAAAAAAGTTCTAGAATTAAGAATTAGATAGCAGTGGTTGCACACAGTATAAAACACCTGTACGTTTCAAAATGGTGCATTTCATGACACGTGAATTATATTTACACTAAAAAAATATCAGCACAGCTTGAGTTTATCTTCTGAGCTTTACACGGAAGGGCTCTGTTTAGGAAACTAGCTCCAGTTGAAGGTGGCCTAGCTGCCTGCACCCCAACCTCCTGAACAGGGTACAGCTCCACTGCCCGTGTGTCTAGCTACTGAGGACCCTGCTTCCCTGCTAACGTGAAAGCCTGTGTCCTGACCACGTGGCTATAACACGTCATTGCAGGGCAGGAGCACTGGGACATGACGTGGGCTGTTTCTGCCCTTCACCCCAGCGGGGAGCGCCTGGGGTAACTGACATTGCAATGTGTGCTGTTTGTGGGCAGGGGACGGAGCCAGGGCCTTGTGCATCTTAGACAAGTGCTCTGAGCTGACCTGCAGCTTCAGCCCTATTTATCTTTTATTCTGAGCAGGGTCTCGATAAATTTTCCAGGCTGGCCTTGAAGTTGGTTGGGCTCCTTCTGCCTCAGCCTCCTCCTGAGTTTTCAGGTATGTGCTATCACACCCCTTGCCTGCTTGTGACTTTGGGGGAGTAGTATTTTCCTGGGCTGCGGTCTCCCCTCCTGCGAAATTGGGGCTTTGAGCTATGATGGCCTCCTAAGCCCCCCAACTATCAGCCCATCTTTTCTTTTCTTTTCGTCTTCTTTTTTTTTTTTTTTTTTTTTTTTTGGTCTTTTTGAGACAGGGTCTCTTTGTGCAGTTCAGGCTTGAACTCACTTTATAGCCCAGGCTGGTCTTGAACTTGAAATGATCCTCCTGCCTCAGCCTTTCGAGTGCTGGGATTACAGGCATGGGCCACCACACCGAAGGTCAATGGCGAGTTAGAGCCAGCTGAAGGGACTCACCTGATCACATTTTTGCTCCTCACTGAAGGCCACCAGGATGACAGAGACAAACAGATTCAGCACCACAAAGGTCATAAAAATGACACATGATCCAATTAGGAAGGAGCCAAGCACTGGGCTGGAGTCCAGGACCTGACGGGAAGAAGCCAGTGCCACTCCTGTGTCTTCTGTCCTAGCAGACACTCCCAACCCAGCCCTCAGAAGAACGCATGGTCCTCAGAGCTGGGCGCAGCTGGAGCCAGGAAGTCCCCTCTGCCAGGGGTGGGAGTGGGCTGCACCCCTGCCCCCCACTGCCTCCTCCAAAGCTAGCACAGCTGTGCTGGGAACATCCCCACCCAAGATCAGCCACACAGCACCCCCCATCCCACCCCCCGTGTAGCCACCAGCCCCTGGAGCTCTTCTGTGAGCAGGGCTCCCCAGGACGGGCTGCCTAAAGGAAGGGGTTTGTCTTTTATCTGTCCAAGATTGCCTTGGGTTTGCCAGGCCATGAGCCCAGGGGATGGGTGAGCAGGAAATAAATTTTTGATTTTGTTTGTATTTATTGGGGGGGAGGGGATGTGTTGAGGTGGCCTCACTCTGTACCCTCAGCTGGTCTCAAACTGGAGGTGATTCTCCTGCCTCAGCCTCCTGAGTGCTGGGATTACCAGCCGGCACCACTACACACCCAGTGATTTTTCTGATTTTCTCGAGGACTTGTAGCTCCCCACCCCCACCCGTTACCTCCTCATAGTTGAAGATTCCTAGCTGCAGGCTGATCATCGTTTCCAGTGCATCCAAGAGGGTTTTGTAGGAACGGAGTTTCCAACCAAATAGTAGGTTTGACTGCCATGGAAAGAGTCCTCATGAGCAGGGAAGGAAAGCCGCCGCCCCACCCAAGTGCTGCAGCCTGGCACTGCGGCCCGGGTCTCCCTGCCCAGGCCTGGCTCACGTGGACGGGTGTGCACAGAGTGTGTGCATACCTCTCCTCTTCATGGGCCCACACATGCAGACCATGTACGTGTGAGCTGCCCACACGTGGCACCTTGCACTCGGGTCACCTAGCTGACCCTGTGTGGGGCCTTGTGACACCATGCCTGGCTGGGCTGGGATACTTCCCACAAAACCTCCACAGAGCCCTGGTTTCGGAAGGTGGGGATGGAAGCTGGAGAGGAGCTGGGGGAGGCCCTGGCTGGGGGTGGTGCACAGCCAGGAGGGGGGTGAGGGGTCAAAGCTGAGTGGGGCTGAGCCAGAGGGAAGTCTGGACTTGCAGCGTTGGGGCACGTATTTGGGTGGAGGTCAGGATGTGGCAGGCTCAGGAGATGGTCTTCCCTGTCCTCACCACATGGTGAAAGAAAGAGTTTAAAGTCTTAGTCACAAGAGAGAAAGCATGTCACAGTACTGTCAGTGTCCAGTGCTGACTGCAGCAGCTCTGGTCCCGTGAAATGGGTGCCTTGTGTGTAGGGTGCCAGGTGCTGCTGTCTGTCTCCACCTAGCTCCAGGCCACTGGGGAGCCACTCAGCCACCAGCACGGAGGGAGTTGCCATCCCTCTAGGAAGTAGCCCTGAGGCTCCCGAAGCAGGCCCAGGATGGCACGGGGCCTCCATCGGGGCATCGGCCCTTCTGCTCACAGCCCATTCCGCCTGCCTCCTGCTCGGCTGAGCCCTCCACCCTTGCCATATGAGGAGGCCAGTGCCTGAGCTCCCTGCTAAAGACTCAGACTCAGAAGAGCCCCTTTCCCCTAAGCTCCCGGAGCCTCCATAACCCTGACTGTCCACTCCACACCACCAAGCACCTTGGGCTTCCGTGGAGAGCAGCCCCGGGGTTCCCACAGGGGCCACCTACTGTGATAGAATAAGCCAGGAGCATGATCAGGATGACGATGAGGAAGCCCGAAATGTCACCCCAGGCTCGGCGCAGGGCCGACGTGATCGTGTTCATTTTGGGGTTCAGCCTGAGCAGATGCCAGAGCTTCACGGTGGACAGGAGCACCAGGAAGGCAATGATGTATCCGAGGGCAGCGTCAGCCGCTGCTGTCTCACTGAAACTGACCCCGCTGAGGGGCAGATGGGGAGGGAGGGTTGGGGACAGGGTCTCACTGTGGAGTCCAGGTCGGCCCCGCTCCCCGGGGTGCCTCCGCCTCCCTAGTGCTGGGGTCACAGGCAGGGGCCCCCACTCGGAGCTGCCTCATTTGCTTTGACGCGCGTGAACTGTGAGATGGAGCAGCCTCTTCAGCTCCACTTCACAGATGGGGACAGAGAGGCGGCCCAGGGTCACACACTGTGCCGAACACAGCGGGACAAGCTGAGGCAGGGGAGTGCGCAGAAGCTCCCCTTCCTGCCCAGCGTCACACCTTACTCTCCGTTCTCCTCTCAGGTCTCTGTGGGACTGCATTGTTTGTCACTTGCTTGTTTGTTTGTTTTGAGTCCCCTTGCTCGGGCTGGCTCCCGACTTGAGATTCTCCCTCCTCCGCCTCCCGGGCAGCCGGGCCTGCAGGCGTGTGCCACGGTGCCCGGATGTTTTAAGCTTGGCTTACTTTTCTGTTAAAGCAAGCATTAGTCCCCTCCCACCACACGCGTACTGGGACCTGAGGCTGGGGCCTCAGACACGCTAGGCAGGTGCTCCGCACTCAGCTGCCGCGCTAGCTCCTGCCTCTACATTTAATGCAGTCCTAATATTAAAAGGGTCATTAAAAAGGACAGGCCTGTGTCTACTGACATGAAAATAAAAAGTTATAGAAAAGTGTTACAGGCTATCAAGTTTGTAAAAGCATTTAATATATAGAAATAATTTGTTATACATTAATATAATGTTTTTATATATATTTCTTACTATATATTTCAGGACCTAACTGTAAGAACAGCTCATCTATGCTAATAAAACTAAGTTTACAGGTTTCTGAAATAAACACAAAACTCTGGTTAGTTGATTAACCAGATTCAATCGAAGTTAAGTTGCAGGCTTAACTGTGCTCGGCTTTGCATGGGAGCATCTCAGGTGAGTCCTCGCCTGGCATGAGCAGTGTCCTTTGTTTAAGAGCCTTATCCCAAGAGCCACAAGAAGAGAGGACGGAAGGAAGGAAAGAGGGAAGGGAGGAAGGGAAAAAGATAAAATGAAAAACAAAAGGAATTCACATTGTACCCAGGTTTCTGTTGAAGCCGGCAAGATTCCTTTTGTTCTCTGTAAGTCGGTGTAGAAATGCTGGCCATTAAGCCAGGCGGACGGCGCGAGGAAAAGCTCCCTTTAGCAGGGAGAAAGCTGCTGCCTCCTAAGAGCCGGTTAGTGCCACTTCAATATTGTTCTCCCTGCCCGTTCAGCTAAAACTCTGGAAAACCAGGATGGGTCCAGGCAAGGTCACCAGGTCTGGTTGGCCTAAGCAACCCGGAGCAAGCCAGGCTCACTGCAGCCCGCAGCTAGCTGTGCTCAGAGATGCTGCGCCACCCTTTGTTTCTGAGCATGTGACTGGGCAGTGGAGCTGAGCATGTGCAGAGATGTGCCCGGGCCCCTGCTCTCCTGTGTGAGTGGGGACGCCCCTGCTGAGAGCCCCTTGTTTGCTCAGGGCGCGCTGCTCTGCACACAGGTCACAAGCCTTTCTCTACCCCATTATCACTGGCTTTGGTGCCGTCCAGATGCAAACGCCCCGCACCCGGTTATCAAATGAGAGCTCTGCTGGGAACTTGTTCCACAGCTAGAAAAGCCAGTCTGTGTGGATGTCAATCAAACATGGCCAGGTGTGTGGTAAGGCACACCTGTAAGCTGAGGCAGGAGGATCACTGTGAATTCAAGGCCAGCCTGGTCCACATAGTGAGACCTTTCTCAAAAAAAAAAGGAGAGAGAAAAAAAAAAAAAACTGACATTTTCTGATCATAAAGCGGGCTGGGCCAAGGACTTAGCAGCTGGGCCTGCAGATGCCTAATGGATGAACAAAAGCAGGACAGAGCCCAGCCCCTGCCCCGCCCCTGCACAGAGGCATGGTCAGCATTCATGGAATGTCTGTGTTACAGGTTCGTTTTGGTTTGGTTTGGTTTCGTTTTCTGCCTTTTTGAGATACGATCTTCGTATGCAGTACAGGCTGACCTTGAACTTACTGTGTAGCTCGAACTCATGGTGCTCCTCCTGCCTCAGCCTCCTAGTGCTGGGCCCAGCCCTGTACAGGTGTATTAGCCTCACTTTACCAAGCCTGTCTCATCCACTTCTAGACTGAAAACACCAAGAGAAGAGAAAAGTCACTTTCAGGATTTGCCAGGCTATCACTTTGCCAGTTTTTACAGCCTCCAGGGCCAGGGTCCAGGCCCTCCAGAGCAGTATCCACAAGTTTGAAGTCATTGTCCTAAACCTGAGTCACCTGGACCCCAGGAAAAGCAGAGCCGGGCTAAGGGATCGATTTCCCCGTGGTGGGCCTAAGGCAGCCTTGAGGGAGACAGCTCTCCAGAGCCTGAGAGCCAGTCCTGAGACACCCATCACCCGGCCGCACCACCAGGAAGACCTGCATGGCCGGCTGTGCCTTGGTTTCCCTTTTCTATAAACCCCAGAGCTTGGGCCAGCCCCGCAAAGACAGATCCTGAGCCTGGTTCCCTATGCTTCCCGGCACAGCCCCTGTGATGGGAGCTCCTCTGCCGCTCTTCCCCACAGTCCGGGGCCTTGACTGACCCCAGAACTGATCCCAGAACTTCAGTGACTGGCCGGGCACGGACGAGGGTGGCTCCAGCGGCGTAGCCTGAGGTCCCTCATGTGTCACCTCCAGCAGGTTCGACACAGTTGCGTCCTAGTGTGGGGAACCACCCAGGTGACCCTCCTTAACTCGCCTTGAAAAGAAGAGCAACTGTCTCCATTTTGGGTAAACCTGGCCCTGTCTCCGTGTGTTGATATGCACAGAGCTGGTTGGGCTATTTCTTATCACTTTAAGCAATGTAAACGGGGCTGGCTGAGGAGCTGATGTGTCACCTCTGAAGCAAAGTGACAGGTCAGTGTCACCCTGCCAGTGACTCCCCAGATCTGTGGCTGAGCTGGGCAGGATGGGAAGCCGTGCTCCACACTGTCAGCTGGGACTGGGCCTCGAGAAAGAGGCTGTAACTACCCAGGACAAACAGGACTGTGCATCAGAACTGAAGCACCAACCCAGGCTGTTAGAAACTACCTCAGACGTTGTGCAGCTGCTCTCTCTGCATTTCTTGCAGGGGTGATCTCAGCCCTCCTGCCTAGCTCGGCTCACAGTAGTCATGGCAGTCACGTATTCCCTCCACTCTCACCATCACTTGTCCCTGAGCCACGCCCCTCATGGAGAATAAAACCAGGAAGAGGGGCTCTGGGTCAAGGCTTTTGTTCCAGTGAACCCCATCTTGTCTGGGCTTAGGACCCCTTGGCTCCCCACAACTGTGTCTATGTCTCAGTGTCTTTATGCTCACCATGGGTTGCACTGGAGTGATTGATTGGAATTCACTCACTACACTTCTAGTAACTGCTCCATGGGATGACACATATAAACCTTCCTGGGCCTCGTGTGACAAGGGTGGCAAGGGGTTCAGACCTAGAACGCAGCCCTGCATCCCCGGGCAGTGATCGGCAAGCTACTAGAAAGGGCCAGAGAGTTCTGCCACCGTGACTCCATCTGCCACCGCAGAGGGAGGGCAGCCACAGACAGTGCGTGTGCAAACGGCTGCGGCAGAGTTCAGTAAAGCTTGATTAACACCACCAGGTGTTAGGGGCAGAGCTGGCGGGGCTGACCCACTTCTTCCCCTGCCGACCCCTTCCGGAGCTAAAGCACCTTTAGGTGTTTGAAAGAACTGCCTTGCCTAGCTCACGGTGAGTTTGAGGCAGGTCTTTTTTGTTTGTTTGTTTTCTTTTTTAGACAGAGCCTTGCTGTGTGGTACAGGCTCGTCTCAAACTCGTGATCACTCTCCTGCCTCAGCCTCCCGAGTGAGTGCTGGGATTACAGACGTGCACCACCACGCCCGGCAAGGTAAGTCATTTCAGGTCTCAGAGAATGCTAGCAATCCCGAGGTGTTTCTATCAATGGAGGTGTCTGGAGAGGGGAGAGTTTGTGTCTCGTGGGTAATACGGCATCGGTTGAGTGGTTTGTTGCACGAATGAGATGGCGTTAGAGTGGATCAGGGAGAGTTCAGATTCTTTTTTTGTGTGTGTCTGTGTCTTTTTCGGTACCAGGGATTGAACTCACGACGACACACTTGCAAGGCAGGCGCTTATGCCGCTGAGCTAAATCCCCAGCCCCGAGAGTTCAGATTCTGAGTCCTGCGCTGCCTCACGGTGACCCTGCCCAAGAACTCTGACCAGTGATTTCCTCCTCTATAAAGAAGAGGACGAAGAGACAGGAGATGCTGATAGTATCATTTCTTGGCAGTCTGGAGAAGACAAAAGTAAATATATTCTTAAAGTGCTGCTCTAGGCTAGGGCAAAGCTCGGTGACAGCATACATGAGGCCTGGGTTCGATTCCCACTGGAAGTATGACTGCCTCACCTCAAGCAATAACTCGATGAATATAAGATCTCACCTATAAAAGCTGAGAGAAGGACACAGTGATCAAGGTGAGCCCTGGAGCCTGGAGCCGTGCAGTCTACATTTTACTTACTGATTTATTTATTGTTTTGTTTTATTTGAGACAGTCTCAGTACACAGTGCAGGCTGGCCTTGAACTTGCTTACGTAGCCCAGGCTGCCCTGGAACTAACTCATGGGGATCCTCCTGCCTCAGCCTCCTGAGTGCTGAGATTACAGCTGTGTGCCACCATGGCCACAGCCTAGACTTAAATTACTTCTCTGCCACATTTAGCTGTGTGACTTTAGAGAAGTCTTACGAAATTCCCGAGCCTTGGTCTCTTTGGTAGAAATACGGTAGTGATGACATCTGCCTTTAGTGGTTTCATTTTTCTTTTTGTCATGGAGAATTAAACCAGGGCCTTTGCACTGAGTTATAGCTCAGCCTTTTTAAAATTTTGAGACAGGTCTTGCTAAGTTGCCTACACTAGACCGCAACTGCAAATTCTCTTGCCTCAGCCTCCTGAGTGCTGAGCTCTAGTCATGGGCCTGCATACGTGTTCCCCTTGCAGGGCTGAAGACTGAGCCCAGGGCTTTGCACACGCTAGGCAAGTGCTCTACCGTTGAGCTCCGTTCCCCCACCCTTTCCATTTTTTATTCTGAGATGAGGTCTTGCTAAATCATCTAGCTGGCTGCCAACTTGCAGTCCTCCTGCCTCAGCCTCCCAGGTAGCCGAGGTTACAGCTAGGCATCACCTCACTGGCTTCCCTCTGTCAGGTCGTACAAACACAAGACATTGACCATGATGTCTAGCATACCCTGCCGAGCACCTAGTGGACGCTTGATAAATGGTGGCAGAGGTGGGCTTGCTGGGCACTAGTGCTTGCGAGAGTGCGCCCTGAAGCTGAGAGGGACCTCAGCAAGGTGCCACACAGCCCTGCATTGCAAACATCAGATACTGTTTTTGTTTCTTGAGTCAGGGTCTCACTATGCAGTTCAGGCTGGTCTCAGATTCACAGTGATCCTCCTGCCTCAGCTTCCCGAGTACTCGGCTAGCAGGCGTGCACCAGCATGCTTGGCTGCAAACACCAGCAATTGTTCTGTTTTAAAGTCTTCTGCAGACCGGATGTGGTGATGCCTGTCTGTAATCCTAGCCCTTAGGAGGCTGAGACAGGAGGATCACAAGTTAAGGCCAGCCTGGGCAGCTCACCAAGATGCTATTTTATTTTTTAGATATAAACCATAACACCTTACTTGGGGAATTTTGTCTTAAACTGTGTTTTCAAGTTGACTTATCCTCAACCTCCATACTAATCTGTTAATCTATGCAGTCCACAGTTTTCAGATGTTAGTTCCGTTTAAAAAAAAAATATCTTCCACATCTCATGAGGTTTATATTTTCCTTTAACTACTTTAGCATCCTGATTGGTTAACTTCTTCATCTCTGTTAGGTTTCCACTGGTGATTCTGTTCCTGCTTATCTGTCCCATGTTCCTGTTGGGGGCCCTCGGCAGCAACTTCCTAATTCAGTGCAGGAGTTGTGTTCTCAATGTCCTTTTACTGAGGTGTTATGAGTTTCCTATTACTGTGTATCTCAATTCCATAGTCTTCTTTAAGAGCATTGGGCTTTATTCTAGAAGGCAAGATGAGCCAGACCCTATTTCAGAATAACATGTAAATAGTTAAGGTGGTGCATGCCTATAATCCCAGAACTCAGGAGGCTGAGGCAGGAGGATCGCTGCAAATTCAAGGCCAACATGGGCTCGATAGTGAGTTCAAGGCCAACCTAAACTACGAGGGCCAGTGAGACTTCCAGAGCCTCCTGCTGACCTTGGGCCTCAGAGAGAACCAAGGGCGGGCCAGCAGAGGTCCAGGGACTGGGGACAGGGCCACTTACTCTGCCCTGTGCTTCCGATAGCGCTGGAGGTCCCGCTCCGCCAGGACAGCCCTCTTCACAAACACCGCCAGGGCGCTCCAGCTGGCCAGGATGATGGCCAGTTCCAGCAGGTTCCACTTGCTGCGGAAATAGCGCCACTTCTGCCTCCGCACACGCTGGCCCTGGGGAGGAAGGAGCAGAGGCTCCGTCCAGGCTGGTGGCCGTAAGTGTCCCCCACTGGAGGCTCCTCTCCCTGCCAGGAGGGCCTTATGGCCAGTGTCAGATCAGGCAGGCTCTGAGGCCCTGGCCCCTGGTACACACCCCACTGCAGGATTTGTAAGAATAAATCCAGGGTCAGCCATCCAGGTGGCAAATGCCTGCAATCCCAGCCCTGGGGAGGCTGGGGCAGGAGGGTCCCTGTGAGTCTGAGGCCAGTGTGGGCCCCAGAGGGAGAGGAAGGGTGTGGTCCGGCCCACGAGCCCACCTGCACCACCATGTAGTAGAAGAGGAAGACGAAGTACAGGAGCTCGGCTGCCACCACGAAGGGGTGCCAGCCGTCGGGGAGCAGGAGCAGGCGGAGGCTGTGCAGGGCCGCGTGGGTGGAGAAGGTTCCTGGGGGCGGAACGGAGCATTCATCACCCGGGTCCCCTCGAGCTGGGAGCCCTCCTGCGGGCTGGCGGCCAGAGAGGCCGGGATCCTCAGACACAGAGACTCGAGGGCCTGAGGGTGACGTGTGGTGTGCGGTGCCCTGGAGCACCCCCGAGACGGAGGCGGGCATTATGTGCTGCCCAAGTACACTGAGAAAGCAGATTTTAAAAGGACTCCACCGGAGCCGGGCGTGTGGTGGCTCATGCCTGTAATCCCAGCACTCGGGAAGCTGAGGCAGGAGGATTGTGGTGAGTTCGAGACCAGCCTAGGCTACAAAGTGAGTTCAAGGCCTGAACTGCATAGCAAGACCCTGTCTCAAGAAGACGAAAAAATAAAATTAAAAAAAAAGAGAGACATCACGAGGAGTCTGTTCACCACCACCAATATGCCTGATAACCCAGCCTCTTTCTCTTACTTTCTGCAGTGATTCTGGGGTGACAATGTTCCAAACCATTTTGACAATAAGGCCTGAAGACAAGTCAGCCCTACAGTGACCAGAGGAAAGGACAGAAGCCATCAGAGTCCCTGACTGTGGTCTGTGGTCACGGACTCAGCAAGGCCAGGGACCCAATCTCGACCTCTTCTGTGCAGAGACACAATTCAGTCAGATGTGGTTTTGGACACATTATTTAAAAACCCCCTCTTTGAAGAGCAGAAAGGAAGCAGGGTGTGGCTGTGCCTGTCTGTGGTCCCAGCACTCGGGAGGCTGAAGCAGGAGGATCCCTGTGAGTTCGAGGCCGGCCTCAGCTGCGTGAGTTTAAAGCCAGCCTGGAGTTCACAGTGGGGCCCATCTCAAAAAGATAAAATAAAAAGGAAACAAAGAAAAGAAAACGTCCCAAAATGTGCCAAGAGGAGATCTAAAAATGTAAAAATAAACTAAAGAACGATTTGAGAGAAGCTGTGACCTTGCCAAACCTTGGGGGAGATGAAAGCTATTCACCACCCAGATGTTATGTATTGCGAGCTGGGGACGGAACCTTGACATGCTAAGCGCACTTTAAAGTGATATTCACTTTATAATTAAAATGTAAGTTAATGTATTTTGAAGGTTCAGTTCGAGCCAGGCCTGGTGGCACACACTGCCATCTCAGCCCTCGGGAAGCTGAGGCAGGAGGATCCCTGTGAGTTCGAGGCCAGCCGGAGCTGTATAGCGTGTTGAAAGCCCAGCTGAACTGCATAGCGAGATCCTATTGCAAAAAACCAAAAGAATTAAAAAAAAAAAAAAAAGAAAGAAAGAAAAAACTTCGGGGTGTAATGAAAGGGTGCCGAGTGGTAGACAGGGGGCACACTAGCTGCACAGGCTGTCAGCGACGGTTTTTGAGGCTGGTTAGCATTTTATGTACCTGCTTGCTCATTTCCTAAGGTCCTGGGATGGAACTGGACCTCCTGAGTGCTGGCCAGCACCTGCTGGTCCTGACTGTATTGTGCTTTTGTTTTGAGAAACCATCTTTCTGTTGCCCAGGTGAGACTCCACCTTGGGATCCTCTCGCCCGGCCTCCCAGTAGCTGGAATTACAGGTGTGTATGTGTGTGTGTGTGTGTGTGTGTGTGTGTGTGTGTGTGTGTGTGTGCGTGTGCGCGCGTGTGGGTGTGTATGGTGCACTTCCGCTGTGGATTGATGGGCAGGCTGTAAACTGTCTTTCAGGTGACCCCATTTGTTAGCAGGTCCCCTCTCCTTAGCCTGCACCCCACCGGCAGCACAGTGGGGAGCTCCGGCTAAGGACAGGGCTAAGCTCAAGGCCTCCAGCTGGGTCCCACTGGGGTGACTTGCAGGACTCAGAGTCCTGGAAGAGAGGGCCCAGCCTGACCCCTCATTCCCCAAACAGCTCTTTGCCCTGGTTCCCTGGGTCCCGCTGGGCAGCAGGGATGTGTATGGGGGGGGGGGGCTGGGCCCACCCAGGGCCCACCCAGCGCTCACCCAGGCCGCTGGTCTCCAGCGTGAGTGTGACCACACAGAAGAGGTTGACGTTGGCGTTGTAGACGGTGAACTCCACGAACACGGCCCTGGTCCGGGTGTCCAGCCAGGCGTGGTTAAAGAGATACTGGAGAACTCTGTGGGAGAGAGGGGTGCTTGGGGCACCTCTGTCCCATGAAGGGCCCCTGTCCCCCAGGTTTTGGACAAATCCAGGGTTTCCTGTCTCAGACGCCCCGGGAATGACGCTGAACCCTCCAGCCCTTCCCACGGACACGGAGGAGCTCGCTCCCGCCCTGCTTTGGAGCACGTGGCTTCCCTTTGTGCAGAGGAATCGAATCAGCCTCACCTGGACGCACTCTGGCGCTCAGTCCCCAAAGGGACCACGTAGCCCCCTCCGGGGTACAGAGCGAGCCTGCCCCACGTCGGGTACCCTCGAAGCTGGCTCTGGCTCTGGTAGCGCCAGGCCAGGGGAAAGTGGTCACCGCTGTCGGGGGCAGAGGCGTTCCAGTCTTCCCCGTAGTCCGCCCGGTCTTCCTGGTCCAGCGAGTATGGCGCGCGGCATCCACTCAGGGAGGCTCGAAGCTGTGGGGCCAGCAGGCAGGAGCCGTCCCGGACCCTCACCTGGCGAATGTGGGCACTGCCAACCAGCTTGGAGTTCCCATCTGTGACGAAGCCTGTGAATAAATGGGGGGGGGGTAATCCCGCAGGAAGTCACCCCAGTGCTCTTCTTGGCCAGATGTGAAGGAGGACATCCTCGGGCCCAGCACAGAGAAGCCAGGAGGCAGCCAGCCGCGGACCACGTCCCCCAGAACCACCGTGCCCTCAGTGCCCGCCTGGCTGCAGCTGCGCCTGCCCTCGGCCTCCCATCCCGGGGCTCACTGTGCCCAGCCAGGCTCCTCTTCCGAGTCTTCCACACTGTCCCCTCCTCTCGGTCACCGCCACCCTGTCTTTGGTCAGCCCTGCGCCATCTCCCCAGCTCCTACTCAGCGCCCCTTGGGTTACTGTTTCTCAGTATGCACTTGCAGTGCCAAGTCTGCCTCCTCCTGGGGCGGGAGCGAGAGCTTAGCACCGCCTAGCTTCCTTCAGTCCCTGGCTCTCCTTCCCATCTGCAGAGTACTGTCTCCCTGTTTCCCATGATCCGCCTTTTAGTTTGCTTTTTAGTGATGTTTGTTTCAGGTTCTCCTAGGAGAGCAGGTGTGTGCTGAGACTTACTGATTTATTTCCCTTGAGGCGCCTGCGTCCCCTGCAGACAGCTCCTGGGAACGACCCCAGGCTTGTGTCCCTCCTCAGGCAGAAACTTCCTGACTCAAGGGCAGGGTGCAGACTTCTGAGCTCCCCTCCTTCAGGCTGCACCCCTGTCTCTGTCTCCTCCTGGGCCTCAGGCCTCCTGGACCCCAACCCTGCGCTGTGGCTGCACGGGTGCTCCTCGGTCCAGGAGCCTGTCCTGCTCCGCCGGCCAACTCTGCCTGTGTGCGAGCGCCTCTCCCTCACTGCCTGGGGTCCCCTGGCTGAGATCACTGGGGACCCACACCTGCTGGCAGCGGGCGCACGCCGGCGTGTACCTGGGTGTGGGCCGTACAGGTTGCTCAGGAGGGTGCTGTTGGCCCACTCGAAGAACTCTGGGAAGCCCAGCGGGTCGGCAAAGCCTCTGGCGAAGCTGCGCTCCAGGTGCCTGGTGAGGTGGAAGGCGCTGGGGTCCCTCTGGTTGTAGGCCGCCAGCAGCAGCATCCACAGGAAACCCAAGTACACTGCAAAGCAGGCACGGTGCGCCTGTCAGGCAGGAGCTGCCCGAGCCAAGCTCAGGAAGGGAGTGGATGGTCAGCCCGGCCCCGGCCTCTGGTAACCATGGACATGGTCCTGACAGAGACCACAAGGCCTGCTGTCGGGCTGCAAATCCCAGCCCTACCATTCCCCACCCATGAGGCTTTGCAGGTGATTCAGCCCCCACTGGCTCACTCCTGTCTGTGGAATCTGGGTGCTAATCTACGTAAGAGATGAGATAACAGCCCTTGTAAAGCACCCCAAGCAGACCCTGCCCGGAGACTGAAGTTTCCAATCCCTGGTACGGGAATTGGATCCAGAGCTTTTGCACTGATTGCATTCCCAGCCTGCTCCTTTTAAACAAAAAAAAATTTTTTTTTAATTTTGAGACAGGGTTTTTGCTTAATCGTTAAATTGCCCAGGCTGGACTCACACTTGGGGATCTTCCTGCCTCAGCCTTCCAGAGCGCTGGATACAGACATGTACCACTAGGCTGAGTTTGTGTTAGTGTTTCTTAAACAGGGTTTTTTTCCGGTGTGGCATCCACCACGTGGCATTTCAGAGGGTGCAGTAATGAAGTAGACGGGTGGGTTCTGGGCCTCGCGGAGCTGGCCTGACTTGCTGGAGACCGGAGTGTGATGCAGGAGACAGTGACGGGTGAGATGTGGCCACGCCCCTCCCTCCCCATGCTGCGCCTCCTGTCCTGATCTCCCCTCCCAAACAAGCTCCACACACCCCGAGCTGCTCCTCGGGACCCCAGAAGAGACACACCGAGGCTGGAAAGCTCTGGGCCAGAGGGCCAGGCAAAGTCTCACTGCAGACACAGTGATTGGCAGAGTGTTAAACACCAGAGGAGGCGGGTTGGGCTGGTGTTTGTCTGTTATGTCAACATGAAGGAGGCTGAGACAGGAGGGTTCTGAGCCGGAGGACAGCCTGGGCCAGGAAAGACCAGGAGGCAGGCCCTGAGGAGCCACAGCGGGGAGCCCGGACTTCCCTCAGGGCCTGCGAGGGCACCAAGGGATGGCCAGTGTTGGAGATGGGAACAGGGTGGTGCCCACCCAGGATTTCCGAGATGAGGGCCAGCGCCTTCTGCTCCTTCAGCCTGGCGGCTTTCATCTGCTCGATGGCGGCAGGTGGAGGTGGCTGGTAGACGCCCCTGCGGCTGTGTCTCCGAGCCCTGAAGACGGCACAGGGACCTGTGGAGGGAGGATACCGGGCAGTTCCTGGATACAGCAGGTGTGGGACGGGCCCTGCATCAGCAGCATGAGGACCCCGACTCCCCAGCATCCACAGGAGTTTCCACCGTGTCGTCCTGGCAGGTGCTGATCCAGCTGTCAGGGCCCCGTGTCCATCTGTCTGTACCACCAGGGCATTCCTCACCTCCCTCTTTACCCTCATTGTGAGCCTGCTTCACCCCAACTGCCCATGCTTAGTAACAGTATGAAGTGACATGTTCCGTCAGACCTCAGGGCCTTTGCACATCCCACTGTGCAAGTGCTTCTTTCCCCTGCCGCTCAGGGGACAGCTTAGATGCCCCTCCTGCCAGAGGCCTGCAGTGTCCAGCTCCTCCCAGCCTCGCTCTCCTCTCAATCACTGTGCACTCACTTTCCTATTAACGTCACCTCCCCTTAGGACCTATTTATTCCAGGAGTGGGACCTGTCAGCCCAGGCATTGCCAGGTGTGGTGGGGACCCTTCTGGGCTGCTGAGGCTGCTCTGAGTCAGGTCACAGTGGGGCTCACAGAACCCGCTAATCTCCCCGAAATCAACAGACTATGCGTGGTTTGGTGTGAGCTAAGCTAAGCCCGGCCGAGGTCACCACGTGGCACGGTGCCCGTGGGCTTCTGTTTGCGCCTGGTTTATTTCCCTGAAAGTCAAATCCATCTCAAGAAGGCCGCTTCTGTCTTGTTTGCTCCTGTGCTTCCGTTACGCTCTTCCTGTCCACACGCTCCCGGCCTCGGTGGGAGGAAGGGACCGGCCAGGGGTCCCGGACCGAGGTCAGTGTGCCTGGGTCCAGCCCGGCTCCCTCCACAGAACTCAATGCCATTTCAGATCTGCGGTCCGGGGGTCCAGCGGACAGTGGCCTTTTGCAGTCTACCTGCAAGCGGGCTCTTGCTAGTCTAAAACCCCAGGAGCTGAGTCTGAGGGCAGAGCCCCCTGCTGGGGGTGCGAGGGGAGGCCCTCTCCGGGCTGAAGGGGCTGGGGGTGTCACAGAGGTGGGGGGGAGGGTCGGGAGGAAGGCTCTGGGGGGCAGCAGGAGTCGTCTGCATCCAGCAGGGTGAGGGCTGCTGGGGAGCGCCCCACCCTGCACGCTGCTCAGCCCCTTTACCTGGGCCAGACAGGTGTCCCGGCAGGGGCAGCTCCATCTCCTCGTCCTCATCATCTGCTCTCTTCAAGACCATCGCAAAGAAAGCGGCGAAGCCCAGCACCTGCGGGCACCGGGTGTAGGAGCCCGAGTCCTCCCACCCCAGCCTGCTGCCCGCTGGCTCCCCCGCCCCTCGCCTCGATCCTCTGCCTGCGGAGGGTTAGGGGGTGGGGGATAGGGCAGCACCCGTCGCGTCCTGACCTTGAGGGGCTGGGTGACGAACACACTCTCCACCAAGGACACGGCCATGGACAGCAGCCACCGCAGGGAGCTGGCGCGCCCATAGTGCAGGCCATAAAGCATGGTGAAGAAGGCGGCCGTGCCGCTGGTGACCGCCACCAGGAGCCAGGCCACCAGGGCGCACCACCAGGGCAGGCCGCGCAGGGGCACACTGGCGCGGGGAGCCCTGCAGCGGGGATGATGGGCAGGTCACCTGCATGGCCTCAGCCAAGGTCCTGGCCGCTCAGGGCCTCAGTTTACCCTTTGTCAGCTGCCCCTACTGTGATGAGTACAAGTGGGTGTCTTGTTCAGGACCTGCCCTGTTTTAAATGCTTTCTCCCCATTTGCCCCGTGGTTACTTGGTTACCCTGCGCCCCAAAGCCTGCATCTTTAAGCATCTGGGCTGGGGATGTAGCTCCATGATAGAGTGCTTGCTTAGCTTGTGTCAGGCACAAGGTTGAACACCAGGTTAAAAAGTTATTACAGGCAGGCATCATGGAGCAGCCCTAGAGTCCCAGCACTCTGGAGCCCGAGGCCAGAAGATTGCAAGCTTGAGCCCAGCCTGGGCAACTCAGCAACCTGGAAATCCCGTCTCAGAAAAAAAGAGTAATAAAAAATCTCATTACAGAAAAATAATCAAAGCTGGGCGAGATGGCGCACTCCTGTAATCCTAGCACTTGGGAGGCTGAGGCAGGAGGATCGTAGAAAGTTCAAGACTGGCCTGGGCTACAGAGTGAGCCCAAGGACAGCCTGAACTGCATAAAGAGACCCTGTTTCAAAAAATACATTAAAAAATGATCAAGCACAGTGAACCCGCAGGCCTTCATCAAGTGATGCCCGCAGTGGTCACCGTGCTGTTGCAGATCCTGCATCCACCCTGCCCACGGGGAGCTGGAATATTTAAAAACACATTCCAGACACAATCACCCCCAAGTACTTCACAAGGCATCTCAAAAGTGATCATTTGCTTCCCCAGTTACCACACCACATCTACCAAATCAAGGATTCTTCTGCACCTTCTGATAATCTGCCCCCATATAAATCCCACTGCTTCCGAGCGGTCTCCCTCTGCAGAGGAAGCATGGAGACTCAGAGGATGAGAGGCCGATCTGCTGGCACACAGCAAGGAGACAGCACCCGAGAGAATGGTTACAAGCTGCACAAATCGTAGCCAGGCATGGGCCTGGAAGCCCAGCACTCAGGAGGCTGAGGTGGGCGGACCACAGTGAGGTCAGGCCACCCTGCCCTACATGGCTGGACCCTGTCTTAAAAAATGCACAGATCGTAAAGTGACCTGCAAAGGGCCGTGTCTGCCAGCTCGGGCCCTGATCACCCCCAGCCTCCCTGAGTGCTTGCAGCAATTCTAACCCTTTCTGCTGAGCATCTGGGGTACCCTTCTGGGGTGGCTTGAGGTGTCCTCTGGCAGGTCCCAGACAGGGCAGGTGCCCATGGGTCAGGGAGGGCATTACCTGGCACGGGCAGGGGCGGCCACCCCCAGGTGGCCTTTTAGGGTCCGCAGCTGCCCGAGTGCCCTGGCATGGTCTTGTTGCTGTGGGAAGCCGCGGGGTCCCAGCAGCTGCAGCTCCCGCTCCAAGTGCTCCAGCTGGCCATAGAGATACTGCCTGCGGGCGGCGTCCTTCCAGAGGTCCATCCAGGCTGCCTCAGGCCCGGGGCACTGGGTCCTCTCTGGGGGACAAGGGAAGAGTGATCAGCTGGTGCTGAGGGGCGGCAGACCGGTCACGGCCAAGGGGACAGCAGTCAGGCAGGCACCTCCAGCTCAGTGCAGGGGACCGAGGTTCGAGATCCCACAGCCCAGAGGCCTTCAGTGTTTTTCTTCTAGCCTTTTATCAGGGACATTTCCCAAATGACCCTGGACACAAAGGAAGGAGAAGAGCTTCTCCATCACCCCACGGCCATGGTGTCTGCCTTCCAGCCAACCTTACCTCATCTTTTTTCCTCCCTGGGAAAAAATTATATTTATTGTGTTTTTGAGACAGGGCCTCGATCTGCAGTTCAGGCTGGCCTCACACTCACTATGCAACCCAGGGAGGCCTCACACTTGAGGTGATCCTCCTGCCTCAGGCTCCTGAGTGCTGGGATTACAGGTGTGCACCTGAAAGTCCAGTTTAAAGGAAAATTTAGAAACAGTTTGTGGGGGCAAGTGGTCTCATTATGTAGTCTAGACTGGCCTTGAACTCCCCGTATAGCCCAGGATGGTTTCTAACTTACAATCCTCCTGCCTCTGCCTCTAAAACCATGTTTAAAATTATGGGGGCTGGGGATTTAGCTCAGCGGCGTAAGTGCCTGCCTTGCAAGCACGAGGTTGTGAGTTTGATCCTCAGTACCGATAATAAATAAATAAAAACAAAATTATGGAGGTAACACATCTGTAATATAAGGGGAAAAATTCGAACCTTTCCACTATTTCTTGTGCGTTTTAGGAGAATGCAGCCCATGCATCGGTGCCCAGGGAGGGACGTGCTGCCCACACCAGGAAGGGCTGGGCTCGGACCCGTGCTAATCTTCCCTGGGAGACCCCAGCAAGAGATGTGGAAAGGAGCCTCAGGCGCAGAGATGGCTGTGCGGGGTGGGGACAGGGTGAGTACAGCAGGCGGCCTCGACCCACCGAGAGAGGCAGACACAAGGCAGGACTCGCCCCCCAGCCGCCTGCGTCACCCCCTTCACCAAGGCTCCCTCACCCAAGCCTCAGGCAGAGCCCAGCGCCAACATCTTCTGTGTCTCAGGCTTGCAAGAATGTTTCAGAAGATGCCAGCACTGCCAGTCCTAAGGCTACCGACTGCATACCCGCTTGGTGTCAGGCTGGATACCTTAGAGATCCCACCCAGGCCTCACAGCTCGCCAAGCAGGGCAGCTGCGCAGCCCTGTTTTATAGACAAGGAGCCCGGGACTCAGAGAGGCTGAGCAGCTTTCCCCAGGTTGCACAGCTGCGATTGCAGCCGGGGACCCCAGGAGTCTATCTGTATCCCTAAGTCTTTAGCTGGGAATGCCACAGCACTCTGAGCAGAGGTGACCGTCTGCCAGGGTGACTGTCTTGGGCAGCCCTGTCCAGCCTCTTGCTCTCGACGAGGACCAGTCTGGAGCTGAGCCACTGGCTTAACAGTGCTTAACAGTGCTTAAACCCAGCCCACCAGACCCCGGGCTGCAGGGCGTGTCCATCACCAGGAGGCCCACGGAGTGACACTGCTCTGCGCTGGCAGCTGGATCTGTGTGGCACTATAGTTAGCTCCTAAAATGTCCCCAAAGAGTTGAAACCTTAGCCACCAGCCTGTGGTGCCACTGGCTTTGATTTGGTTTCTTGTTTTTTTTTTTTTTTCGGTAATAGGAATGGAACTCAGGACCTTGCACTTGGCAAGCAGGTGCTGTGCTGCTGGGCTGTGTCCCCACCCCTGTTCTGGGTCATTTTGAGACAGGATCTTGCTGTGCAGTTCAGTTGAACTCATGGTGATTCTCCTGCCTCAGCCTCCTGCGTGCTGAGATGACAGGCGTGCACCACCACGCCCAGCTTTTAATCAGGAGATTAAAGAGACCAGAGAAAAGGTTTCCAGCCTGAGGCTCACCTCTTTTGTCTGCCTCACCCCCCTGCCCCACGCTTCTGGAAACAGATCAGCTTAACTGCAGCCCTGACACTTTCCAGGAGGAGGAGCTGAGGCTCGCAGAACGGAGGTCCAAGGTCACAGAGTGGCCCCCAAAGAGCCTATCCCAGTGACGAGGGGGACAGTCCCCACCTCAAATGATGCAGCCAGGTGCAGGGTGAGCGCCAGGAGAGGCCGAGGGGCAGAAGGTGCTGACAGATGCCCGCACCCCTGGGTGGGGTAGGGGCTGAGAGGGACCAGGGGGAAGAGGAACCTAGGCCGGCTGATGTGCAGCTCGGCATCATGGGGATGGCAGGTGGCCATGGCGTAGACGGGAGGGGACTCCGCAGGAGCCCTCAACCCTCCCAAGCCCCTGCCTGAGCCTCCACCCAGCCCTGAAGCCGCAGCCCTTGGGCAGCATCGGCCAGTGCACACCTGTGACCGGCGCAGGCCCGAGGGCAACAGCCAAAGTGTCCGCTGTCCCCCCGGCTTCCTCCCGGTGTCCCCGTGCTGCTGCTGGGTTCTGAGGGTGAAGGATGTCTTCCGCCAAGGCCAGCAGTGCATTGATGTCCATCAAGCTCAGAGAGTCCCCGCCCAAGGCTGGCGCCGGCAGCCTCAGGGCTCCACACAGCAAGCTGACCAGTTGCTGTGTGTCCTGCAGGGAGACCGGGTGGGGACAGGACATGAGCTGTGGGCAAGGCGTGTGGCCCGGGCGTCACCAGCATCTGCGCTGGAGCCTCAGCTCTGCCCATGAATGTGTGGCCTTGACCTCCCCAGCTCCCGCTCTGTCACTGCCAACATCCCCCGGTCCGGGCGTGTTCCTAGGAGTGGGCACACAGCCAGCGCAGGGGAAGGTGCAGAGTAGCCGGGATGGTGGCCACGTCCACCGTAACCTCAGCTGCCTGGTGCAGCACAGACTCTCCGCCAGCCCAGCCAGCTCAGGGAGACCCTGTCAGGAGAAAGGGAGGAAGGCAGAAAGGGAGGGGAAGAAAGAGGGAGACAGAAGGGCTGGGATGCAGCTCCGTGGGGAGAGGGGCTGCGTGTGATCCCCGCCCACAAGAGGAAGGAGAGCACGGGGATCATGGGTACACACCTACCACCCCAGGATTCTGGGAGGCCGAGACAGGAGGATCCAAAATCTGAGCCTAGCCTGGGCAATTTGACAATTTAGCCATTTAGCAAGAGACGCTATCTCAAAATAAAAAATGCCAAGATCTGGTGACAGAGCTCAGTGAGCAGGCTCTGGGTTCATCCCCAGGACTGGGGAAAAGACAGCTGAGAGAGAGAGAGGCGGGGGAAGCACCACACCACGCTGGGGAGGCTGAGGACCTGCCTTGGTCACGGCTTCAGGTGTGACGGGGCCACCGTCCAGGGGCCGCGGGGCTGGGGCCGGGCCGGGGCTCCCAGCGTCCTGCTCCTTGGCGCCCCGAGGCCGGGCGTGGCGGAAGAGCTGCACGATCAGGAGGTTGATGGGGAACATGAGCAGGGAGCTCTCCAGCCCGATCATCACCTCCTGCCAGGTGAACTCGATGTCTCCTGGGGAGGAGGCGGGAGGGTCAAGGAGAGCCCCAGCCCCACCGCCCGGCAGCAGGTGGCCACACACTGCAGGACCAGCGGGATGCAGCTCCAGGAGGTCCCTGCCTGCTGGAGGTGCCTTCCTTTACCGGGGACCTGGCCACACCACGAGGTCTGTGCTATCAGTGTGACCGGGTGGCCCGGGCACATGGCATCAGCGTGACCTCTAGAGGCACAGAGGTCCAGGAGAGCCATGGTGACATCATTCAGCCACCAAGAGAACATGGTGTCCTGCGGCTGACGTCACCCGGCCACAGCCCTGTCCGGGACAACAGACAGCAGGAGTTACCCAAGTCCATCTTCTGCTCCGCGGGGTCCTTGGGGACGCCCCAGAACATGATGCTGGTCAGCATGGTGCAGAGCAGCATGGAGAAGCAGCAGGACACCCGCTGCACCCGCGTGAAGCGGCTCCTCGCTGAGCTGCTGAAGACAGAGTACCAGAGGTGGCCTTCCTGGAAGCCTGCGGACGTCCTCAGGAAGAACAGGTGGCTGCAGGTGGCAGGGAGAGAGAGCGGACCTCGGGAGACAGGAAGGGGCTGGGGTGAGGCACCGCCAGCCTGTAATCCCAGCACTCAGAGGCCGGGGCAGGAGGATCGCTGTGAGTTCAAAGCCAGCCTGGACTAAATAGCAAGAGGATTTGCTTAGACAGTACCTGAACTGCTTCCTGTCCTGCTCCGTGGCCACCGGAAACACCTTGTCGAGGACACAGTCTCCCACGTCGATGGACAGCCACGAGTTGCAGAGGAAATACCACTTCTGGCCCGTGGCCAGGTCGTGGACCAGCACCCGGCTCACATACCTGGAAGCAGGGACCCAGAATGCTGAGGACAAGGTGTTGGGGTGAGCCCTTCCCGGGCACCATGAAGGCAGCCTGCCTGCAGAGATGGCATGTTCCTTCTTTGGCCTTTGCTTGATCAGAATTGGAGCTGGAGTGGGGGGTAGCTCAGGCACCCAGCGGCAGAGCCGAGCCAGCTCCTCAGCAGGTGAGAACTGTGAGCCCCTAACTGTCTGGGCACCCAGCTAGGGCAGTGGCAGCCCTGAGTGGACAGAATCACCTGGGGGAGGCGCGTGTATGCACAGGGGACCCGAAGCTGTCACAATTCTACCTACACTGCAAGGCTGGCGTCTCTCTGGGGTTCAGGAGCCCTGCGGGAGACTCCTAACCTGAGTCAGGTCTCCTCGGCCTGGGCAGGACCTGGGGTCACCGTTCCTCTCAGCAGCTGCTTACCTGTTGTTGTTTTTGGTGTTTTGAGCAGGGTCTCACTATGTAGTTCAGGCTGCCCTCAGACTTGCAGCAATGCTCCTGCCTCAGCCTCCCGAGTGCTGGGAGTACAGTACACCCAGCCGGACCTGGGCATCCCAGTCTGATCTGAGACAGCTCCAGAGCTTGGGGGCTAGGGAGGGGCTGGGCTGGCACTGGCCTGCACTGCACAGGGCTCTCCCTCTCTCTGCCCACCCTCCCTGGCCTCCCTGCTGCCCACATCCACCTCAGCATCTGCTCCCCAGGAACCAGGCCCTGGCCGGGCACCCAGAGCCCCCATGTGCAGTCCCTCGGGTGCACGGGAGGCAGCAGTGTAAATGCTGCCTACTGTTGCGGGCCCATCAGACTGGCCTCTCCCACATGGGCCACTAGTGTTGGCCTCGGACATGGGGAGGAACAGAGTTCTGGGTGTACAGCTGGGTGACCTTGGGCGAGTCTCAGGTCCATGCTGCCAAGGGCAGGACTGATGCTGGACACCGAGCCTATGCCATTGTGGCTACTGATGGGCTGTGCGGAGCTGGCCCCGGGCCTCTTGGACCTCGGTTTCCTCATCTGTGAAATGGGGATCCCTGGTGTGCAGAGCGGGGGCCTCACCTCAGACTGCCTCCTCTCCACTCACCAGGATGGCCGGTCCCCTGAGTTGTCATGCCACAGCCGGAGGCTCCGCAGCTCCCCCAGGGGGGACAGGGTGGACAGCAGGAAGACATCCACGCCTCCGCGCTCCAGCCGGGGGGATGCAGGGTCTGCCAGGTGGTGCGGCTCGCTGTCTCCGTCCAGGCCATGCAGGGTGATGGTCACCTGAAATCCAGGGACCAGGGTGGCCATCTCCACGTGGCCAAGGAGCCCGCTGGCCTTGCTTCATGTGAGGTGGCTGAGACCAGCCAAGATGGCCCTTTGTGCGTCCCCCCCACACCTCAGACCTGCGCAGGGTCCCTTTCTGTTGTGTGCAGAGTTGGGGCACTGTCCAGATTCACAGCATGAAATCAATCACACTCGCAGAAAGTTTGACTTTTCAAACACTACCCTGATTGTTGATTGATAGACTGATGGTTTTTTGGTTTTTAAAGCCAGAGTCCACTGTCTGGTTCAGAGTGACTTTTGACTTACATAGCCCAGACTGGCCTCCAACTCATGGCAAATCTCCCTGCCTCAGCCTCCCACATGCTGGGATCATGTACTTGTTTGTAAGGGCTGCAGAGCAGGACCTGTTTGCCTCCTAACAGTTCCATTTTTAGCATCTCAGAGTGCCGAGCACTGAGCCGGGTGAACGAATGCCTGCTGCTTTGAACTACGAATTCCCAGGGCCCAGCCCCGCCCTGCAGGTGGGAATACCAGGAACCAGCCCCGGAGCGGGTGTCTACGCAGGCAGCGCTGAGGCGGGGCCTGGCTCCCTGGGTGTCATGGCAGACATCAGCCATGCCCGCTGCACCCTGGCCTCGGGAAGCAGGGCTCCTCGTCTACATCTGGCTGCCTCTTCCCCCAGAGTTTGCTTTGACCTTGAAGCTAAGGGCTGAGAAGGAACACTGGAGGGGCGGGGGCACCTCGGTTTCCTCCTCCCTTGCAGGGCGCCTCGGGCACTGCTTCTGAGCTCCCATGGGTGCTCACAGGGTGGCCAGCTCCGTCCTGTACCCTTTACTGCTGTCTTCCCTTCCCTGTGTGCTCCCCACTCGGCCCCTAGCACTCCCCGGGGTCCATGCCAGCGGAGCCCCTTGCCCGCCACGCCTGTGTCAGAGCTGGCCCCCGGGCAGCAGGTTTCCCACTCCCGTTTAATTATTTATTTTGGGGCTTTGGAGACAGTCTCCCTTTGTAGCTCAGACTAGCCTTGTAGTCCTCTTGCCTCAGCCTCCCGAGCGCTCCGGTACCTTTGAGGACGTGGCCGCCCCTCGCCGGTGTCCGGTGTAGACGGTCACCAGGTAGTGGTACTGGGCCAAGGGGTCGTTGTCCTCCAGCACTGTGATCTTCGCCTAGAGGAAGCACCGGGTTAGGGGAGCTTAGCTGTCACACGCAGGCAAGCACGAGCCGTCATTCACGCCAGGCACAGCAAAGCGGTTCAGGCGTGCTGTCGGCTCCTTCCAGCAGTGAAGGCTGCTCTGTCCAAACTCGGGCCTTGAACCTCTTGGTATACCCTGCGCGTCCTTGTCCACTTACCTACTGACCACTCCAAGCACCGCTGAGTCCAACCAGTTGAATAATTAATTATCAAATTGAATAAATTCGATAAAATCGTCATTTTACATTTCCTGTTATATTATCTTACAAAATTAACAAAAACGTGTATTGTGCTCATCCTGCATTTAAATAATTGAACTAGTATGTGGTTAAAAAGCCGAAAGCAATGGTCAGGGATTTAGCAAGCGCTAGGCTGTGAGTGTGATTCCCCAGCACAGAAAAAAAAATAAAAAAAGACTTTTTAAAAAAGGCCAAAGCTGAGGCAGGCGGATGGCCTTGAATTCAAGGCCAGGCTGGGCTACACAGTAAGTTCAAGACCAGGCAGAGCTACAAAGTGGCAAGACCATGTCTCAAAAAGCCAAAACAAAACACACACACACACACACACACAACACACACACACACACACAAAGCCCAAAGTACATTCTGTGTTAAAACATAATCTTACATTAGAAATGAACTTGATAGTAATCTAAAAATATTCATAATTGGTCTGGTAAACCATACAAACTCTTCACACGAAGTGCCTCGTGATGGTAAACAGATTCGCTTTCAAGGAAACCTATTTATTTTTTCTTTTCTCCTTTTCTCCTTTTATTTGTGTTAATTTTGGGGGACTTGGGAAAGTGGGGAGTTTGAGATCAGACCTTGCTGTATAATCTAGCTGGCCTTGAACTCACAGTGGTCCTCCTGCCTCAGCCTCCTGGGATCACAGGCATGCACCACCACACTTGGATTCCAAGGGAATTTAAAAGGAATGAAATATTAAGATAGTTTAGCATAAACAAACAAACAAACATTCACTGGGGGTGACCAGAGGCTGCCGCAGCCTCGGAGCTCTCTGGTGGGAGGAGGCGTCCTGTTGCTGGGAGCCCCTCTTCAAGGACAAAGGAGTCCCTCGGCGGAGATCAAGCCTGTCTGTGCTGTCTCTGTGATGGAGATCCAGGCCTCCCAACCCTACCTGAATCCCCCTGCACCCCATCAGGGCTGCCCTGCTGGACCCAGGAGCCCTCGCAATGACCCCTGTGCCCCTGACCCCATCTCAGTGTCCACTTCCTGGGAGCTTGGCTGCACTGGGCACATAGTGTGACTGTCCAGCCACTGCGTGAGTGCTGGGTCATTGCCCTGGTGGCGTTGCTGGGGTGGAGAACGTTTCAGAGCTCAGCCCTGATGCCACTGTGGGTTCCCTCATCCTCCAAGGCATGGTATGCACCCCACACAGTGCATATGTTGGAAAATTAATAACCACATCGTTTCCAACAGTTTGTTGCAAAATCTGTTGTTGGATCGCACTTCTCGGGCCCGTTTTTAACTCCTGCTCCTGTCTGATGACCTCAGGCTAATGATCCATCTCTTGATCCTTGGCCACCTCCTCTCTGAGATGACAAAAGTCCATGTGATACGGGGGACACTCAGCAAGCTCGGGGTTCCAACCCTGCACACTGCCAAGAGGAGGAAGAGGCACAGCCCAGATCCCTGGAACATCCCGAAGGATAAGTGACCACGGGCCAGCCTGGGCCTCAGCCCTGCCCGTCTCCACCAGCAGCATGACTCAGAGTGTAGGGCCTGGCCGGCTCAGCCTAGCCACTGCTGGGATAGGCTGGAGGCTCGGGAGCTGGGCAGGAGGTGTCGCCTCCCGTGTGAATGGCCCCCAGCATCCCAGGACACTGCGGCTCGGGTGGACTCCCTGGTCCTGAGGACCCGTAGGCCCATCCACGGCACTGCTCTGGAGACTCCACACTGGAGCACAGAGACCAGCCCAAAGCTTGCCTGCCTCCCGTCACCATGGTTGGTTTTAACCTGCGTCCTGTGGCTGTGAGGAACGGAGCTGGGATCCAGCCACTCCTGTGAGCGCTGAGCCCCCACGCGACGAGAAGGGGTCACCCAGCACAGGTGCTGCTGCCCGGGGTCAGGCCTGACAGCTGTCAGCAGTCAACAAAGGCTCAGGAGCAAAACCACCCTGGGACTCTGCTGGGAAGGAGCACTTTGTACAGGGGCTGAGGGTTCCAGTCATTCGTAGGATGCTGGATGCTCCTCCACACCATGTGACACGAACTAAATCACAGGGTTTCTCCTATACGAGAAACTCAGGCTATAAATAAAGAGTAAAATAACACAGACAAGAAGAAACAAGGAGATAGACCTTTCGCAAATGAGAAGGGGACTAAGAGATGGAGGTTGGGAGGACATAAAAAAGAATCACTGCATTTTGAGACAGGGTCTCTTGATGAACCCCAGCCTGGCTTTAAACTCATTGAGATCATCCTGCCTCAGCCTCCCGAAACCTGGGATTGCAGGCCTGTGCCACCACACCCAGCTCAAGAATGAAGATGTGTTATACACATGTCCCGACTCTCCACGATTGGTGTGTTCATTCTGTCTTGCAAACGTACTCGTAAAAAAGTAAAAATTGAGAGAAAGGGGCTGAGAGGCCAGTATTCTGGTTAGGGCCCCGCCCAGCCCCTTGCTCTGTCCCTGCCATGCGGGGCCCACGCCCTCACCTTAGCCCGGTCCTGCACGTCCTTCCTCCTCGCCCAGATCACTGCCAGCACGTAGAGCACGCACAGGCCGCCCACGGTGCCCACCACCACGGGGTTGTCCTCGAAGGTGGCAAAGAGCTCTGCCGTCTGCCGGACGTTGACCACGTTGGGCATCACCAGGAAGCTGCTCCCGAAGAAGGTGAGGTGGCTGCAGAGGCAGTGAGCCCAGGAGCGCGTGGTCCTCGGCCCCACCTGCAACCAGGGAGCTGCTGCAGCGGGGCTCAGCCCTGGGCCCCGGCCGGGAGAGGAAGCCCCGAGCAGACCACAGTGGCGCCAGACATCGGCCTGCTGCCCGGCCAGCCTCAGGCTGGGAAGGGATTTCTCCCTTAACCGTGCACAGGGAGAGCTAGGTGCGCCCTTTTTTGGTGCATGATTTTATACTGAGCAGGGTAAGTTTTCCTTCTTGCTGTTACCCCCTACAGTGCAGACCAGCGACAATGCCCATAGCGTTCCCGTGGCAGCAGGCATCCTGTGCAAGCTAGCGATGGTCTCGAGCTATGGGGGCATGTGACAAGGTCCTGTGCAGACGGCGACACTTCTTTACCACCTGGGATTGTTCCCTGGACACCAAGGGACAGCAGCACGGGAGAATGCTGGGGCCCAGCTTCAGGACTCTCGTGGGCTTTTTTGTTTAAATTAAAAATGAGTTTTAAGGGTCAGGGATCTAGCTTGGTGGGACCTGGCACCAAGCTAGGCAAGTACAAGGTTCCTGATTCCAAAACCAATTACTAAAAATTAATTTCAAAATTCTATCTATCTATCTTCCATCTCTCAGCACTGGGGATTGAACTCGAAGGCATGTTACAAATGATCTCCGTCCCCAGACCTTTTTTGGTTTTTATTTTGAGGTAGGGTCAAGTTGCCCAGGTGGGACTCAAACTTGGAGTCCTCCTGCCTCAGCCTCCCAGAGCTGAGGTTACAGGGCTGCATCATCACATCTAGCTAGGAAATTTATTGTTGTTGTTGTTTCTGAGACAGTCTCACTGTGTAGCCCCGGCTGGCCTCAAAGTCAGGAGATCCTCCTGTATCAGCCTCCCAAGTGCTGGGAGTACAGGCACGCACCACCGTGCCCAGCTCAGTTTTTAATAATGTAGGAAATGTCTGAGAACTCATCCCTGTACTGGAAAACTAGAAATTTCCAAATAACTCGGGTCTCGCTGTGTCCTCCCCAGCCTGGTCATCGTGTCCTTGATTTCATGGTCTCTCCTCGGTCTGAGTGTTTCACGCGGCCCTGGCTGCGGCCGTGGGGCTCACTGCGCTCTGCAGTCAGCATCCTTCGCCCCATTTCAGGATGGCAGCCTCAGCGAGGAGGAGTGCAGGGCTGACCCGCGTCTGGCTGAGGGCAGAGCCCGGAGCGCCAGCCGCTGCCCCACCCAGATGCCACAGGAGCCCCAGGCTCTGCACACAGCCGCTCCCTGCCAGCTGCATGGGCTCGGGGAGGATGCCTGCGCCTGGGCTTGCTTTTGCGTCAGAGGCTGCGCCCAGCGTGGGGGACCCGCCGTCTCCTGGGCACTCATTTCTTCCTGGGGCTGTGGGGGCCCCCAGAGTGTGACAGCCACAAGTGAGGCCAGAATGATGAGGGGGACAGCAGGAAGGGGTTCGTCCTGACTCTGCTTCTGGGCTCTGTGGGATGGGGATGGGGCTCTGTGTCCTTAGACCGTAGACTCGTGTGTCTCACCTGCTTCCCGTGTCCTCTGCTGGTGAGAGCTGTGTCTGTATTTGTTGATTTATTTAGCGGTGGGACCCAGCTCTCGGCATAGAGCGGAGGGTGTGGCTTAGCACTCACTTCCTGGGAAGGGACCTCTGGCCTCCCCCAGGCCCACGGCCAGGCCTCTCTGCCTCAGCCTCCTTCCTCTATGATCATTTATTCCCAGTGCTGAGCAAAGTACGGGTCTGGTGCCCTGGGGAACTGGACATTATTTACGTGATCTTGAAGCTAGAGGCCCAGTGACCTCTCTGCCTGGTGCCGTGGAAGACAAAAGAGTATGTCTCAGAGGTCACGAGTCAGGGAGTTTCTTCCAGGAAGCAGGTGACAGGTAGGGGTGTGTTCTGGGCACAGTGGATGGCATGTGCAAAGGCACCGTGGTGCACACAAGAAACTGCACCAGCTGGGTGTGGTGGCGTAACCCCAGAACTCAAGAGGCTGAGTCAGGAAGGTCACTACAAGTTCAAGACCAGCCTCATAGAAAACAAAAAACACCAGAGCAAAAGCACTGAAGGAGACCCTCCCCAAGCCAGAGTCACCCTGCCAAGCTGCCCGCCTCTGCCCGCTCTCTTTACCTGGCACCCGGCGTCATCCCAAATCTCCCGGACCTCGTCCCAGAACATGCAGTGGGACAGGAAGGTGGTGACGCCAATGGTGAGGTCCTCCCCAGGGGACAGTTCCAGGTCGGACTCAGGGACCACACTTAGGTAGTAGGTGCCTTCCCCAGCGGGCAGCTCCTCGGGGCCCAGGATCCACGTGGCCGGCTCATCTGAACGGCAGGTGATTTTTTTCTGTCCCCCCCACCCCCTGTGGCTTCCAATCCTCACTTTTACCTGACTTTTTGTTTTGTTTTGTTTTTAGGCAAGGTCTTGCTGTGTAGTTCAGGCCAGCCTTGAGCTCACTATGTAGCATAGCCTGGCTTTGAACTTGTGGGGATCCTCCTGCCTCAGCCTCTCTAATGCTGGGATTACAGGCGTGTGCTCACTTTGGAAGGCAGCCACATCCCAGGGAGCAGCTCAAGAAACAGCCCAGGGGGCAGGTGGGTACCTGGAGCCGCCGCTGGTGGCAGGCGGGTTTGGGCGTCGTAGCTGGTGGCGTTGGGGTGGTATCCGTAGCCCAGGCTGAGCCTGAGTGGGACGCCAGGGCCCCCGTGCAGCTGGACCCCCAGAGCCGACCCTGGAGAGGTCACGTTCACCTGCAGCACCTCAGCCCGGGTCAGGTTCAGCAGGGTCGGAGCGCTGTGTCCTTCCGGAGGCCGGGGCAGCAGGATCTGTATTAGACATGAGGTCAAGGGCAGAAGGCGGTGCCGGCCAGGGCACCATGGGCTGCTGTCCAGTGCTGGGCAGAGTGAGCCCCAGGGACCGAAATCCAGACTCCCCCGCGCCCTCCTCAGAGCATCCTGAGGCTGCTGTAACAGATGACCACGGGCACAGCTGGGCGGCGTCAAAAAGCGTGGATTGGGGGCCAGAACTCTAAAGTCAGCTTCTTTTCTTTCTGCTTTTTTTGAGATGAGGTCCACTATGTAGCCCAGGCTGGCTTTGAATTTGCCGAGATCCTCCTGCCTCAGCCTCCCAGGTGCAGGGATCACAGGTGTGGGCCACTGCACCACACTCGGGTCAGAACCAGCTTGCTAGACCTCCTTCAGGAGCTTCTGGAAATGGCCACGACCCACTGCCTCCCGTTTCCAGCTTCTGGAGGTCACACACCGTCCTCAGGTCCTGGCCTCAGCCTCACCCCCCCCCCTTTGTGCCTGCCATCCAACCCTCTTTCTTCTCCTGTCACCAACATGCCCTCTGTCCCCATTTTCTGAGGCCGCTGTGGCTCCCCTGAGCCCACGACCCATCCAGCCCAGCCTCCCACACCCAGAAGTCCTTGTGCCGGTCACAGAGGCAAAGTCCCTGGCAGCACGGGGCTCCAGGGGTGAGGAGGTGGACACCACTAAAAATGGTGATTAAATTAGTCATCAGTGCTGTGCTGGGGACTCCAGGGGCTCCACACTGTAATCCCAGCACTCGGGAGGCCGAGGCAGGAAGATCCCAAGCTCAAACCCAGTGTGGGCAACTTATTGAGACCGTGTCTCCAAAAAGGGCTGCGGCTGTAGCTCAGCTCACGGGCCCACAGTTCCATTGTCAGTGCCAACCAGCTAACCAACAACAAAAATGTCATTGATAAGAAGACTTGGTGGCCAGTAAAACATTATTAAAGCCTGGAAGAATCTGACCTCTGGTGCACGGTGGTGCGTTTGTGTTTTTGCTTAACTTTAAAGAAAATGCAGGGCTGAGGGCGGAGCTCAGTGGGGCAGCCCTGGCCTAGCATGTGGGAGGCCTTGGGTTCAATCCCTAGCACTGCAAAAGGTAAAACAAATTAAATCGAAGGGGGAATGTTAGAAGTTACATTTATGCAATGAAGAAAATTCCTTGTTCCACATCAAAAGATGGGCGAAGGGTCGGACACTAGCGGTGTGAAGGGAAACCCAATGTTTAAGGCAGGGTGGGGGTCATGCTGAGCGAGTCCCTCTTTAACCGCTGTGTGCATCACTGACCACCTTCTGGCCCCGACCACTCCGAGGAAGCCCAGCTGCTTCCGAGCGCCCGGCTCCTACCTCCACCTTCTCGGACAGGTTCCTCACGGGGATGGGGTGTCCACTGGGGCCGCTCAGACACAGGCTGCCCACGGTTCCGCTGACAGTGCGGCCGCTGCTGGCCCGGAAGGGGCTCTGCGGGAAGCTCATCATCTGGAACCAGAAGTGTGCGGTGTGGGCTGAGGCCCCGGGGGCCGGAGGTGACCCGGTCCTGCACTGAGGAGTGCACAGGCACCCAGCCCTGGCTGCTGCTGGATTTGGGCGTGCTCTGCCCTGGGAATGGTGGCCTCACAGGGCTGGCCCTAGAGCCCCCAGCTCAGACCTGGCTGAGCAGCGGCTGGGATGTGAAACCCTGTGGCCTTTCTTCCCCAAAACGCGCTGGAAAGAGCCTGGATTGGGAGCCCTGTGGCTTTGGCTCTCCAGGCTCGTCTGTGAAATGAGCACAGTGCTGCTGCGTCACCCACAGGGCTGCCACCAGCGAAGGGCCTCGCCGGTCCCAGGTGGCCACGGCTGCCTTACCCTGATGTCCACCGGCTCCTGTGCGTGCTGCGCAGAACGGAGGGTTCCGGCAGGCAGGGTGAAGGCCGCCGAGTTAGCAGCGGCCACGTGCAAGGAGGCCCCTCGCCACTTCCACGGCTGTATCCTGGCCACGGGGTGGGGACAGAGAGAGGAGGAGGTCAGCGCCCCGCTCTGCAGCCAGCCGGGCAGCAGGGTTCTAATGTCTCTGCTCTGCTCTGTGCGTCAAAGGCAGCGGGCACCACGCTGGGCAGGAGGCCTCAGGAATGCCGAGCTCCGCCAGCCTGCTCCCCGCTGTGGTCCCGCTCCTGGAGCGGTGCCTGCTCAGGAGGTGTTCAGCGCGGGTTTTATGTTTGAGGCAGGGTCTCCCTTGCAGCCCAGGCTGGGCTGGAGCTGATGGTGGTGATCCTCCCGCCTCAGCCCCCTGAGTGCTGAGGTCACAGGCGTGCACCACCACAGCCAGCTCACAGATTTTGCTAAGTGAATGCATAAAGGATGGTGGACGTGGACGTTTCTCTGTCTCTCTTCCCTACCCTCCTTGACCTTTGATGCCAGGGTTCCCAGCCCCCTCCTTTCTGACCTTTGACTTCGCCCTCTCTGATCAGTCTGGGGACCCAAGAGAGCAACTGGAGGACCCAAGGCTGGGCGCAGGCCACCTGCAGCTGCAGCACAGGCCCTGCCAGTCGGTGGGGTGGGGACAGAAGCCGTCCCCAGGCAGTGGTCAGGGCTCGGTGACAGCGACACTCTGAGGGCAGATTCCCCAGGCAAGTGCGTGTCCATGCAGGACATGGACACTGGAGGGCAGGCCCCGTCCACCCCGCCCTGTCCCACAGCTGCAGGGTGACATCTCTGCTCGCTCGGTGGCTGGGACACGGCACCGAACCCTTCCCTTCCTGTCCTGTCCATCTCGGGTTCCTAGGACGCGGGTTCGGAAGACGTGAGGTCAGCGCGTGAGCTTCTCAGTTACCTGTTTGTGTACACGGAGATGGAGGGGGTGGCCAGGGTGGACGGAAGTCCCCCAGGCAGCGTGCCCAGCAGGAGGGCGGTCTGCAGGTGCTCTGCCACCCTGAGCAGCTGGGCCACAGGGGCTGCCTGGAAAGGGAAGTGGGGGACACTGCTGAGAGCCTTCACCCCGAGCCACCTTTGGTGATGTCACCAGGCTGGCGTGGGCCAGGGCAGGAAGGGGAAGACAGCACGGTGGGTGACCGTGAGAGGGGGCACTCAGACAGATCCAATCCCAGCTCCTGCAAGTGCTGTGCATCCTCCCGGCAAGTAGAAGGGGAAACTGAGGCACAGCCAGGCCTCCCGGGGAAGCATCCAGCTCACGGTCCCTGTGCGAAGCCATGTGGCTCTCTGTGCTGCTGACAGCCACACTCTGTCCAGGTGTTGTTCCGGGGTGGCAGGGAGCCCGGGCTAAGCTCTGCCCACACTGTCCACATCCAGATTGAATATTTCCTTGGTGCAGGGTGCTATGTACACACCAGGGGCTTGATGCTTGCACAGAGATCCCAGGAGGGCGCTCTTGTCCGATGAACCAGGAGTTTGCAGAGACTTCCCGGGGTGCATGTGATTCCCCCACCTTAGCTGGGGGCTCACACGGGACAGGTCAGGGGCGCCTCCACTTGCAGATGAGGAAACGAGGCTTAGGGAAGTCAAGTGACCTGCCTGAGGCCGAGGCTTGTAGGCCACAGATGCCGGAGTCGGGCTCAGGCTGCCTGGCTCCAGAGCTGCACGCTGCCCACTGCACCACCCTGCCCCGCTTGCTGCTTGTGATGCTGCGCTCTGGAGCCTTTCCTCCGCTCCTTGGGAAGCACCTTAGCCGCTCTGCCTCAGTTTCCTCATCTGTGACTTGGGGCAGAAGATCCACCCAGGACTTGGTGTGAGCTGGCCACACAGCGGCCGTGAGGTTCACATCCAGCCCGGGACACCCACCTGGCTGGCGTTGGTCTCGCCAGGGTCCTCTGGGCCGTGGCTCAGGGATGCATCCAGTGCACTTCCCATGGCTGCAAACAGGTCCCTGGTGGCCGCCTGGCGCCTCTGGTCCTCAGGACGGGCGGTGGCACTCGCTGTCAGCAGGGCCTTGCTGGCGAGGTACAGAGCTTGGCTGGCCTGCACGGGTTCACCCAAGGAGGAGCAGCAGCATGAGCCCCCACCCGGCATGGACCGACCTGCAGAGCAGAGCATCAGGGAGGGCCATGCCAGGAACGAGCTGATATCACATGAGTCGTCTGGATCCCTGACGTGCGCCCTGGTCTGGCCTCCGTGTGAGGCTGTAAGTTCCCCAGGGGAACAGGCAGGTCTGTCTCGGTGCCCTTCCCAGAGAGCCTCGAGCACCACAATGGCCTCAACACAATGTGCTTACAGCAACATGGCTGCCCAGCGACTGGGAGGGACAAGGGTGGGCGGGTGATGGACAGACAGGTGGATGGGAGGTGGGTGATGGACAGACAGGCGGATGGGAGGTGGGTGATGGACAGACGGGAGGATGGGAGGTGGGTGATGGACAGATGGGTGGATGGGAGGTGGGTGATGGACAGATGGGAGGATGGGAGGTGGGTGATGGACAGATGGGTGGATGGGAGGTGGGTGATGGACAGACGGGCGGATGGGAGGTGGGTGATGGACAGACAGGCGGATGGAAGGTGGGTGATGGACAGATGGGAGGATGGGAGGTGGGTGATGGACAGATGGGTGGATGGGAGGTGGGTGATGGACAGATGGGAGGATGGGAGGTGGGTGATGGACAGATGGGTGGATGGGAGGTGGGTGATGGACAGACGGGCGGATGGGAGGTGGGTGATGGACAGACAGGCGGATGGAAGGTGGGTGATGGACAGATGGGAGGATGGGAGGTGGGTGATGGACAGATGGGAGGATGGGAGGTGGGTGATGGACAGACGGGAGGATGGGAGGTGGGTGATGGACAGATGGGTGGATGGGAGGTGGGTGATGGACAGATGGGAGGATGGGAGGTGGGTGATGGACAGATGGGTGGATGGGAGGTGGGTGATGGACAGACGGGCGGATGGGAGGTGGGTGATGGACAGACAGGCGGATGGAAGGTGGGTGATGGACAGATGGGAGGATGGGAGGTGGGTGATGGACAGATGGGTGGATGGGAGGTGGGTGATGGACAGATGGGAGGATGGGAGGTGGGTGATGGACAGATGGGTGGATGGGTGGTGGGTGATGGACAGACGGGCGGATGGGAGGTGGGTGAAGGACAGACGGGAGGATGGAAGGTGGGTGATGGACAGACGGGCTGATGGGAGGTGGGTGATGGACAGACGGGCGGGTGGGAGGTGGGTGAAGGACAGACGGGAGGATGGAAGGTGGGTGATGGACAGACGGGAGGATGGAAGGTGGGTGATGGACAGATGGGAGGATGGAAGGTGGGTGATGGACAGACAGGCGGATGGGTGGTGGGTGATGGACAGATGGGAGGATGGAAGGTGGGTGATGGACAGATGGGAGGATGGAAGGTGGGTGATGGACAGATGGGAGGATGGAAGGTGGGTGATGGACAGATGGGTGGATGGGAGGTGGGTGAAGGACAGACGGGAGGATGGAAGGTGGGTGATGGACAGACGGGCGGGTGGGAGGTGGGTGAAGGACAGACGGGAGGATGGAAGGTGGGTGAAGGACAGACGGGCGGATGGGTGGTGGGTGATGGACAGACGGGCGGATGGGAGGTGGGTGAAGGACAGATGGGAGGATGGAAGGTGGGTGATGGACAGATGGGAGGATGGAAGGTGGGTGATGGACAGATGGGAGGATGGAAGGTGGGTGAAGGACAGACAGGCAGATGGGTGGTGGGTGATGGACAGACGGGCGGATGGGAGGTGGGTGAAGGACAGACGGGCGGATGGGAGGTGGGTGATGGACAGATGGGAGGATGGAAGGTGGGTGAAGGACAGACGGGAGGATGGAAGGTGGGTGATGGACAGATGGGAGGATGGGAGGTGGGTGAAGGACAGATGGGAGGATGGAAGGTGGGTGATGGACAGATGGGAGGATGGAAGGTGGGTGATGGACAGATGGGAGGATGGGAGGTGGGTGAAGGACAGACGGGAGGATGGAAGGTGGGTGATGGACAGATGGGAGGATGGGAGGTGGGTGATGGACAGATGGGAGGATGGGAGGTGGGTGATGGACAGATGGGAGGATGGAAGGTGGGTGATGGACAGATGGGAGGATGGAAGGTGGGTGAAGGACAGACAGGCAGATGGGTGGTGGGTGATGGACAGACGGGCGGATGGGAGGTGGGTGAAGGACAGACGGGCGGATGGGAGGTGGGTGATGGACAGATGGGAGGATGGAAGGTGGGTGAAGGACAGACGGGAGGATGGAAGGTGGGTGATGGACAGATGGGAGGATGGGAGGTGGGTGAAGGACAGATGGGAGGATGGAAGGTGGGTGATGGACAGATGGGAGGATGGAAGGTGGGTGATGGACAGATGGGAGGATGGGAGGTGGGTGAAGGACAGACGGGAGGATGGAAGGTGGGTGATGGACAGATGGGAGGATGGGAGGTGGGTGATGGACAGATGGGAAGATGGGAGGTGGGTGATGGACAGATGGGAGGATGGAAGGTGGGTGATGGACAGATGGGAGGATGGGAGGTGGGTGAAGGACAGACGGGAGGATGGGAGGTGGGTGAAGGACAGATGGGAGGATGGGAGGTGGGTGATGGACAGATGGGAGGATGGAAGGTGGGTGATGGACAGATGGGAGGATGGGAGGTGGGTGATGGACAGACGGGAGGATGGAAGGTAGGTGATGGACAGATGGGAGGATGGAAGGTGGGTGAAGGACAGATGGGAGGATGGGAGGTGGGTGATGGACAGACGGGAGGATGGAAGGTGGGTGATGGACAGATGGGAGGATGGAAGGTGGGTGATGGACAGATGGGAGGATGGGAGGTGGGTGATGGACAGATGGGAGGATGGGAGGTGGGTGATGGACAGATGGGAGGATGGAAGGTGGGTGATGGACAGATGGGAGGATGGGAGGTGGGTGATGGACAGATGGGAGGATGGGAGGTGGGTGATGGACAGACGGGAGGATGGAAGGTGGGTGATGGACAGACGGGAGGATGGAAGGTGGGTGATGGACAGACGGGAGGATGGAAGGTGGGTGATGGACAGACGGGAGGATGGAAGGTGGGTGATGGACAGATGGGAGGATGGAAGGTGGGTGATGGACAGACGGGAGGATGGAAGGTGGGTGATGGACAGATGGGAGGATGGGAGGTGGGTGATGGACAGACGGGAGGATGGAAGGTGGGTGATGGACAGACGGGAGGATGGAAGGTGGGTGATGGACAGACGGGAGGATGGAAGGTGGGTGAAGGACAGACGGGAGGATGGGAGGTGGGTGATGGACAGACGGGAGGATGGAAGGTGGGTGATGGACAGACGGGAGGATGGAAGGTGGGTGATGGACAGACGGGAGGATGGAAGGTGGGTGATGGACAGACGGGAGGATGGGAGGTGGGTGAAGGACAGACGGGAGGATGGGAGGTGGGTGATGGACAGACGGGAGGATGGAAGGTGGGTGATGGACAGACGGGAGGATGGAAGGTGGGTGATGGACAGACGGGAGGATGGAAGGTGGGTGATGGACAGACGGGCGGGTGGGTGGTGGGTGATGGACAGCCGGGAGGATGGGAGGTGGGTGATGGACAGACGGGAGGATGGGAGGTGGGTGATGGACAGACGGGAGGATGGGAGGTGGGTGATGGACAGATGGGAGGATGGAAGGTGGGTGATGGACAGATGGGAGGATGGGAGGTGGGTGATGGACAGATGGGAGGATGGGAGGTGGGTGATGGACAGATGGGAGGATGGGAGGTGGGTGATGGACAGACGGGAGGATGGAAGGTGGGTGAAGGACAGACGGGCGGATGGGTGGTGGGTGATGGACAGACGGGCGGATGGGAGGTGGGTGAAGGACAGACGGGCGGATGGGAGGTGGGTGAAGGACAGACGGGAGGATGGAAGGTGGGTGATGGACAGATGGGAGGATGGAAGGTGGGTGATGGACAGATGGGAGGATGGAAGGTGGGTGATGGACAGATGGGAGGATGGGAGGTGGGTGATGGACAGATGGGCGGGTGGGAGGTGGGTGAAGGACAGACGGGAGGATGGAAGGTGGGTGAAGGACAGACGGGCGGATGGGTGGTGGGTGATGGACAGACGGGCGGATGGGAGGTGGGTGAAGGACATACGGGAGGATGGAAGGTGGGTGATGGACAGATGGGAGGATGGAAGGTGGGTGATGGACAGATGGGAGGATGGAAGGTGGGTGATGGACAGATGGGAGGATGGGAGGTGGGTGATGGACAGATGGGAGGATGGAAGGTGGGTGAAGGACAGACGGGAGGATGGAAGGTGGGTGAAGGACAGACGGGAGGATGGGAGGTGGGTGATGGACAGATGGGAGGATGGAAGGTGGGTGAAGGACAGACGGGCGGATGGGTGGTGGGTGATGGACAGATGGGAGGATGGAAGGTGGGTGATGGACAGACGGGAGGATGGAAGGTGGGTGATGGACAGACGGGAGGATGGAAGGTGGGTGATGGACAGACGGGAGGATGGAAGGTGGGTGATGGACAGACGGGAGGATGGAAGGTGGGTGATGGACAGACGGGAGGATGGGAGGTGGGTGATGGACAGATGGGAGGATGGGAGGTGGGTGATGGACAGACGGGAGGATGGAAGGTGGGTGATGGACAGACGGGAGGATGGAAGGTGGGTGATGGACAGATGGGAGGATGGAAGGTGGGTGATGGACAGACGGGAGGATGGAAGGTGGGTGAAGGACAGACGGGAGGATGGAAGGTGGGTGATGGACAGATGGGAGGATGGAAGGTGGGTGATGGACAGACGGGAGGATGGAAGGTGGGTGATGGACAGACGGGAGGTTGGAAGGTGGGTGATGGACAGACGGGAGGATGGAAGGTGGGTGATGGACAGACGGGCGGGTGGGAGGTGGGTGATGGACAGACGGGCGGGTGGGAGGTGGGTGAAGGACAGACGGGAGGATGGAAGGTGGGTGATGGACAGACGGGAGGATGGAAGGTGGGTGATGGACAGATGGGAGGATGGGAGGTGGGTGATGGACAGACGGGAGGATGGAAGGTGGGTGATGGACAGATGGGAGGATGGGAGGTGGGTGATGGACAGACGGGAGGATGGAAGGTGGGTGATGGACAGACGGGCGGATGGGAGGTGGGTGATGGACAGACGGGCGGGTGGGAGGTGGGTGAAGGACAGACGGGAGGATGGAAGGTGGGTGATGGACAGACGGGAGGATGGAAGGTGGGTGATGGACAGACGGGAGGATGGGAGGTGGGTGAAGGACAGACGGGAGGATGGAAGGTGGGTGAAGGACAGACGGGAGGATGGAAGGTGGGTGATGGACAGACGGGAGGATGGAAGGTGGGTGATGGACAGACGGGAGGTTGGAAGGTGGGTGATGGACAGACGGGAGGATGGAAGGTGGGTGATGGACAGATGGGAGGATGGGAGGTGGGTGATGGACAGATGGGAGGATGGGAGGTGGGTGATGGACAGACGGGAGGATGGAAGGTGGGTGATGGACAGACGGGCGGATGGGAGGTGGGTGATGGACAGACGGGCGGGTGGGAGGTGGGTGAAGGACAGACGGGAGGATGGAAGGTGGGTGATGGACAGACGGGAGGATGGAAGGTGGGTGATGGACAGATGGGAGGATGGGAGGTGGGTGAAGGACAGACGGGAGGATGGAAGGTGGGTGAAGGACAGACGGGAGGATGGAAGGTGGGTGATGGACAGACGGGAGGATGGAAGGTGGGTGATGGACAGACGGGAGGTTGGAAGGTGGGTGATGGACAGATGGGAGGATGGGAGGTGGGTGATGGACAGATGGGAGGATGGAAGGTGGGTGATGGACAGATGGGAGGATGGAAGGTGGGTGATGGACAGATGGGAGGATGGGAGGTGGGTGATGGACAGACGGGAGGATGGAAGGTGGGTGATGGACAGATGGGAGGATGGGAGGTGGGTGATGGACAGATGGGAGGATGGGAGGTGGGTGATGGACAGATGGGAGGATGGAAGGTGGGTGATGGACAGACGGGAGGATGGGTGGTGGGTGATGGACAGATGGGAGGATGGGAGGTGGGTGATGGACAGATGGGAGGATGGAAGGTGGGTGATGGACAGATGGGAGGATGGAAGGTGGGTGATGGACAGACGGGAGGATGGAAGGTGGGTGATGGACAGATGGGAGGATGGAAGGTGGGTGATGGACAGATGGGAGGATGGAAGGTGGGTGATGGACAGATGGGAGGATGGAAGGTGGGTGATGGACAGACGGGAGGATGGAAGGTGGGTGATGGACAGATGGGAGGATGGAAGGTGGGTGATGGACAGACGGGAGGATGGGAGGTGGGTGATGGACAGATGGGAGGATGGAAGGTCGGTGATGGACAGATGGGAGGATGGAAGGTGGGTGATGGACAGACGGGAGGATGGAAGGTGGGTGAAGGACAGACAGGCGGATGGGAGGTGGGTGATGGACAGCATATGGATGGATAGATCAGTGGACAGATGGTTCATGTTTAGGTGGGTAGAAGATAGATAAATGGACAGATGGGTGAGTGGACGGACACAGCACATATCCCAATTTTGCTGTATCTGTTTATTTAATGTTCAGCTGCCCTGATAGTCTGAAAGAAGTGGTGGGCACAGTCCTTCTGTGGACTTGCTTCTGAATTCCCAGTGGTTCTGGTACCAGGTACATAAGCACCCAAGAAGTGTTTGTTGAATGAATGAATGAGCACATTCATCCATGTACAAGTGCCCAGAAGGATGGACGGCTGTGGATAGGTATGTGTGTGCCTGTGCACACCTGAGCCAGACGAGCATGTGGGTGTGCCCGTGGGAAGCATCGCATCGGCCGCACCGGGGTCCTGAATTAAATCCGGCCTTGCTGGCCTCAGGCAGGAGGAGCTGAGGGGGCCCAGGAAAGCCTCCATCTTACTGTTTTTATAGGTGCATTTCTTTTCAGTAGTGGGCTTGAACCCAGGTTCCCGCTGAGCCGCACCCCAGCCTTTTATTCTGAGGCAGGATCTTGCCAAGGCACCAAGCTGCACAGGCTGGGCTCTAACTTGCGGTCCTCCTGCCTCAGCCTCCAAGGGGGCTGAGATCATGGGCAGGTACCACCACACCCAGCAGTCACGGCTTCTTCTTCAAACCACGGCTGCCAGAACCCTGGGCACGTGGTGCTCCAATGTCCGTCCCCAAGAGGCAGATCCCGATGCGGGGATCTGAGGCCGAGCCATTGATTTGGAGGCGACCTCAGAAGCCCTGGCGGAGGAGGGGGAACCCGAGGCCAGGAAAGGCTGTGTCAGGGCAGAGGTGCGGCCAAGCCTGTGGCCCCGGCTCCGTGCTGCTGGGTGCCACCTGCAGGAGCACGGGGAGCTGGGGTGTCTGTGCTGTGCCCTGCAGTCCCAGCTGGGCGGGGGTGGGGGGGACTAGAAAGGCAGGTCCTGGATGTCAGGCAGGCATGCTCAGGGCCAGGGCAGCAGCCGCATCTCCTGCCCACCCTCGGCCCTCAGATATGTGGATCTGGCTGCCCACCATCCCCGCTCTCAGAGTCACTGGGCAGTGGTGGGGCGAAGGCTGCCTCTAGTGCAGACCCGGGGCTGTCAGAGGGGGACAGGAAAAGAAGACTGAGCAATCCTGGCAGCCCCAGGAGAGCCTTGGTGGCACTGGGCAGCAGGAACTCACCTGAGCCGTGGGCACAAGCTCGCGGTGCTGGGTCAGGTCCTTCAGCACCTCGGCCAGCTGCTGCACCCTCTGCATGTCCCGCAGGCCGGTGGTGACCTCAGACAGCGAGCCCAGCACGTGCTCTCTAACCTTGGCACAGGCGGAGGAAGACAGGAAGAGGGAGCATCATTCCAAGGGCTCTGCGAAGCCCTGACCAGGGTCCCCAACTCAGAGCACCGTGGGCAGGCCGGGTGGCGGACCCCAGAGATGCCCAGTCTTCACATTCCCTCCCTATCCCTGCTGGCTGGAGCCACCCAGCAGGTGGCTGGCACTGCGGGTGGTACAGAGGAATTAAATCTTTTCACTGTAAAATTCCCTGCCGGGTTCCGAGGCCTGTGACCCCCAGACAGTCCCTCGATGGAAGGACCAGGAGGGAGATGACATCAGCTCCTGGAGGCGCTAACAGCTGCTTTTCTGGGGGTCCCTGACCCTCACCCCCCACCCCAAACAGCCGCATGCAGACTCCCGGCCTCACTGTCCGCCCGGTGTCCATCTTCAGCAGTGGCCCGGAGCCCTGCGCCAGGGTCAGCACGGAGGACACAGACTTGGCCAGCTGGAGAAGCCGCTCCGGGCCATCAGGGCCCTGCAGGGTGGCAGTGATTTTCTCCTGCACCACAGCCTGGAACGCCACGTCCTTGACACGGGTGTCACCAAGTCCCACCTGATGGGGAAATCAGGAGTGAGCTCAGTGGTTCACGTTCCAGGCCTGGAGCTGGGCGTCACCCTGGGCCTGGGCTGGGCGCCTCCTGAGGCTGAGGGCAGCAGACCAAAGCCAAGGCTTGGCCAAGCGGCTGCCCCTCTTCATCTGTGCCCGGTCCTCAACCCTGCTGCTGACCCTGGAGCTTCCCGGGGTTTATCCAGGCTCTGCCGGTGTCCACGTGGGATCTGATCCCCGTCCTTCTGCTTCTGCACTCTAAGGGTGCGGATCTAACTCATGCGTTGGACGCAGAATTCAGGACCAGACCACATGGACACAGAGGGACTTCAGAAGGCAGAGCCTTATTACACTAGTGGGCTGATGGTTTCAAATCATCGGCCGGGATTGCAGTTTTTTTAATCATATATGTTTCCGAAAGGAAGCACAAAAGGCAGGTAATACAACATCCTACATTGGTTACACGTCTTTGTGGCTAACTGCTAGGCAGAATTCACTCTTATAGGAGGAGCACCTATGAGGCTACCATCCTACCACACAGAGGGAGAAGCTGTGGTGTCTGAGACCGGCAGAGGCGTCCTTGCAGTGATAAGCCTGGGTCTCGGAACCCTGGGAAACGTTCCCTCCTGGCTGAGCCACACTCACCGCAGGGTCAAAGCTCGTCAAGTCTGCAGCTGTCTAACCACGAGAGCAGGCTGTGTCTTTCGGGCTCAGCTTTGAGCAGGGTTAGAAATGTGCTTATTATTAGAAATGCATGTTTTACAGTGTCCTCTGCATTACAATAGCCTCTACCACTCGGCTCTTCTGCTCCAGTCCACCCCTCAGCCTGGGACTTGGGCCACTAAGCCATGAGAGCCCCCAAACCTGCACCTGCGTGTCCCGAGGCCGTGGCGCAACGTAAATGCCCTGTGGGTATTTATTTGTCAGAGGCGTGAGAGGATCAGTGTGCTGCCCTTCCTCCTCGTCATCCTTTGGTGATGCCCAGGGGCACAGAGAAGTTCCCAGGTAGAAGTGGCCACCACCACCCACCTTGACCGTTGCTTGGGTCTGCTGTTTGTCCCCTGCTTGATTGGTGACAGAAACGACCACTGTCACCACAAAGTCATCGATTTCTTTTCCAAGTGGCAGATACACAGACGGGAGGGCCGGCTCAGGGCCGCAGTGCAGGCAGGAACCTGGAGAACGGACATGGAGCCATGAGGAGGAGGAGACAGCTCCAAGCCCACCGGAGCCTAGGACACCAAAGCCCCAGCTCCCGGAGGTGTGAGTGCTGGCGGGGTGCTCCGCTGGACCCAGCATCAGACACCACAAGGACGTAAGCTGTACCCTGCAACTAGGGCAGGGGGACCTGAGCCCTCTGAGGCCCAAGGGAGGATGGTTTCCAAGGGTGCCCCACGGAAGAGATGCAGAATTTCGGAGTTAAGAGGGCTGTGAGCCACACTGGGCCGCAAGGGAAACAGCCAAGCCAGGTGAGTAGAGGTCACGCAGGGGAGGAGCGGCCACTGGAACCTGTGCGTCACATCTCTGATCATCGCCTTGGGGCGGACATCACACTTAGGGGGCCCCACATCCTGCCAGCCTCTCGCTCACAGAACACATTCCTTGCAGCTTCTGAGAGAGCGACGATTACTGTGCTTGGAAAGGACAGCCCAGGAGCTGAGGGGACAGTAGAGGCTCCAGCTGGTACCTGATTCCAGGCAGAAACAGAACTCCAGGGGGCCCAGGGACACAGAGGCATTGCAGAGAATGGCGAAGCTCGTCAGAACGGTGCCCTGCTCTGGGACGATGGTGCAGGCAGGCACCACGGGGGGTGGCAGCGTGCTGATCACGTAGGTGTCCTCCCCGTAGGCGTGCTCGGTCAGTGCTGTGAGTGAAGACAGCGCACTCTCAGGGGGCTGCGGGCCACGAAACTCCCATCATGCCTCAGTATTGCCCATGACGATTCATGTGGTGACATGAAACACAGACTCTGGGTCCCTCTGCAGACCTCTTGGAGATTCCCTCAGGCCCCCAGATCCTCACAGCTCACAGCTGCCCCTGAGGCAGGGAGCCTGGGTCTCCCTTGGAGAAGCTGGGCAGCAGCAGAGGAAGGGAATCAGACAGCTCTGCCATTCATCAGCCAAGTGACCTTGGGTTTGACCTTCATGAGGGTTAGCATCTATGAAATGGGCCCATGATAATAACGGCTTCCTCGAGGAGGACGCCTACTGGGAAACGGTGAGTTACTGAAAGCCAGTGAGCCAGAAAGGGCCAGAGCCAGGATCTGGAAGCAGGGGATCCCACCCCAAAGCCCACCCCTTTCTAGCACCCCCAGCACTGCAAAGAGCCCCCAGGTGACCTGCAACACCATCCTACATACCCAGGTGCAGTTGCCAGTTTTTATTTTTTAAGCGTATGCACCCAAGGTCTCGAAAAGGGAGATTTTTTTTTTGAGACAGGGTCTCAATATGTATCTCCAGCTGGACTTGCGCTCACCATGCAGCCCAGGCTGGCTTTGAATTTGCTGAGATCCTCCTGCCTCAGCCTCCTAAGTGCAGGGATTACAGACATGCACCACTACACCCAGTAAGAATTTTAACCAATTACAACTAATTCCTGTACCTAAACTCAGTTCACAAAGTGCAGGGTGGACCTAGGGGTGTCCACGTACCCAGTCCCAGTGCCTCTTGCTATCTAGGACCACTATAGGGCATAAAGATTCTGAGGAATTCTTCCTACGAGGGGTGATCACTGGGCTCCTCACTTTGAGACTGCATTTCCCACGCTGGGCTTGCTTCACAGGAAGGCCTGGATCTCCTGCCGGAGCAGGCCCGCGGATGCCCTGCCTGTCTCACTGTGTCTGTCATCTCTCTACATAATCCCCATTTTGAGGCAGGCAGGTGGGGAAACTGAGGCATGGCAGAAGTCTCCCGAGTAGAAAGCTGTGCCCTGCTCCCATGTACACGGGATCCCCCTATTTTGCCGTCCTGGGTTTATCTTGGTTCCTGCCGGGGTGGGGAGGATTCTCACCCGTGGCTCGGACCCGGATGACTGGTCCCCAGGAACGCAGGGAGCTGCTGACCAGCCTCAGTGTGGAGGTGTCGCTCTGCAGCAGGGCCGGGGACCTCGGCCAGAACCCCGGGAGCCTGCAGGCGTCCGGGAGCGGCTCGGCCTGAAAGAGGCTGGGGTCAGCCCGCGGGCCTCAGCGGGACACGGGCTTTCCCAATGTCAGCGCAAACAGGCGGCCCCCGCTGTCTCCGGTCAGGGTCACTGCAAGAGGAGCTGAGGCAGGGCTGTGTGTGCGAGTCACCTACAGAGGGACAGCGTGCAGGGGACCAGCAGGGCAGGGAGGGAGCGACCAGGTAAAGCCAGAAGGAAGGAGAGGCAAGGGCTGTTAGAGCCCCACGCCCATCGGCCACCACACCCAGCCTGGAGGGACCAGGGACAGCGGCAGCGGAAGGAGGCCTTGGCTGGGACCACGAGTCCCCGGTGCGGGGTCCCTGTGGCTCACGCTTCTGGACCCAGCTGCAGCTTCTCGCCCTGCTGCACATTCCCTCCCTTCCCTCCAGCACCCTGCCCGACCCTGCCAACCCCAGCGCGTGGACTTCGTGAGGCTGACTGCAGGACCGGCCTCCACCACGGGCCTGCCCATCACAGGGCAGTTTCCATGCGAGCGGTGGTCAGCGTCTCACCTGCTCCGCAGAGGGGCTGTCTAAGTACCAGCTGAACAGGGCCTCCAGGGCGTCGCCTTGCAGGGTGACTCTGAGGAGAACATCGTCGTCGGAATTCACAGGCCGGCAGTTCTGCTCACAGCTGAGAGGGAAGCAGGGACAGGATGGGGACATGCTTCGGGCACTGTGACCCTCGGCCTTGTGGGGTCTTGCCCAGTTCAAGTCCTTTGAGGGGGGTATGTCCTTTTGGCAAATACAGGGTGGAATAAAAGTCACCACAGCTGGACCCCTCCACCAGGACACAGCCTCGTAGACAGAGGTGAGTACTGATCCGGGAGTGACTGGGGCACAGGACCTGGCCAGATCCTGTCCCTGCCACGTAGGGATGATCACCTTGTGCGAGCCCCTGAAACTCGCAGAGCCTGAGGGTCCTCGCCCGGCCATCCCTGATTCCCGTTAGCTCTGATAACAGCGAGGTGGGGGTTTCATGGTACGTGTTTCACCCCCGGCTAGCAGCGCACGTGATGCTTACAGCAGCCCTGCGTGTGACTGCAGGAGCCCCGGAGCACGCAGCTCAGGCTCAGAGAATGCACATGACGGGGCCCAGACGACACCCTCTCGGGGTGGATGGGGCATGGACCATCGAGTCTGGACCTGAGTCCTGGGCCTTCTGGGTGATTCCGGTCTCTCACTGGACACCTGGGAGGTCACGTTGGCATCTGCTGTGTTCCACCCACCCCCTGGTCCTCCCTGTCTTCACTCCATAAGCTCTGGACCCCGATTGCTTCTCTTCACGCCTGTGCTGGACCCCGCCACACACAGCTGTCCAGCTCTTTGTGGCTGTGGCCCGGACCTCAACACCCCAGTTCCTGCACCCTCCGTCTCTACTTGACCCAGCCAGTGGGAAGGCTGGAGAGGTCAGGGGCTGCCAGGAGCCCTGCTCCTTCCCTGGGGGCAGCCATTGGCAGGGGCAGCGCCCCTCTGGCCAGGACCAGGGCTCCTGCTGGGAGGTCCCCAGCCCTCAGCTGCAGCTTGTGGGGGCTTCCGGTCACAGCCCCTGGCCTGCATCTCCACAGCCCTTGGAGTGACAGCTTCCTGTCCTGTTGTCCCCCTGGTCTTTCCCTCAGTCCTGTCCACACCTGGAAATGGAACCTTCATTTCCTGTCTGTTACCAGGTCCCCTTGGAGGGAGCCAGCGCTGCACAGGGCCTCAGCTGGTGGTCCAAGCTGCTTCCTGCTCTGACCTGGCCTCCTGTGAGACTCTAAGCAGCCGCCCTGAGGCCTCTCTTGACTCCTGAGGCCCTCTGCACCCCTTAGCAGGGTTTTGAGGGAAGTCATCACCATGTCCCATGACTGAGACTCTTGGGTGGCATCCTCAGGGAAGTGCCCTGCCTGAGCCAGGCCCTCCGGCTCGGGCTCCCTCCTGCCCTCCGCCCCCCACACTGGCCTCTTGTGTGCTGACCGTCCTCTCCTCCCTCCTATTTACTCTCTCTGTTCTCTCGGCATCCCCCCTTCCCTTGGAGCTCCTTCTCCTCCTCCTCTCTGTTGAGCCCCAGCCCCCACAGCCCTTGCTGACCTGTGAAAGGGGAGTTGTGTTAGACCAGCCCTTCCTGCCTGCCTGCCTGCGTGCGTGCTGACCACTGGGACCCCTCGGGAACAGAGTGGGCAGGCGCCTGGAACCAGCAAGGCAGGAGCAGGTCCATGTGCCCACCTGACCCGAGGCCTGAGGTCCAGCAGGGCGGACACGTAGAGGCAGCGCTCCACCTCGCTCTGCAGCTCCCGGCCCCTCAGGACGGCCAGCCGCAGGGTGACAGCAGAGTCCGGCGGCGGCAGGCAGGACGGCGGGACCACCAGCTCCCTCTGGTCTGTGCGGAGAAGCCGCCTCTGCACGCAGCGGCCCCACTGAGCCCAGCAGCGCCCTGAGACAGAGGGAAGCGCTGTCACCTGTCAGCAACCAGGAGCCACTCGGGATCTCACGGATGCTCGGGCAGCACGCAGTGGGAAGGCCAGGGCACCCGTGTGCTCCGGTCGGCCCAGCAGCTTCCCCCAAGGCCGTCCATCCTCCTGCTCTTCCTCCAGCCTCCTCTGCTCCCATCCTCACTGTGGCTGTGCTCTGGGTACAGCTGGCTGAGGCAGAGCCGCAGTAGCCACCAAAGCTGTCATTGCCCACAGAGGAGGACACCCATGGCTCCCTGTCCCTGTGGGTGCTGTGGGCGCCTGGGACCTGTCTCTCTTTCCCCGGGCAGCTAGGTCATCACCGGCTTTAAGTTGGCAACTCCAAAAACTTCAGCTCTGTTGACCGATGTCTCTGTCAGCACCTCCGTCCCCGCCCCACCGCGGGGATCCCAAGGTATGCCTGGGTTCACCCTCCGCTCCGTGGCCTGAGCTACACGCGTGCCCTCTGCATTCCCGTGATGAGAACCGAGGTTCAGAAGGACGTCCTGGCCATGAAGGGGTTGATATCAAAAGCCTTGCAGTTTCTGCATGACTTCTGCTCAGTTATTCTGTTTTTAGCAATTTAATTGAGAAAGCAGCCACAGATGGAAGCCAAGACAGAACTATAAAGCTTGTCACGGTGGTATTTACAGTGACAAACAATTGGAAACAACCTAAATATCCAAAAAGATGGCTCTGGCCAATAAATGGTCATTTATCAGCTTGACAGTCTACTATGCAGTCAAGATAGAGGTCACCAAGGCTGTGGAATAGGCAGGGGGTGACCCAGGAAGCAAAGGGGGGCAGGCGGGGACACTCATGCTGTGTCCAACAGAGTCAGGGTTTCCGGGTGCCCTGGAGAAGCAGAAGGACAGAGAAAGTGGCCTTTGCTGAGGACACGGACAGGACCCACAGCCAGCGAGGGCTTAGCTTTCTCCTCCAACCGGACACAGAGTGGACAGAGGGTTATGTGACCTCTGATCGGAGGTGGTGCTGGGGCGGGCACTCATGACGCATGAGGAACTGATTGGAATTCTCTTCAGGTGTAAATAGGAAAGGAGATTAGGACTGGAGGAGGAGGAGGAGGAAGTGGCCGGCAGGATAAGCGCCCCGCTTTGGCCTTCCACTTTGTCAGACCACCGCCATAATGTGCAGTAATCCGCACGGGGCAAGAACCCTTCAGACAGAATGTGTGTGTGGCTAGGGGGTCCTGTGACAAGGAGGGCATGGTTTTAAAACCAGGTGCTGCGGGGTGGTTTGTCAGGAAGTAACCTGTTAGCCCCCCCACATCCTCCTCCCACCCTCCCTCACCCCCTCTCCACCCCAGCTTGGAGGGAGGGCGGATCCACCCCAGCCAGCAGGAATGTTTCACCACTGATCTCTGACTGTTTGGATTCCAGCTGCATTGAGAAAAAGCAGGCTGGCTTTTCAGGGTTAATTATTATTTATTTATTTTGGTTTTTGACACTAGGTCTCCCTGTGTAGCTCAGGCTGGCCTTGAACTCACTCTGTGGCCAGGCTGGCCTCAGGCTTGCATTGATCCTCCTGCCTCAGCCTCCCGAGTGCTGGGATTGCAGATCTGTGCCGCTAAACCTGGCTTTTGGGCTCATTCTTTTTTAATTCTTTGTATCTGCTGTCACCGCCTTCAGGGCCACCTCCCTCCCTCCCACTCCTCACCTCCTGTTTCCACAGAATTTCCTGTCCCAGGCATGTGCACGTTATGCAGAAGTTACACCTGGGTGAAGCAGAGTGAAGAGCCGCCACCTACCGCAGGACCAGCGGAAGCCTAAGTCCCTGTGGGCCTCGGGCCAGCCCAGCGTGAGGGTCGTGAAAGGATCCACGTACAGACCGGGCTCCACGTACAGCTCTGTGCTGCCCCCGTCGCCCTGCAGAGGAAGCGGCTGCTGAGTGGCCCCCTTGTTAGCGGCCTCACGAGGGGAGCTGTGCACCCCACGAGTCACCAAGAGCAGCCACGGGTGAGGCCTGGGGTGGAGGAGTTGTCTCCCCTCGGGATCCCTGGGGAAGGGACTGTCTGGCGAGGGTGGCCCAGGGCCCACTGTGCACACATTGGTGCTGGCTGAGGCCACGCCTGGCCAGTCCTTCCTGTCTGCAGATGGAACAGAGCTCCAGCGCTTCCCCAGAAGCTGGACAGGAAAGAGGCACATAAACTGACAATTAAAACTCAGAGAGGCAATGGTGCATCGGTAGAGGATGGCCAGGGCAGTCTCTAGGACAGGGAGAGGAGGCCACAGGTGAAGCCCAGCCAGAGTCCCCTGTCCTCCAGGTTCCACTGCGCCTAACCGCCAGGGCTGAAGGGTCCTATCTGCCAGTGCCAAGCCTGGCCTAGGCAGGTGGAGACCAGCTGCTACCTCTGTGACCTGGACAGTGGGGACGGGGGACGTTTCCCTGGAGGACAGGCTCCTGGGACACCAGCCGGGAAGCAAGCGCAGGAGGCAGAGGCTGCGGGAAGGGGTCGGCAGGCTCCGGGTGTGGATCTGATGACCTGACCCACAGCGCTCGGGCCGCTGGCCCAGGCCGAGAGCCCCTGGCCGGGAACAGCACAAGCCTCGCACGGAGGGGCAGCAGCTCGGGGACCTGCAGGTAAAGCCAGGCCCCTGCCAGGGCATCCGGGGCCGACCCACGTGTCTGCCGCTGCACCTAGTGGACCATCGTGAGCCTTTGGTTTTGGTTCTTCCATTTTGTCTGCCTCCCTCAGCAAACCTCGCCAGGCAGGGGCCGGACTTCACTCTCGACTGCCTCCCACTCCCCCCTGCCTGCCTCCCACTCCCCCCTGCCTGCCTCCCACTCCCCACTGCCTGCCCCGAGCACCGCAGGGGTCCACGCGGCTACCCCGGAGTCAGCCTGTGCTGAGCAGCCCAGCAAGGAGAGGAAGGCTCGGGCACGCCGTAAAAACTAACCGGCGTGCGCTTTTCTCTGTTCCATATTGTGGTTTTTCGTTTTTTGTTTTTTGTTTTGCTGTCTTTTTCCTTTTTTATCAGTACCGGGGATCGAACTCACGACTGCCTGCTTGCAAGGCAGGTGCTTATGCCGCTGAGCTAAATCCCCAGCCCCCTGTGTTTTATTTTTTAAAAATTATTATTATTGTCAGCCTCCCTGGGTAGTCCAGGCTGGCCTTGAACTCATGGCCCGACTCTGCCTCCTGACTGCTAGGATGACAGGTCTGGCCTGGTTTGCCAACATACGCGTTAAAAACTGTAACTCTTAAGTACCGTGTTAACCGCATCCCATGAATGTAAATGGGTTATATTATCATCATCATTCAGTTAGAAAGATTTTCTGATTTTCTGTGTGCTCTCTTCTCTGATCCACTCATTTCTATAGAAGCCTGCTGTCTAATTTCTAGGATGTCTGGGAGCTATTTACATCTCTTAAACGCTAATTGTTGGCTTACAGTGTAATTCTTTAGCGGTTGAGGCCATGGTTTGTTTGATTTCATTCTTTCTGGGCTCTATCAAACAGAAGAACGATCCTGAGTGCTTTGGTTACCGGGACCAACAAAACAAAACTCAGAACTGAGGCCCGGCCCTTGGGCATCACTCAGAACTGAGACCTGGCCCTTGGGCATCACTCAGAACTGAGACCTGGCCCTTGGGCATCGCTCAGAACTGAGACCCGGCCCTTGGGCATCGCTCAGAACTGAGACCCGGCCCTTGGGCATCGCTCGCTTGCAAGGTTGTTTTTAAAAGAGACTCACATTCGTGTCTTCAGCATCTGTTCCAGAAGGCTCTCGGAGACCTGCGAACACAGTGGAATCGGTGTCAGGCCATGGCGGGGAACCTCCTAACAGGTTATTAACAGACTGCGGGCTGGCAGCTGGCTCCTGCCACAGAGCCGGCCACTCAGGAGGCCATGACGGTCCGTCCTGACCGCCGACCTGATGAGAACCAGAGACACGGTGAGGGGTCTCTGGGTAGCTCGGGGGGCTCCAACTAGTGAGGTCACTGACCGATGGACGGCCGTAGTGGATGGCTCCAGGAATGGCTCGGGGCCTCGTTAGAATAACTGAGCCATCGCCCCAGCAGAAACCTGGGAACGCTCTGGGTCCCTGCTCCTTCCTCTGCAGCGTCCCCAGTGCCTGGGTGAGGGTAGCAGCACACACTCAGGAGATGCAGAGCAGCAAAACCGCGTCTGGGCTACCGAGGCCTCTGCGCAGTGAGGAAGAGGCAGCCGCCAGTGCAGGTGGACCGCAGGCTTTCGAGTCCACTGAGCGCATCTCTGTGCTGTAAATGATTAACTGCCGTTTGAGGGCTGGGTGAAGAGGCCAGGTGAGGAGCCCGGTTTGCAGCCTGGTTTACGTCCATGGTGCAAACACCCCCCCAGCATGGAGCTCAAGCTGCCAGGCCACCATCACGGCATGTATATTGAGGAGAGATCGAGCTGTAGGGATGCGGCCCGGCCACCAGCTGTGCGTCCGCAGCCCCCCAGCGGCTTCTGCAGGCAGTGCCCACCTGCAGCTTACGCTTTCTGAGCCTTCATTTCCTGCTCTGTAAGACCGAAGGGAGCCTGATGCTCAGGGCTGCAGGAGCCCCGAGCGCTGTGTTTATCCTACCGCTTCACAAACTCCAGGTCTGCTGAGAACACTAGTAGCCGGGTGTGGTGATGCACACCCGTTATCCCAGCACTTGGGAGGCTGAGGCGGGAGGATTGCTGTGAGTTCAAGACCAGCCTGGGCTACACAGTGAGTTTAAGGCCACCCTGAGCTACATAGTGAGACCCTGTCTCAAAAAAACACAAAACGAAAAACAAAACAAACAAGGGTATATATAATGAACACTAGCATGTCACACTTAAAAAACAGAAAAAAAGTGCACTCAATTAATATGTTCTGGAGATGGTGAAATGTTAATATTATTAATGTCTAGCAATAAAGGCTGGTGATTAAGACAGAACTTAGGACTTCTATGTGATTTGCTAGGCTCTGGTGACTTGGACGTCTTAAGAGCTGGATAGACTTGTAAAGATTCTATGAATTCTTATTCACACAACTTTGCAGGCCTGTAAAATCACACAACGCAAGAGCTGGACATGGTGGAGCGTGCCTGGAATCTCAGCACTCAGGAGGCTGAGGCAGGAGGGTTGTTGAGTTTGAGACCCCTTGGACTACATAGTGAGTTCAAGGCCAGCCCGAACTGCACGGCAAGACCCTGTCTCAAAATAAAATGAAACAAAACAAAGCCATGGTGAGATGCCAGCTAGAGAGCTCTCTTAACCTACAAAGGAACATAGTTCATTAATTAGATGAAATCAGGAGACATAGGTGCTATCTCTGCTCCTCCCACAAATTATCTGAGGGACTTCTGCAAAGTTAATTAACTTCTCTGGGTCTCAGAGGAGGGCCAGGGACAGCAGAGTGACATGGGACACCGTCTTCCCATGCAGGCACCCAGGTCCCGACCTTGGTCTAGCTCCTGGGACACCATCTCTCCCCTCCTGTCCGCCCTGGCTTGGGTGGACCTGCGGCTTCGCTCTGCTCCGGGTGCACCTGGGACCCTGGGCTGCCCAGCTGGAGTGCCCAGTCCCTCTGGTCTCTGCAGTAAACTCAGGGATCATGAACTGAACCAGGTCCAGCCCGAGGAGCCTCTGGACCTGCGCTGCGGATACCCGGTGAGGCTGGCCTCTCTCTCCCCTCGGGGACCAGCATCAGAGCCCCGGGGCTGCCTGGCTGCCACTGGGGAGGAAAGAACCAGGAGGAAGCCAACGCAGACCCGGGGTGGACGCTGGTGACAGACGCAGCCGCGCTGAGGGCGAATCCACCCCCTGGACTTTTTGTTCCGTGAGCGGCTAAACTTTCCTTCTGACCAAGCCCATGAACTGCTGTCCTGGCCCTTGCTCAAAGTCCCCACAAACACACTCCAGGGGGGACTTGGAGCCCCGCCACCACCTGGTTCCCCGGGGCAGCCAGGGCCCACCTTGCCCACAGCGCCTGAAAAGCCACACGGCTGCCTTCCCAGCATCCCCTCCCGGCCAGAAAGAAAGGCCGTCCCCAGAAAAGAGGGCGCAATGGAAAGGTCCTGGCTGACATGCGGTTCCTGGAGCTGCAGTCACCATCACAACCCACAGGGGATAAAGATCTGGAGGAAGCCAACGCTGAAAGACAACACTGCAGAAAGACAGACGGCTTCGAGTCCCTGCAGGCACGGCCACCCACCGAGTCAGCCCTGGAGCTGCTCATCTGCTCGCTTCTTCCATGAGAGGGGAAAGCTCTGACCTTCAAGCTGCGTTGGACTTCCTGGTCTGCGCAGCCCAAAAAGTCATAAGGAATTCAGCCGCCCCTGCCTCCGAGTTCCAGGGCGGAGGCTGAACGTTTCACTGTACAATTAGCTGCCCCTCAGTATCTGCAGGGAATCGGTTCCAGGACCCCAGCGCTCTTAGGGGGCTGAGGAGGAAGATCACAACTTCGAGTCTAACCTGGACAACTTAGCCACTTAGCGAGTCCTTGTCTCCAAAAAACAATAAATAAAATAAAATTAAAATAAGTAAGGGTTGGGGTGTAGCTCATGAGAAAGCCCTGGGTTCAGTCCCCAATACTGCAAGAATTTAAGAAAGAAAGAAAGAAAGAAAGAAAGAAAGAAAGAAAGAAAGAAAGAAAGAAAGAAAGAGAAAGCTCATAGATCTCAAACTCAAGGCTGCTGGAGGTCCTCATACTAAATGGGACAGTATTTTACGTAGAATTCATGCTTATTTCCTTCCTTCCTTCCTTCCTTCCTTCCTTCCTTCCTTCTTTCTGCAGGGCTGAGGATAGAACTCGGGGCCTCTCAGATGCCAGGCAAACCCTCTACCACTGAGCTACACCAGCTCAGCTGTTTTTTAAATCAAATTTATTGGTGCATTTTAGATCTACATAATGATATACTTTAAATCACTTCTAGATTATTTGTGAAACCCCAGATAACGTACATGCCTTATAAATAGTCGCTACTCTCTAGGTTTAGGGAACAAGGACAAGAAAAAAAGCCCGTGCACGCTCAGTACATATTCAGTATTTTCCTATTATCTTTGGTCACTGCCTGAGAAGTCTGGATTTCTGCGGAATTCTACACGCATTTGGTGCCCTGTGTGAGGGACCCACAGCAGCCCCCCAGCAGTGCCCTGGACTCCTTGCTTGTGACCGTGACGCTTCCCATCTGCAAGCTCAGGCTTGAGAAGGTGTTTCTCACCCGCACGGTGACCAGAAAGGTGCCTGCAACGTGAAGGACAGGGGCCTGTTACAGTGTCATCATGGACAGCTGTCCCCGCGTGGCCTGTCCAGTCCACGCCAAGGGGGGCACCTGAAGCTTCACCCTCCCAGCATTTAGTGAGCACCTGCTGTATACCAGGCATGGGGTGAATCCTGGGGACACAGAAGTGGAGTCTCTGTCCTCCAGGGCCTTACAGTCAAGGAGACACGTGGACAGGAAGTGCCAAGCCCCAGGGAAGCTAGCAAGGGGCACTGCAGGCTGGCACGGGGTCGCCTCAGCATCGGGAGGGATGGAACCAGGGCTGAGCTGAACATGGAAGGGCGAGCAAGTGCTCGCCAGCGAGGCCCAGGTCAGCACCTCCACGTGCTAATGCCCCTCTCTTGGCCCCGTCCATTCCCTCCCTCCTGCTCCCCATTCTTCCCCCGGAGGAGTCCAGTCTGCTGGTCGTGGGGGGACCTGAGAGCAAGAACAAAAGTCCCGGAGTGTGCAGGACTTTTGTCCACCAGTCAGGGCTAAGCTTCCGCACCAGTAACTATGGTAACTATCACAGAACTGAGGAGACAGAGCAGAGGGGGTCATGGCCTCCCTGCTGCGTCCCAGCTCCTGAAAACTGTATTCTGCCAGCTCCAAGCTGGACCTGTGGCACTTGGCAAAGTTCAGTGGCTTTTCTCCAGGTTATCTCGCAGCTGCTGTCTCTGGCCAGGTGCCTGGCTGAGTATCTGAGGTCAGGAGAGCTGCAGGCAGGGTCCTGGGAGCCGGGGACTCTCCCCACTTCCTGACCGCTGAGCTCATCACACGCCCTCCGGGATGCCCTGCTTCCCTGCCCATGGAAGGCAGATGTGTGCTGTGTCCTCCCCTGGGGTGCCAGCCTGTCCGTCCTCAGCCAGCACTATCCTCACTCTTCTCCTCAATGCCCTCTCTCCGCCACCTTTCGGTTTCGCCAGTCCCCTCCCCTACCCAGAGACCAGACTGTGGTTTCCTGTACCATACTGTCCCCTGCGGAGATCTGAATACACCTGCTCCCTTCCAGCGGTTCTTGGGGGGCCGCCTGTGTTTCAGGGAACCTTTGGCAATCGGCTGCCATGACTTGGGGCACCGATATTATTAGCAGCTACTGGTAAAGTCCAGGGATGCAGCTTAATACCATGCAGTGTGCACCCAGGACGATCGCTGTGACCGAGAGTGTCCAGTGCCACATGTCAGAAGTGCCAAAGCCCAGAAGTTCTGCGGCTTGGTGGACCCTACTTGGAGACCCAGGACACACTGGCAAGAGGAGCCAATCAGGAAGGGAAAAACGGGGAGGATGGCGAGGGCGGCTACCAGTCCCAATACCTTCCACAGGAACTATCACCCGGTAAGTTCCAGATGGCTCTCCGAAGCTCTCTTCTTCCTGGGAGAAGTTGGCGCTGAGACCGGTCACCTCAAAGGTCAGCCCCTCCAGGGTGCCGTGAGCCACAGAGACATTGATCATCAGGTCCTGGCCAAGCCCCACTCGCGTGGAAACCCAGGAGGCCTGCAGCCCTGAGAGCAGCTCCACGAGCTGGAGCTGGAGCGTGAGGTTCCCGGAGGGCACAGAGGTGGGGCTGTCGCTTCGTGCGAGGATCTCCAGGAGGTGCTTCCCCGGGCCCAGCAGGTCCTGGATGTCTCTGTCCAGGGTCAGGTTGTAGGGCAGCGAGCCCTGCTGGGCAGTGGACTCAGCCAGGGTTGTGTTACCCAGGAGCACAGTGTAAATCACGCCCGTTCCTAAGAAAAATTGAAGAATGTTGGAATGACGCTTCAGCTGGTCATTCTAGGATGATTCAGACTCAAATTCTGATGTCAGCTAGACACAGATACAGATACAACGTGACTCGGAAGCGTAGGTCCCACCCCCACCCCCAGGTCAACACTGAGCGAGGTCCAACTGAGTCATATCCTAACTTGCACAGCCCTGACTTCCCTGGTTACATCCACAGACTGGATCTGTGCCCCATCAAAAGATGCTACTTGGGCTGATATTGAATCAGAGACAAGAGAGTCTCTATTGGAAGGAGGGGTGATATTTAAAATAGCACCTGAAATTGTGTGAGCACCAACCAATTAGAATGGATCTCTGAGGGACCAGATGGACACTGTGACCAATCAAAATGAATTCTATAAATTAGTATGGGTGCCATGACCAATCAGAATGAATGCTGTGACCAATCAGAAAAGATGCCATGACTGAGCAGAATAGACATCTTGACCGATCCAAACTGATACAGTAACCAATCACGATGCCTCTATGCCCAATTAGAAATGACACTGTGACCAATCAGAATGGAACCTAGCCATAACAGCTGGTATGGCAGAACAGAAGGCACAGCTGAACATCAGCCCTGACTAAGGGCAACATGGCTGTGCCCAGTTGGTGTGTACCCCCCAGGTCCCACATTCCCCCAAAAGGAAGTGGTGTGGAAGCTCTTAGATGGGACTGAGCATTCAAAATAGAGCTTGGGAAGTGTGGGAGCTCCCATCGGCTTGCTGGCCTTGTGACTTAGGGGACATTTCTGAGTTTTTCTGTACTGCCATTTCAGGCAGATGAAAAGCACTTGAAAGAGTGTACGGCACATAGAGGGGCTAAAGAAATGATAGCTAGAAAACCAAGTCAGGGCGAGGGGGATGGCGGCCACCGTCATCCCAGGAAGAGGCAGGAGGATCACCATGAGCTCAAGGCCAGCCTGGGCTACGTGGTGAGTCTGAGGCCAGCCTGAGCTGCATAGTGAGAGTTTGTCTCTAATGAAACAAAACCAAAACTAACTAACTTAATACATGATCGGTGTTATTAATTAGTACATCTGGGCACTAGCTGGACAGACCTGAGGAAATCAAGTCCCTCGGTTTGCCTCCACCTGCCAGATTCTGCAGACTCACCTGCACCGAGCTCCACCTGGATCCACAGAGGGTCCCCGAGGACAGCCCTGCAGAGGACGCCAGCTCCTGACCTGGACAGGCCGGGGCAGCCAGTGACACTGAGCTGCTCCATCGTGTCTCGCAGGGTCACCAGCTTCTGGGCGGTCACATGCCACTCGCTGGTCGTGCACTCTGCAAACACGGTGAAGTCTCCCGCGGACGTGAACTGGTGGCTCACGGTGCTGAACAAGCTGCCGGCCACAGTCAGAGTCAAGAGCAGCCTGGGGATGCCTGACACCTGTGCACACATGCCTTCACACAAGCATTCACACACACGTTTACACACGTACTCGCAGCTCCCCTGCTCTGCAAAGGTGAAAAATGAAGAGAAAATGCTGTCTGTCTGCACCTGGCTCTCGCTGAGGAGTCTCAGAGCAGGAGAAGAGCACAGAGCCTTCGGATCAATCGGGGAGGGAGGTGGGTGTCAGCCACAAGTCCTTGTGCAGACACTTTCTCCCTGTCCGGGCCTTCCTGCTCACCTGTGAAATACTGTCCCCCACCCTATAACTCTGTCTAATTTTCCCATCTGTAAGATGGGATCAACTACTAGACATAGCAAGGTGGGGTTTTAGAGTTTTGTTTTTTTTTTTTTTTTTTTGAGACAGGGTCTCACTATGTAGTCCAGGCTGGCCTTGAACTCATGACGATCCTCCTGCCTCAGCCTTCCCAGGGCTGCTGGCATTACAAGTGTGCACTACACCCAGCTTATTTTGTTTCCCAGTCACCTTCATCTCTTAGCTCTCACCCAAGGGTAGCCTAAATTATGAGGTGTTCGTTTGACATCGCAAAAGGAGAGATCGCAAAAGACATCATCCCAGGAGGAGACCCGTCTGTGCCGGCAGAGGGAGGGACCAGGAGCCCAAGCACACAGGGAAAGGCTCCAGCTTTGCTTCATTTCTCTTGCTCCCCTCTGGCCTGACCCCAGGTGTCCCCTCTCCCAGAGGGGCACTGGAGGAGAGGGTGATGCAGACACCTGCATCCCCGAGAGAGCCCGTCTTTCTGTCCAGGAAAGACACAAAGGGGGACCTTCATTGGAAAATGCAAAGAATGCTTGGAGAAGAGGGTTCTTTACAAATCCATGCAATTCACGAGCTCCTCTCCAAACCCACATGAGCCCACAGGAACAGCTCAGGCTGCAGGCACTGAACCAGGGCCACACCCCGATGCCGTGTACGTGGCGATATCTGCTCTGTGAATCGAACCGATGCCAGAGACAAGTCAGACATGTCCTCTAAACCTGCCTGGCCTCCTGTTCACATCACACAGATATGTTTAAAAATCAGACCCAGAATCTTAGAACATACTACTCAGATCACAGAGAATGCACACTAACACTGCTTGACACATTGAGAACCAGGAAATTGAATGACTTTAGATTCCCCATCAGAAGCTGGGGAGTTCGGAAAACAGTGAAACAATGTTCTTGAACAGCTCAAAGAACAGAACTGTCAACACAGAATGCCAGATCCAGCAAAAGAAACACCATCTAGGAATTTACATGCGGATTTAAGAACAAGCAAACAGTAACCCTCTGTGGAAACAGAAGGATATTTTGGACAGCAAAAGCCAGTCTCTCTCTCAGTGATCTCTCTGGAAGAAACAGTTTGTTTCATTCTCAAACTCTGGTGTCAACCAAAATTGCCCAGGACTAAAAGGTAGAGAAACGAATATTTCCTGAGTTCTCACCCAAGGAGGAGACTGAAAAGTGCTCTTAGAAACTGCTGTCAGCATGAGAGAGAGGTACTCAGAATACGAAGAGAGTGACAGCTTCAAATATCACACTGTGAATCCATGACCGAGTACTATGGTTTGTATCTGGATGCCCCCAAAGCCTCATGTAGTCATGGAGGCACTTTTCGGAGGTGTCTGAATCCAGAGCTTGTGATCGATTCATGACCCAATACTGGAATTAAGGGTGTGAGAGCTACACCTGCCCAGGGCGGGGAGGCTGCATAAATACAATGAACAGTTATCCCTCTGTCATGTGCCACCCTGAACCAGCTGATTATGGACTGAAACCTCTACAAAACTGTGAGCGAGCTAAATAAACCTTTCCTCCTTTACCTTTGGGCATTGGGTATTTTGTCTCAGTATTGAGAAAAATAACTAAGACACCCAGCAATTCCTGTCTTACATATACATCTGATACAAATGCACACATTTATGTGCCAAGACATACTAGAAAGTTTGTGGTAGCACAGTTTGTGACAGCCCAAAGGGAGACACCATCCAAAAGCTCATCAACTGAATTAGTCAGCTTTTCCATTGCCGAGACGCAGCACCTGACATCCACCATTTAAAAGAGGAAGATCTGGTTTAGTTCACGGTTTCAGGAGACTCAGTCCATGGTAAGCTGGCTCCAGGCAGGAACATCACGGTGGAAGGGTGTGGTGGAGCCGAGCTGCTCAGCTCCAAGTGTGAGAAGCAGAACAGGCGGACAGTGCCAGAGGGGAATGGGCCGGGGGCCAGAGGGAGCCCCAAGGTCACACACGCATGACCTCACAGACACACCTGTGCTTTGCTGAGCTACCAGGATTTCCTCAACCCACTGAAACTGACAAGTCAGGATTGATGGTCCATGTGTAAGTAAACTGATAACCATTCACAAACCAGAGTTTACACAGCAATGAGAAAAATAAATCACGATTATGGAAATATCCATAAATCCTAAAAGTAGTGTGGAACGGAAGCCACACACAGAACATACACTTTATGATTCCATTTGCATAAGTCTGAAATACATGTCTCCCCTAAGATGTTAGGGAATTAGGGTGTGCTTACCCTTGGGGTGGGAGGTTAGGAGGGGACAGGTGGGGAAGCTGGTTAGGTTTGTATGATGTTCTCTGTCTCTCTGTGTCTGTCTGCTTTTGAGACAAGATCTTACTATGTAGCTCAGGCTGGCCTCCAACTCACGGTGATCCTCCGACCTCAGCCCCCAAGTGCCAGGATTACAGACTTGAGTCTCCTTGGCCGGCCATGTTTGTTGTTTCTAGATTGGGGTTCTGGCTACATGCGTGTGATCACTGTGTAAAAATGAATCAAGCTGTTTCTTTTCATGCATTTTTCTGTACATATGTTATACATCAATAAAGCTGAAAAGTTACCTGAAGACTCCATTACTCCCTGGTTTGCATTCACTGCTGGGATATTTGCCTTTAATGGGATGCAACTTTTCTTTGAAATGAAAGAGGAGAAGAAAGCTCACATTTCTGGCTGGCCATGCTGGCGCAGAGTGTCATCCCAGCACTCAGAAAGCTGAGGCAGGAGGATTGCTATGAGTTCAAGGCCAGCCTGGGCTACAAAGTGAGTTTAAGGCCACGCTGAACTGCACAGTACAACCCTGTCTCGAGAAACAAAAAAACCACAAACCCTCCCATTTCTGCCTTTGCTCACACGTCCGATTGTGGGAACATTGTAGTCCATGTCATTTTGCTGTGTCAGTGACCAGGTGTCAGCCAGCTTGGCGGGCAAAGCCATCCGACCAAGTCAGGTGCTGTGGGAGAGGGGAACGGTGGGCGGCCAGGAGTGTCCATGCTAGGGGCGCTCCAGTTACCTGCAGGACCTCAGCTGGGCTCCTGGGCCCCCACTCACTGGTCCACGGAATGAGGGCCGAGTGGGCTCGGCTGGATTGTTAGAAGGTTTAAAGGAGAAAATGACTGAAAAGTATCTGGTGTGTAATAAACCCAAACACCGCAGCTTTAAGATAAAAGCACGTAGCTGTGAGGTAATCACATAACAGTAAGAACGGTCCATTTTTAAGAGTCGGTCATTTTCTTCCTGACAGACTTGTATACTCCTGGTGATGATTAGCTATGAGGATCGCACAATTCCTGGGCCTAAACATTCTTCCCTTCTTGTTGGTAGTGGATGTTGTGGTGTGTCCTGATGCCAGACGCCTCCCAGATGAGGGACACGTGCCTGCGCCCCCAGGAAGACACCAGGACCTGCCTCACCCAAGGTAACACCCCACCCTGGATATCGTGCAGCCAAGACTGTGCAAGGTCCCTGTGGCCACCCGGGCTCTGTCGCTGTGCAACCCCATTTGATTTGTTCTCTCTGACCGCCTTCCTTTTCCCCTATGTCTAATGCTCCTGCCTCATAATTTGGGTGCCCCCCTCCACCCCCTTCCCAAAGGACTTCAGCTGAGAAGTCCATTCTGACGTCACCTCCCATCTCCCTCCTTTGTGCCTCCCAGCGGCTTGTGAATATCTAAAAGCTTGTGTGACGTTGTTACAGTTGGGGGGAAGGACAATGCCCCAACAAGTCCGGACCTCCCAGTACCCCCCACCCCTCCACCCCGCCCCAGTTCACGCTAACAATGTCCATTCTCAGATCTGCCAGCAGGTGGCGCTCAGTTACCCAAATTGTTCGACAGAAACAAAGCAGCCAGCTGTGCAAACCCAGCACAGAGAACTTGAGGCAGGAATCCTCTGACATGGGTCCGCTTCGCTTGAGCCTGGAGTCTGCTCCTCGCCTCATAGATTACTGACATTGGAGCCGGAGCGTATGACCTTCGTGTATTTATTTGTTTATTTTTGGAGACAGGGTCTCGCTATGCAGTTCAAGCTAACCTTGAACGCACTATGCACCCCAAATTGGCATCGAATTTAATAGCAATCCTCCTGCCTCAGCCTCCTGAGTACTGGGATTACAGGCGTGTGCCGCCACACCCGGCAGGTGTGTCCAATTTACAAGTCTCTAGCCCTTTGACTAACAAGGAATTAAGCAGCAGTAGCAGTCTGTACGCACACCGAAAGCACCATGATCTTGCTTTTGTGTACTTAGAACCCGTTCCCTGCAGGGTAGCTGCCGTGCGCGGGTCTGCAAGCGCCAGTAAGAAACGCAGCTCCCGGGTTCATCCAAGTGACAAAGAAGCCAGGCGCGTGGCCCCCAGCCCCACGCAGCTTTTAAGTAGAAACTGGGTTACTCGGGTGGGTGTCTTTCCTTTAAAAGAAAGACAAAAAATACCAGTGCTTTTGCTCAGGGAAAACATGCAGAAGTAGCCAACGTGAAGCGTGGCTTGTTGTTTCTTTCAGAGTTTAATCAAATAGGAAGTTCCCGAGTGTAATACGCCGCAGCCCATCTCGATGGACCCAGTTAGCGTCTCGCCCCATCAGCTTCCGTTTCCAAGCATGGTTTATCTATCACTGTGAAGTGCTCTCCTCACTAAAGCTTTA